TATTCCCTCATCTTCTCCATGAGATAACTCCCCCAGCACAGCAAGGCTATCAATGCCATGGCAAAGCACAGAGCCATCATTTGTATTAACATGTTCCCAAACTCAGCAAAATAAAGAGATAAACAGTGCAGCTGACAATCTCCATGTCTCACACAGGAGCTTGCTACTTAATTACTACTATAACATGCAATATATATATAACCGCCTTTGTTTGCCACCAAAAAGGACTGGTGGGTTGACCTGGGCTGGATGCCAGGTGCCCACCAAGCCACTCTATCATTCCCCCTTCCCAGCTGGACAGGGGAGAGAAAATAAGATGAAAAATTACTTGTAGGTTAAGGCAGTTAACTAAAGCAAAAGATTGTGCACACACAAAGGGGAAGAAAAAAAGGATTTTATTCTCTACTTCCCATCAGTGAGTGATGTCCAGCCAGTTCTCAGGAAGCAGGGCTTTAACACGTGTAGCGGTTGCTCCAGAAGGCAAACATTGCAAATAACAAATGGCCCCCTTCTTCCTCCTTCCTTTAGCTTTTATATATGAATTGATGCCATATTGTTGCAGTACAAGCTGACTTGTACTGAACATTAATCCATTTACAAATAAGAAACCCAGCCCAGTTCCATAAATCAGTCTCTAGGCTGACTGACAGAGGTCTCAATCAATAACAACTCTCATAAAATACAAGCATTTGACTGGTTCAGAGTCTGGGAGGCATGGGGATTAGACCAATGAATATTTAAGAACCAGGAGCTTTGAATTGCCTATAAAAGCAAGCCCCAAACAATAAAATATGCTGTTTGGCTGATGACCAAAAGAGGTCTGTTGTGTGTTAAGTCTCAGACATACGAACACCAATGTGTCACGTGGTGACCCTGGTGTGATGACAAGCAGCCCAAGTTTTTGGCCCACAGGTAGAGTGGAGAGAGACACAGGGCAGAGCCTGCAGATCCTGTCCCTAAAGCAAAAAGCTGGAAAGAAAGAGGCGGGGAGAGCCCAAAAGTGGCAGCAAAGGCTGCAAAAGTCACAGCCAAAGGGCTGTGTGAAAAAAGAAACCGGAGAAGCTGAAAATAGAAGAAAAACCCCACTGGAGACATGGGAAACTTTATTTCTACAAAGGACCACCCAGTACTAAAGGTATGGAAACTTCTTCTTGAGGAATGGGATGTAGACCATGATGAAAAAGCATTATTAGCATTAATAATGCAGGCTAAGAACCACGGTTTAGACACAACTAACAAAGTTACTTTTGACTTTAATACCTCGGCATGAACTGGTCAATATATCATCAGAGCAGCCTCGAAGGGAGAGGAAAATGTGATAAGAGTTATAAAGCCGTGGAGACTTATTGTGGGAAATCCAGGACTCCTGTACAACTGACCAATATGATCAAGCAGAAGCCGTTCATTGTTTACATTATACACACTTTTATAGATTCTACACACTACTAAGTACACCCTTCTTGATTAGTGCCTTTGTCTTGCTCCCTCGTTTTCTGCCTCCATTTCTCAGCATCTGTGATTGGTCACAGTCCAGGTGTTTCACAGTCCTCTGTTATCTAGTTCTTGCAATTCTGGTATTTGGTTTCTCAGCTTCTTCGTTCTTATTTTAGCACAGTTTATGTCTTAGTAACCTTGATGAATTCCACAGTGCCCTGCAAAAAATTCTGATAAGAACAGTTACAAGCAGTATGGCTGGTGCACACTGAGACCTAAGTTGTTCAGATACATTGCTACAGGGACTTATCTTGGATTTAATAAGACTGTTAAATACTGAAATATATGGTGAGGAAAGCACACCAGATGGGTTTTCAGGGGGAATGGGTGCCTTTCCAAACCCACAGAGCACGTGGCTGGAAGAAATGGCCAGCCATGCTGTTCCATGTGGCTGAACTACCTTAAATTCCCCTCGTCCACCAGCACTGTTCCTGAGAGAGCCATCCCCTGCACCCACCCCCCCCCTCCCCCCCGCAAAGGGGGACACCACTGAAATTGCTCTGTAACCTTAAACAAAAATAGATAACTTTTTTATTCATAACACCACCACACAGTGAGACAGAAGGGGGCGGCAGGGTTCTAGCGACGCTGGGGCGTCCTGTGTCGGCACCGCGCAAATGCTGCTCCGTGTCTGCTCCCCAGGGTTCCTACAGTGACTCGAGCCGTGTCGCCATTTCACAACTGCCTGTGACCATGACTTAGCCCCATGCTGTTCCCGAGACCGCCCCACCCCCCGTAGCCGGGGTAGCCCACGCCCCTCATCGCTATGGAAACGCCAAGACCACCCCTGCCCAGAGCTGGTTGGCTCAGCCCCAGCCCCGCACCCCCCATCTCCATAAAAACACCAAGACTGTCTCCTGTAACCGGGTGGCCCTGCCCCAAGGGAACACCAGCAACTTCAGGGAGCTTAACCACGCCTCCATCGGAGGACATACCTACACCCCTGATCCAGCCTACATCAGGGGGCAGGGCCCCGTCCCCAAGCCAACCTTCGGAGAACACAGCCGTGCCGCCAGTGGGCATGGCCCCGCCCCCGACCCTGCCTCCAAGGACGGATCTGAGAAGAGCTGCAGACACCAAATCAAGAAGCAGAGCGTGGGAAAAGTCCCTGCAGGGAGCCCACCCAGCAAAAAGCAGTGGAAAGAAGCGTGTAGGGGTGTGGTGCCATGGGAGTAATAGCAATCAAGCCATCCTGAAAAGATGGTGCCCACCACATGGCACAGCCATTTTACAGCAGCTAAGAGTGAGCCACTATCATCAAGTCCAGTGGGAAACCAGCACCTCCCTACATATGGACAGTGAAAAAGCAAACAAAAACCAAGTTCATACCCCTTAAACCTCAATGAAACTTCACACCCACCCTGCCTTCTGATATTTCAACTACAGAAAAGTTCTCATATTCCACAAACTCTAATAAACTAGTAACATGTACTAAGGGTAAAAATATTGAAGGGTTGTCACACAAGGGTTACAAAATCACACAATGGTTTACTAAATATTCCCTAGAACTCATAGTACAATATTTATTATTGTTTTTTGCATTTGCTAAAACCAAAGTTGATAAGCCTGTGATAGCTAATTCTGCTAAAGTTATTAAGAAAATATTACATTTCTGTCTCAGGTATGGGCTACTGTGTGTCAAAGAGATCCTAGGATGTATGTTAACGAGTCTTCTCTTGGTACTCCTAGTATTTCTGCTTGCATTGTTTCTAGATAGACCTGGAAGATTCAAAGAATATCCTCATCCTAACATTCTAGATCCATTAAAGCATACATAGAACATTAATTTACTAACATCATAAGCAAATTTAAGCTGCAAAGTTTTTTAACTGAGAATTTGCCACCTGTCATCATTTAAAAAATCTAAAAGTCACCTGTTAAATCAATAACAAATTTCTAACCTCTAACAAAAAGAAAAAAGGTATATTACTTGCACTTTTCCCATAGTAACTAGAACATTTAAATGCCTATATTTCTTTAATTATTCATAAGTTGTTCATGTTAAATATTTCTTGCATTAGATATTAATACAAGCTTATTTTTAAAATATAAAATACAGAAAATCTCTCCCAACCAAGTCATGGCCTGATCAAGCCATGAACCTGGGTGGTAAAAAAAAATATATTAGTATACAAACTTTACAAAAACTAAACCCTTTTCCTCTTGAGATAAACAAGAAAGCCTTGTCCAGAAGGGGTTCTTTCAAGTCCTCATAGTGAAAAAGAGACCTCTCAGCAACCTTCTAGGTAATAGTACCTTATTAATACTGTTCAAAGTCCATGTTCTGATCCTAATTTTAATCATTAATACAAAGAAAAAAGGGGGGGAAGTTTGGGTGAATGTACACCCCCTCTCTAAGTCTAAGGTAATATAATGTCTTTCAATCAATCATATAACAGTACAATAATCCTATGATAAATGCATTTCAATGAACTCTGGGACATGCTAGACACCTACTTGATGTATCCAGCCTGAACTACGTCCTGCTTGGAACCACAGCATCAACCCAATGTCCTGTCAACAGATATCACAGAACTGCGAAACCAGAACAATTAATAACTACCTCATAGAAATCTGGGACTACTGAAATAACAGTTCATAGAGAGACTCTATTTGCTTACAAATTGCTTTATCTGTTTAGTTTTTTCTTACAGTTCTAAAGTTGAATGTTTCAAAGTTTTTAACTTCATTTTAGAGTTAAGATATAACTTACAACTTTGTTTACAAATTATTTTTCGTGTTTACAAACTGTGTTTCTGATTACAAATTGTTTTTTCTAGTAGTTAGACTTTTCTTTAATAGTTAAGAGCTAAGTAGTTTGTTCTCAGGTGGCAAATAGAATACAATTTGTTTGGCAATCCAGGACATTTTTAAAGATAAATTATTATTTGTAACCTAAACTTTAAGCCTGTAACATGCTAACCTGAATTCTTGCTTACAGACTCTGAACCAAAATGCTAAAGCTTCACTAATATATAATTTATGAAAATTAAAACCATGCTGTTTTCTGTCACTCTGATTGCAAAGGACCCTTGGAAAACGATGACAGAGAGCAAGTTACAATTTTAGTAAAGACAAAAGGGTGAGATGTTGCAGTACAAGCTGACTTGTACTGAACATAATCCATTTACAAATAAGAAACCCAGCCCAGTTCCATAAACCAGTCTCTAGGCTGACTGACAGAGGTCTCAACCAATAACAATTCTCATAAAATACAAGCATTTGACTGGTTCAGAGTCTGGGAGGCATGGGGATTAGACCAATGAATATTTAAGAACCAGGAGCTTTGAATTGCCTATAAAAGCAAGCCCCAAACAATAAAATATGCTGTTTGGCTGATGACCAAAAGAGGTCTGTTGTGTGTTAAGTCTCAGACATACGAACACCAACGTGTCACCATATGGTATGGAATATCCCTTTGGTCCATTTGGGTCAGGTGGCCTGGTTGTGTCATCAAATCTCTTCCTCAAACCAGGTTATTCTCAACTTTTGTTTCTATCTTGCAGAATGGGGATGTATGTATTTCAATTCTTCACCCACCTGTAGATGACCCACAAAGTGGAGAGCTGCCCTCCGAGAGGTGGAACCCTACCCAAAATGTCAGGTAACTGTGAATCTGTGATGTACAACAGTGACCTCAAAGGCCTGTGATGTCTCTCCAAGACTATGCCCTGTGTTGGGAAAGTTTTGGAATAGAATTAAAGACTTTAGGAGCTTTAGGTCCTTAACTGGGTGCGAACCAGACTTATCAAGTTGTCTAAAGTGCTGATGCTGAGGTGTCCTGATGATGGACTAACAATGTGGAGAATTCTGTCCTGTTTGCAGGGTTTCATGCTCCCAAAGTAACTGATTTCAAATTTTCTGCTCTTCCCTGGTCATTTTTATCCTATAGTTAGGGTTTTCAAACTGTTCCAAGATACCACTAGTGGAAAATAATATTTTTGGGTATTTGTGCCCTGTAGGAGTAATTTTGTTCATAATCCTGTCTGCTGTTTGCCTTACAGTATTTGTGTGTCTCCTGTCTTTCAGTGTCATATCTTGAGCGGTTAGCCAGGTAGCTTTCTTCCTGACAAAAAGACCCAAAGGATCACTAAGTATTAGAGGCATTTGGGGCTGGCCCGTCCTTTTTTTTTCCTTTTTAAACACTAGCTGAATTTCATTCTCATTACAAGACACTGCCAATAAGGAACTGATAAAACTCATATCAAGTAGCAGTTTACCTGTGCAGCTGGAGTAGTAAGTGATGTAGTGAAAAAACTCTAAGGTACTTCCTGTTTTAACATTTTAAACTGATTTATTATCCAAATAAGGTTAAAATAATTGCTTCTAGATTTTTATCATATGAGAATTATTCTTACTCTCAGATTTATTAGATGCTGGTCCCTCAACTTGAAATCTGTTATTTACTGGTAAATCCAGTAAGGATCTCAGGACACCTGAGGGAATACAGTTATTTGAAAAAGATTGACAGTTTAACTCAGCTTTCATCTAACTTGGCTTCACAAAATTCATTTGAAAGGAGCCTCTGTCAAAGCAAAGATCTAACAAGGGGGATTCAATGAATTCTTGACCCTTGAAATATGATTGTAACATACATTGCAAAGTGCTGAACTCTTGGGTTTCCTGCTGTTGGGATGACCCAAGAGTCCCTTTTTCCCAGCCCGATGGTCGAAGAAAGAGTCAGGATTCTTCGACTATGGTTCACAAGTTTGTTTATTATCTATTATCTAAAATATTTTTTCTCAGACCTGCAGAGGTCTGCTCTGTGGGTCTGTCAAGGGCACACTGCCCGCCCCTGAGCTGTTGTCTACATTTTATACTATTAACTACATGTACTTTGTTTATCATTATTTTCCAATACCTGTCACCTATGTTAGACAGTCTGTCTCTAAACCAATCTAAACGTGCCAGCATCACCCAGAACATGGAGGTTAGGAAGGAGAAAGAAGAAGGACAGGGAACGCCCAAATTCCTCCATCTTGGGACTCCAAACCCCTGTTCTAAAAATCCCAAAATTCTACTTTTCAAGCTGTGACAACTACTATTATGTTACTTAAACTTCTGTGACTTGTGATTCTTCATACAAGGTTGGTAATTTGCTCCATGGGTTAAAATCGAAATCCCAAGTGTCTTTGGCTTCCTGCCAGGACTCCTGAGCCCCCTGCCAGGGGCATGTGTCATCCAGGGCACCCAGAGGGATGTCCTGGGTTCCAACACTGAACTAGAGCTAACATAGCAGGAGACTAGGAATTGTAGCAGTCAGCAAATTATAATGGCTGATGTTCCTCCTGGAGCATGCTACTTGAGGGTTAAAAGGGCCCAAGAGAAATTGTGTATCTTAGCTGCATGAAGTCATGAAGGGTTGGGAATCTGATCCTTAGAGCTTGAGGTAAAGGTTATCCAATCCATCTGTACCAAATACACATTCTAGTTCAGACTTTTAAAAAGGAAAAATAGGCTTAAATACTGTCTTGTTATATTGCTAAGCTACATTCACCTGTCTCTCTTCTCAGATGGCTATTAAACTGTTTTTTTTCATACATCTGATATGGTTAGGACTATGTGACAAGCTTCAGCTCATAGTTAGAAAGCAGCTTTGGGCATTAGTTGCTTATAATGCACACACATTTTGAGTATTTCACAATATACAACCCTAAATATTGACATGAAACTTCTTATGGTACTAGTTCTCTGATTTCTGCTCTCCCTTACCATGGTGCAGTTTTTGGTGCTTACTCTTGGAACATGTTCGTCTTAACAGTGATATTTGGAGAGAAAACATTCCTCAGCTGTATCAGCAAGCAGAAATAAAACTTGTCCTTCACTGTTAGCCTGCTGCCTGTGTAACCTAGGGCTTCTCTTCAGCTGCTGAATTTTGTAAATCCGCTTACTACAGATGACTGTGGTTGAAGTGACTGGAGTGAGGAATGTAACTCTTTAACTTTGAGAGCACTTGTGCATCTCTCCACCTAATGGTTTCAAGCATGCTCAATATTTCTTTCTAAACACAGTCAATATGGACTTTCCCATCACTTGGAGCTAGATGAGGCTGGCATAAGTAAATATAGAAAACTTCCATCAAGAGGTGAAGGAATGCAGTTGTGATCTGTATGGCAGAATGTATTGCTTTTCTTATGTCCCATAAAGCTGAGGAAGTGGTTGCAGGGCTTAGGGGTTGAGGCTCTTTGATAAATTTTAGTTACCTTTCTCCATCTTGCCTGGCCTCACTGTGTCTTTTAAGGTGCACAGGCCAGAATTAAGCACAATATTCAAGATGTTGGTATATCTGTATCTTGTGCTGATATGTGATGCCTCATCATATTATTGCTTTGTTTTCTGAGGATACCCATTTTTGTTGTTAACATAGGGTCAGACAGACACACGACACAACACCAGTGGGTCATCAGCAAACTGTGTTTTATTGTTCAGAGCTTTCTTTTATAGGGAGTTCAAAACTCCTGGGTCTAGACAGCCATTGGTCTGATCTTTTACGCCCCCCAGATCCTGGACCAGTGACATGCCTGCAGCTTAGGATGAAATGTAATTGGTTGAGGTTCCTGTCTTTCAACACAGAGGCTGATTTTATGGAGCTGGCTGGGTAGCCAAATTAATTGCCCAGTACAAGCCAGCTTGTACTGTGATATAATGTGGCAACATTTTGTTGGCTTTTTTTGGCTGCTTTAGTGCATTGAGCTGTTTGCAGAAACTGTTCAGATGTAACATAACTTTCAGTACAGTCTAAGTTGGATACTTTTGTTGATACATGGAGAGAAAAAAATGCAGTTAGCAGTTCTGATTCCTTGAGCCTCTACTGGCTTCTCTTTGCTGATAAAGGCATGTAGAGGAACTGTCTTGGTTCCAGCCAGGACAGAGTTAATTTTTTTGCAGTAGCCATGAGGGGGTGGAGCCTGGACCTGTGTGGGCAGGGCTAGGAGGTTATTTTATACCACCTCACATCATTGCCAGCGTGGGATTAGGGTTCTCTCTGGCTTCTGGGAAGGGTGGGGCTTCCAGTGGAGAAAATTGTTGTGTGGCAGGAGGGCGAAACCTGCCCACCATTTCTTCCTTGTTCCCCAGGATTCATGGTGAGCATTTTTGCATGTGGATCACCCTCCCTTTTGTACACTTTTGTTATTTATATTTATATTGTTGTTGTTATTGTTGTTTTCTAATCTCATTGCTGTTTCCAGTAAATTGTTTTTATCTCAACCCGTGATCTTTTGTGCCTCCCATTGAAGGGGGGAGGCAGCCAACTGCAGGTCATGGTCTTTTTAGTGGGAGTACTAAATTGGGGAATACCATTCCTAAACCAGGACAGGCACTCACTCTGAAGACAACAGCACTGTAAACACAAACCAAAGAGATATGGCAGCTGATGAGCACACTGTTCCCCAGAATGGGGTGGGGGATGTAAGAAAGCAAAGGTGGGCTTTAAATACCCACTCTTCATGCAAACAATTTGTATGAAACAACATGCTAGAACCTCACCTAAGGGAGAAACAGATCCATAACTAAACTGGAGAGGGTCAGTCTGTATCCAATCTGGTGCAGTTTGTATGTGATGCTGAGGATGTTTTCAGTCACACATGGTGGAACTTTTTTGTGGTTTCTGTCCTGTCAGATCCCCTGTTCTGGGATCCCTTCCTGTTATTATACTTTGTTCACCTTGCTTACCCACAGCAGCAGGGTTTGAGTTAAGGAGAATGGCCAGCTTTTAAGGATATCAGCAGTGATGGAGCTGATCTAATGTGCTGGTCAGAAATGAAAAGTGCACAGTGTCTCACCTCTAATAGACAGTAGATAGAGTGTGGTAGAGTGGGTGCTAAATCCAGATGTGAATTCCTGTCCTTGGCTTTCTCTATATTTTGCTTGCTTTATAGTAATGATGCTGAAGCTGACATGCTGGCTTTGCAGCCTGATTGCTGAGAATTCAAAGGCTTTTAAATGAATTCTTGAATTGAAGTAAAAGATGGTTTATTTTCTGCCCAACATTCCAGTCTGACCAGACAGCTTTTTCCAGAGCTGCTGTTCTATTTCCTACTGAATTATATTATTTGGAAAGTAAATTGTATAGGACTCTCCTGATAGCTATGCTGAACAGTCTGGCCAGATGCAAGGGTTTAGTTTCAAAACCTTCTGTCGTGATTTAACTAGGAAGTGAGTTTCTGAGAAAGTTATAGTCAAACTAATCAGTGGCTAGATTTGAAATTAGCACCTGGTGTGGCCACTGAGGACTTGGATACGCCTCTGAGAATACACAGAAGTTAAAAGCAGAGCATTCTCAGAGATTTCTTCTTTAGAGTCCGGCAGGTGAGCTGATCTGACCTCTTCCTTGCCTAGCTGCATCTGGGTGGGGGAGGCCATGTGGTCTGAGAGAAGGGAGGCCGGAGCCTCTGTGAGAGGCAGGGGTGGAGGAGACCTGAGATAGTTTAGGCAGCCCCCCTAGGAGAGAATGATAGAGACTGTGCTGGCTTGAAATTTGATATCTCATGCCGGCACCACGGCCAGGAGGAGAAAGGGGGAGGCAAGGTGTCCAGCTGCCAGCAGACTGGGCTGAGCTTTTAACCTTTTTTCAACCTTTAAAAGCTGTAAAAAACACTGATCCTGCCCAGTTGAGAACTGAGAGGGGACGGAGGATAGGAACGAAAAAGAAGATTTGAGTAGGTGAAGAAATGTCAGCAGATGAGAGTGCCCTAGATAGAGGAGATGATTGGAGTAGCTTTAGCTGGACTTTTCTCTTACATAGCCACGAGACGAAACCAATTTCTTCTGATAATACAGAGACTGCACTTTGGGGGAGGCGGTTGGCCGGAAGCCAGGAGTGACAAGGTCTTGAGGAGAAGTAGAGGGAACAGAGACTGAGGAGAAGGGTGTAGTGGAGCCCTCTGCCTTCAGCGAAGGATCTCTGTTCCTGAGCCCCAGGCCCCAGGGGAGTGAATATGGGGGGGACAGGTGTCCCAAATGGTAAAGCGGCCACTTCTTAGAACTGAGCAATACATTCTTAAAAAGACTTAAAGAACAGTTTGAATCCATGGACAGTGGTGAGAGCACTGGACATAGAAAGAAGATGGTCACCACGACAGATTCTCTCCGGGCGACTGCCACGTGTGACATAGAAACACAGGAAGTTCCACTGTGTTTCCTGGAGAGGCCCATGGTGCAAGAGGGAGACTCCTCTCTCCTGATGAACTAGGGAGAGCTTGTGTGAAGAAAGGTATTAGACTAAAAATTGAATGCTAGAAGAAATTTGAGTGTTAGAGGGGTGGGGGGAGGAAAAGTGTTTTAGAAATGTTCCATTGTATATTATTATGTATGTTTTTTTCCCTTCTGTTTTTATGTTGTAGATTAATAAAGTGTTGTCTTTTCCCTCCATTCCTAAATTAGAGCCTGCTTTGTTCTGTTCCCGGGTCACATCTCACAGTAACCATTTTAGAAATACACCTTTCATAAGAGCACTGGCACTGTGCCAAAGTCAATCCAGAACACCTTCCTATAAAGTCTTCATCCAAATGGCCAAACATTTCCTTGAATTGTATCCCAGATAAATGATTTTGTGAAAAACTGAGCTTACTCTTTGAGATTATTAAAAGTTTAATAAGGGATAAAAAGGGACAAATATCCAGCACTGGGGTGGTTTTGGCAATTGGCCAAAAAACATACCTGTAGCTTAAAACGATGTTTTTCTATATTGTTACATTACAGGGGGTACATGCATATTCATGAGAGTTTATACATTATTCAAACATTCCTGGGAGTTTAGATGTTCCAGGAATTCTTTTGCTTGGTTTTAACCTTTGACTTGTCTTCATGCCATCTTGTAGATTAAATCAATATATTTTATTTCTTCTTGTGATTCCATCCTGCTGTTTTTACACTCCTTGATAACAAAGAGTCAATAAATTCTTCTCTTGGTGTTCTGCTTTTTGTCCCTGTTATCTTATCCTTCAGATAAGATAGTCCACAAAATGTGGGGAACCACCTAATTATCTTACACCATTCTTAGTTACGTGAAAAAGCATTTTAACATCACATAGTCTCTATTTTAATATTATGCTACTGTCTAAGATATATTTATCACACTACTATTTATATAAGCTATATGGTGCATACTTAAACTGACAGATTATGCTATACCAAAAAGCAGTTAAAAGGAAATATAAATTGTACCATATCAAAATCTTTATGATTAATAATATGCAAAAGCTAATACATAAATGTGAAAGCCAATACTATATTGTCATTTATAACAATATGCTTGTAGATATGCTCAGCATGCATTTCTCTGAATATGCCTCTAAATAAATTCAAGTAGAGTTGGGGCTGTAGTCTCCTTTAATCATGTTCTGCAAAGCAGTTGTTATGTACTGCTATATTTCAAGATTTATTTCCTTGTCTCTTGTTCTTCCCTTCCATTTAAATTAAAAGTTGCTCAAAGCAGGACCACCTCAGACACAGGAAGCTATTGCAGTGGTAGCTACAGCCAGGTGGCCAGGTGTGTAGAGCTGCCTGATGGGATTTGCTGTTGTTTTGTGCTGGTTGTGACACTATGTGAGGAACAAAGGGCTGAATCTCTGAAGTGCAGAGTTGTAGGAAATGCAAAAGGGTCTGGCCAGCAGAGGGAGGTGGTGTTTGTGCCTGATAAATGCCAGCAGAGCAGGGCAGCTGGCTAGCTCTGGGCTGCTGCTAGAAATCCAGGAAGGCTGTCTGTCTGCCAGGGGTTACATGACTGGCTTATGCTGGCTTTGCTGAGTACCAGCAGTTCAATCTTGCTGGGCCCTTTTCAGCTTGCCTGAGTGTTGAGTACAGCAAAGGGAAGACAGTGCAGGTATTTTTCAAGTACTGCTACAGCAGTCTTGGCACACAGGCTGAGGAGAAGGGAGACCTGGCCACAGCTCCAACCTCTTAATACACTGTGGGGTAGGGAAGGCAATGCAGCCTCATCTGATGGCCTTGGGTTGTATCAGTCAGGATAAACAAAGAGCCTGGCTTTCTGCTGTGAGGCTGAATGTCATGAAGAACAGGCTCACTAAGCAGGTTTTCAACCCTGCACCATCTATGGGTGGTATGGATAAACTGAATTCTGGTCTGATGCAAACGTTACCTGCTGCCCTGTCACAAATGTGTACAGACATGATAGTCTGTCATCAGATTAGGTCTTTGAGGTTTGTATTGTGTTGTCTTCCCTATGCTGATCACCAAGGTCTGAAGTTCATAAGTATTTGCTCTTACTTCAACTATTGTCCTGTTGCCTTTTTCCCAACCTGGGAATGAAACTCAAGATAATTTTAGTAAGGAGGTAATATAAAGGGGGATCTTTATTTGAAGGCTTCAGAGGCAGTTATGGAAAGATGTCCACAAAACCCTACCCCCCGCAGGGCTGAGTACATTTTTACATCCAGAATCCGTGAATGCGTTAGCTCTGACTCTGCTGTTGTGATTACCTGTTTCAGGACTATCTTACTGAGTGTAATCTCTTTGCTTAATGAGCCCAACACATTCTCTCCTGCCAACGTGGATGCATCAGTCATGTTCAGGAAATGGAGGGACAGTAAAGGAAAAGACAAGGAGTATGCTGAAATCATAAGGTAAGCTTTGCTGTGTGTGATGCTGTGCTACTGGCCTCCTGCTTTGAATCCTATGAAACAGGATGATTTCAGAATTTGCTGAAACCAGCTTCTTGCTGTGGTTGCTTCTTTCAAAATTAAGTTTACAGCTTTATTCCAAGTTCATTCTTCTGGACAGAAATGGTGCAAACATCTGTCTTTGTATTGTTCTTTTTCAGAATAATCTGGCACAATGCTCTGCAAAACCTATTGGCTGCTAGTAAATTCTAGTCTAAGTCCCTGTGTACCTTTGAGGACTGCTTGCATTGCTTGAGATGTGATTCAAACTGCCTTCATGCTACTAATTCTGTGCTTAATGCACTCATGAATCATAATATTGTCCCTCCAATTTGAAGGAATATCAGTAGGATTTGGCAAGTGCTTGCACAGCTGGGTTTGATTAGTTGGAAGCGCTGTTTAGTCTTGACTGCCTTTTTCTGAGAAATTCATGGTTCATCAGGTACTGTAGGGAGGTGATGTAAACTTGAGCCAAGATTGCTGTGGAGTGGAAATGGGCAGCCCATACTGCAGTGGGACTGCTGTCACGCTTGCCTGGGGCGTGACCACATATACCTTGACTGCTAGCTGGATATACCCCTGGTTGGAGCTATGCAGGGCAGTCAGTCACTGTCCTGGGCTGTGCAAAGAGCCTTGCTGGAAGGCTATTTTAGTCCCCTCCAGCTGCATTGGCTTCAGCTGGATGTACTCCATAAACAGAGTATGGCAGACAGCATGTGGGTGGGAGTAAAGGAACAGGCTGCCATCTGCTCCTCTCCCTGATGGGAGGCAGCAACAGTTCGCAGCTCAAGTACTGCTGAGAGGCACCAGCCAGAGCCCATCCTGGAGCAAAGGGAAACACTTGTTTCCTGCTATCCTTGGTCAGTGTTGGGGTTACAGCTGCATCTCAGAGTGCAGCCACATGCTCTTACCCTCCAGTGGGAGCTCAGAGCTGACAAATGCTTGTGGGAATGAGTTTTGACCATGTTGGGGTAGAGTCATCAGTGGTGGAGGGTGGCTGTGGATAGCATCTCTGGATGGCATTTCCTAAGTCATCTTAGGAAATCTGTGACTATCCCTTCTGTAAAAAATGTAATGGAATTTGCTTTGAGTTCTGGCAGATCTCTAATGCAGAGTCCTGTAGAATAATTTATTTCATATGTTGCTGAGAGTGTGTGTGCTGCAAACACCCTTGGAGTGCTCCCAAGCCTGGGGCTGCAGGAACTAAATCTGTTTCTAGTGATGCTTGTGGTGCTTCAGCCAAACATCAGCTCTCCTGACTAAGCTGCCAGGAGGGCTGGGCAGGGGCTGGTTGGGAGGTGGGGAGTTGAGCCACACTGCTGCCAGCACATGGCCCTGCTCATGTTGCTGTGTCCTCCCCCAGCCAATGTGGATGCGTCAGTCATGTTCAGGAAATGGAGGGACAGTAAAGGAAAAGACAAGGAGTACGCCGAAATCATAAGGTAAGCTTTGCCAGTCGTGATGCTGGGTGGGCTACCAGCATTTTGCTTTGAATCCTGTCAAACAGGCTGCTTCCAGAATTTGCTAAAACCAGCTTCTCACAGCAGAATGTAATTTGGAAATTAATTTCAGTGTCTTATTCTAAGTCCGTGCTTCAGGTCCCTCCAGAATTTTCAGCACACAGAAGCAGTGCAAACTTCTGGGGCAGGAGGACTGGGCTGATTTGTCTTTAAATTGTTCTTTTTTCAGACTAATCTGTCATGATGCTCTGCAAAACCTACTGGCTACTAGTAAATCCCAGTCTAAGTCCCTGCTTGTCTTTAAGCCCTGCATTGCTTGGGATGTGATGCAAACTGACTGCATCCTACTAATTTCTGTTCTTAATGCATGCATGAATCATAATCTTGTCCCTCCAATTCAAAGGAGCATCAGCAGGATTTGTCAAGGGCTTGCAGAGATGGGTTGGATTAGCTGGAACCACTGGTCAGTCCTGCCCTTGGAGAAGTGCACGGTTCATCAGGAGCTGCAGGGGATGATGTGAGCGTGGGCCGGGGCTGCTGTGGAGGGACAGCCCAGCCTGGAGCAGGACTGCTGGCACGAGGCCACATCTGCATTGTCTGTGCCAGCTGGGTGGAGCCAGCGGGGCTCTGCCTGTGCAGAGAATCCTCCAGCTCCCTCGGCTCCAGCAGAGCTGGGTGCACTCCCCACAGGGAAGGGCAGACTGATGTGCCCTGGGTGGGTGAGAGGACAGGCTGCCAGCTGCTTCTCCCTGCACTGGGATGCAGCAGCCAGGCCTGGCTCGGGGTTATGGAAAACACTTGGCTTCTGTGAGCCCCAGGCTGTGTCCTGGGGTGCTGCCATGTGCCCCAGCTGCTCTGACCCTCCAGTGGGAGCTGAGAGCTGCCAAAGGCTTGTGGGAGTTGCAGTTTTGAGCATGCTGTGGGAGCGTAGTCAACAGCAGAGTCAATAAATCATCCTAGGAAATCCCTGACCGTCCCTACAGTAGCAAATGGAATTTGCTTTGGCCTCTGGTAGGTTTCTAGTGCAGAGCCTGTGGAGTAACTGATTTCATGTGTTGCTGAGAGCGTGTGTGCTGCAAACCCCCTTGGCATGCTTCCAGGCCTGAGGCTGCAGGACCCAAATCTGTTTCCAGTGCTGTTTGTGGTGCCTCCTGCAAACCTCAGCTCCCTTCCCCAGCTGCCAGGAGGGCTGGACAGGGCCTGGCGAGGAGGGTGGGGAGCTGAGCCACTGGCACACAGCCCTGCTCACATTCCTGGTGTGTCCCTCTCCCCACAGGAAACAGGTTTTGGCTACCAAAGCTGAGGCAGAGAAGGATGGTGTGAAGGTCCCCACTACACTGGCAGAGTACTGCATCAAAACTAAAGTGCCTTCCAATGACAACAGTTCAGATTTGCTTTATGACGACTTGTATGATGATGATATTGACGATGAAGACGAGGAGGAGGAGGATGCCGACTGTTACGATGATGATGATTCTGGCAATGAGGAGTCGTGACCTGCTCCCTCTATGCCCCTGTACTGCCCTGTCAACTCAGGCCAGAAGGGAGCAGTGGTAACCTAGCAGCAGTCCAGCAAAAAAGTAGTGGTGGGAGGGGGGATCAAAAAACTGTCTCCTGCTGTCTTCTGTTGTATGGATCTGTTTGCTCCTTTTTTATGGACCTCTTAGAGACCCTCCACAGAATGTCTGAATTCTTGCATTCTTAACCCTTTCATCACTGTATTACAATTTCTTTTTAAAAAAGAAACTCCCCTTTTCACTTCTCTACAAAATGCTCACAGCAAAACAGGTTTGCTCGTGTTTAGATTCTTGAATTAAATACAGTCTTGCATTGAGATGTTTAATGTATTTAAAGCTGGAACAAACCCATTGGAAGATGAATTTTCAGGAGCTCAAGTACTGCATTTACTGGGAAGAAAAAAATCCACACAAAGCAAATTGACAGGGTTTAGCTGCTCCATTTATAATAATAGCGTGTGTACATTTGTTTAGCCTTTTAGTGGTGGCTTTTCCTTTATAAGGTGTGGGGTGGAAAGTGTAAAGCTACTGTGTGTTGAGCTTAATGGGATGTTACTGAAAGGTACAGGAATCTGTTTAGCCTGATCAAATTAGGAAATAGCTGGCCCCCGGATCCCCAGAGGGCACAATCAGCTTTGTCTCTGAAAAAGGCTTGTGATATGAACCCTAAAATAAACACTTAACACTTCACGTCTGTACAATTGAGCCCTGGGTTGCATTATTTTTTTCAGACTAGGTTTGGGTTGAAAAAGTTTCATTTAGCCATTCTTCTGGGATCTGCTGTCAGCTGCCCCTCTACTGAGGGAGGAAAACAGAAGTGTATCCCACTGCCCAGTGGGCCAGCATTCATCCTGAACTTCTTTTTGGCAGTGGGAGAGTCTTCTTCAGTGCTTGCTAGTAGCCCTTGCTTCCTGCAGCCCAAGTCCAGTGCTGGCCTGAGCCTTCTTTCTGTTGCTTATGTAGGTCACCTGCTGGTAAATGCAGCTCTGCTGTAGCTCTGTGGGGTTGGCAGAAGATAAAGCTCCCTGGGACAGCCAGGCTGTTCCTGTGCCTGCAGTGGCTTCTGGGACATAGGGCAGAGAGATGGATGGGTGCTGGGCTCTCTCCTGCCTGGCTGGCTGGGGCACAGGTGGATGTGTGCAGCCCCACAAAGAGAAGGGCACACAGTGCTTTCAGGCTGAAAAAGAAAGCCAGCAATCAGGGTTTGGCAGCTTATTTAGGAGTATGCTTCAGCTGGTGCCCTGAGCTCAGTCTCCTGCATGATTTTGGGATCTCTTGGAAGAGCTTAGGGCCCTCAGCACCCTCACCCCATTGCAGTGTGCTCTTGTTCAGCTGTAGTGCAGTGCCCTGAATTCACCTTTCACATGGATTGGCAGCCAGCTCTGCCCTTCTGCGCTGAGCCCTGGCAGTCCCGGGAGCAGATCAGAGGTGCTGGCCCTGCTTGGACAAGACCCTCTGTTCTCACAAGATGTAGTCACCCTGATAAGAACTGCAGGCTCAGGCATTTGGTATAGCTTGGTGGTTTTAATGATACATCACCAGCTGCAGTCCCTCAAGAGGTACTTTGGTGGGAGTAAACTTTGGTCTGTGATCAGCTTGGTGGGAAGCAAAGAGCAAGATGAGAGTGAGCAAGCTTAAAGTGTGTTGCCTGGAGGGAGAGGAGGGGAAGGCCTGTGGGGCTCTGTTTGAAGTTATCAGAATGTTGCTTGGCTGGGGTTTGCTGCAGCAAGGACAGTCTCTGTCCCTCTGCCCCAGCTTATGCTAGTGTGCCCTCAGCAGAATGAAGGCAGCCCAAGTGGTAATACCTTGTCCCCAGTGTGTTCTGTGATGGTCTGCCCTCCTGCTTGCTTTTTACCTGGGGAGGCAGCTGGAACCCTCCTGAAGTGTCCCACAAAGGCTCCTTCAGGTCATCCTTCCATCAAGGACTAACAACTCCTGGTGCTTTTTGGAGACAGCAGTGCCCCCCCCCCCCCCCCCCCCCCCCCCCCCCCCCCCCCCCCAGCTTCACACCAGCCCTGGGAGGGTGATGCCAGTGTTGGCAAATGGGCCTCTGGCACTCAATGCAAGACTAGTCTCAAGGCCACACTGGGCCAGGAACATCAGTCTCCAGCTTTGAGGGGCTGTTGGGGGCATGAAGGAACAGAGTATGGCAACACTGGCTGTGCTGACTTGGTTTGAAATGATACTGCATCTTTCAGGATTTCCCTTGTATTTTTGACTGTCTTCACTGTTCACTGTACACTCTCCAGTGAGTTGTATTTTCAAGATTGGTGTTGTAAGATTCATTATCTCATGTTAACCTTTTTAGACAAAAAGCAACCTATTTTGAGAGCTCTGAACATAATCAAACTAATTTCTCTTCCCCACTGTCCTGTGCAGTGTCATTGCTTGTTGACTTGCTGGTTTCATTTTTTGAGATATAAACTGAAATGAGGATATTATGTTTAGGTGGGGTTTTTTTGGGTTTTTTTTTTTTGGGTTTTTTTTGTTTTTTTTTTTGGTTTTGTTTTTTTTTTTTTTTTTTTTAACCTATTTAAGAAGTTGTGGGAAAAATGTTTACCTGATCTTTGTATTCTGTTTTTTTTCTTAACCTTTTTCTCATCTCAGCCAATATTAGTGTTTACATTTGCAACTACCTGCCCTTTCAAATACAGTTTTCAACCATTCTGAAACCAGCAGGGTACACTACATTTCTTAGTAGTTTTCTTAGCTGAAATCCCAGATGGTTTCCTTTTTTTCTTCAGTATAATTTACCGGAAAGAATTAACTGATGCATTTTTGTGTTGTCTTCCCCTTCAGTAGTTATGTTTTGTCTTTTCTGCACATCTATTAATAAAATGTGAAATGAAAATATGCCAGTACTGTTACTTCCCTATTAATTGAGTTGGTTTATCTGCATGGCTTACTTAAAGCTTTGAATAACAGCTGTTCACAAATTCAGTGGTGCTCCAGTATAGATACCTATACATGTACATAAATAATCTACAAGGTTATTAGAAAACTAAAGCTGCTGTTTGACAGCTGTCTATACCTTAAAGAACAAACTGATTTGGAGAAGCACTTTGGCAAAAAGCCATGAGCTTTGCTGTTATATTTATTTATTTATTCATCTTAAGTCAGCAAAGAGGAGACCAGGGAGAAGACTTAATGGTATCATATGACTGCAGCAGGATGCAAGGACTTGGAGTAAAGGTGGTGCTGGCATGGGGTTGGGGTGCTGCTAGTGGCCAGTTTTCTGGGGCAAGGTGCTTTGACCTCATGCAGAAAACTGGCAGAGGAATTAAGGTAATCACTGCCAACCACCCCTTCAGGGTGCTTGCCCTGCCTGGCCCATGCTGTTCCCTCCAGGCTCAAGAGTGGAGAAGTATCTGTTTTTGCAGTGCTGAAATTAGCAGGACATGTGTACAGGTGTTGTATTTTCTATACAACACTGCAGCACAGCAACTGCTGAGTCAAATGTGAACCCCCAACCCCCCCCCCCCCCCCCCCCCAAAAAAAAAAACAAAAAACCAAAAAACCACAAACCAAAACCACAAACAAAAAAAGGCCTTTATTATTAAAAAAAGTGAAAAATAAAAAGGTGAGAGTGCAGCTCAGGGCCACAGCGAACAAACTGCCCACAAGAGTTCATCTTCCACAGCAGGAAGGAATGAGGAGATGAAAGAAAGAGGAAGGACCCACAAAACTTTTTTCCCCTTCCCCCATCCCCTTTTTTATCTCTTTCAAGTAACAGCTATATTGGGGGCTGAGGGCAGAAATCAAACCAACAGGACACATCTTTTTTTTTTTTTTTTTGGGGGGGGAGCAGGTCTTATTTGCCTAAATTTAGAACTGCATTAAATAAATAGGCTCCAGCTCGTAGATTTTGTATGGAAACAGAGCACTCAGGTTTTTTATAAAAAAAAAAAAAAAAAAAGGCACAGTTTGTCTTTTGACAGAGTTATAAAGCTTAAAAAAACAAGGAAGGATGATCTGATGCAAATGGGAAATTCATAATAAGTTTCCCTACAAAGAAAATAAAACAGGCTGCAAGATGCAGAAAACCACATTTAGCCTCTATTGCATTTACAAATACATACATAAATATATTACATACAACAGCAACTTCAAGAGGAAGCAGGCAAGTCATACTGAGAATGGCTGCCTGGCTGCAGTTCTCCCCCACAGATGTTCGGCTGAGCAGTAATTTCTCCTAATAATTCTAGGAATGGGGGTCAGCTTTTTCTTTTTCTCTTTTTTTTTTTTGCCTCCTCTCCTTTCATTCTCTCCCCCCTCCCCAGTTTTGGATTTAGTTTGTCCAGTATGGAGAAGTACCATAGGTTTTGGTAGCCTGAGACTTTTGCTGCATGGTGCTGGGTTGATTGCGTTGGCCAGATCCACCCTAGAAATCAGAAAGAAAGGAGACATGAGCACCAACACTACTAGGAAGACAAGCCTGTCCATACATCAGCAGAGGAGCTTCCACCAACACAGCGATGCTCCCCCCCGGATGGATCTGTTTCTGCTCTGCAACATCTCTGCATCCTGTAATCCAGGACAGTCACAGAGAAACCAAACAGAAGAGCAAGGACTACCATCCCACTACCTCCCACTCAGGTTTAATGACAAGGAAGAAGAGGAGCAGGACTGGGGACAACAAAGGAACTCTCCCAAGGTGAACAGAAGCAGTACACCAGCCAAAGTTGACACACATTAAGAAACAGAAGTAATTTCCTGTTTCTTGATTCTAAGGCAGAACATTTTTTTGGAGAACATTTATAGTAAGAAAACACATGGGCTGGTAAAATCAAATCAGAAATTGGAACCAACATGCAGGGTCACCTAGAGCTAGTTGTTCAGACCTATGTCCAGACAGCTCCAAGGATGGAGACTCCACAACCTCCCTGGGCAACCTGTGCCAATGCTTGGTAATCATCCCAATAAAAAAATGTTTCCTGATGTTCAGAAGGAACCTCCTGTGTTTCAGCCTGTGCCCATTGCCTCTGGTCCTGTCACTGGGAACCACTGAAAAGAGCCTGGCTCCATCTTCTTTGCACCTTCCCTTCAGGTACTCATATATATATATTGATGAGATCTCCCCTGAGCCTTCTCCTCTCCAGGAGGAACAGTCCCAGTTCTCTCAGCCTTTATGGATAAGAAATTACCCAGTCCTTTCATCATCCTTGTGGCCCTTTGTTGGACTCTCCAATACATCCATGTTTGTCTTGTACTGGGGAGCCCAGAACTGAACATGGGACTCACCAGTACTGAGCAGAGGGGAAGGATCACCTCCCTTAACCTTCTAGCAGCACTCCTGCTAATGCAGCCCAGAATGCCTTTTCAGCAAGGGCATATTGCTGGCTCATGGTTAACTTGGTGTCCACCAGGATGCCCAGGGCCTATTCTGCCAAGCTGCTTTGGCTCCCAGCATATACTGGTGCATGGGGTTGTTTCTCCCCAGGGGCAGGACTTGGCATTTCCCCTTGTTGAACATGAGATTCCCTCCCCAAGCTGGCCAACAGTATTGAGTCTGTCAGTCTACAATTGCTGTCAAGGCCCTTTCCCAATGAGCAAAGTAAAAACCAGAAGGAAGCAAAACCCCCCAAGACCTTGCTAGGAATCTGCCCTCAGGCACACTGAAGATGATGAACGGGCTGACTCACCTGCCCATCTTGCTGAAGATGGTGATGCAGCATCTGAGAATGAGGCTGCTGATGCACAGGGAGGATATGGAGAAACGGGGCTGGAGCATAACCTGGGGCAGCACCAGGGTTCAGCCCAGTTGATCCGAGAGCAGAAGGTAGGCTAAAAGAAGGTGGTGTGCCAGCATGGAATCCCTGTTTGTCAAATGTCTGCAAAGGAGGTGAGGGGAACAGCATCAGAGACTGGTGTGAGCAGCCCCATAGTGACCAAACAAGAACAAGAGTGGCTCAAACACACATCACCTGAAACTTTCATCAACCCCCCACAGAGCAAGCCAAGTTACACCTGCAAGCACTTCAGCAGATGAGCTTCAGCTCCTTTTCTCATCCATTCTTCTGAACTAATGATTCCAACATTTCATTTTTATTTCCACAGCTACTATGCTCCTTTTTTCCCTGACCTCTTTTTATTCAGTGGGACATGGGATGGCAGCAGCTGCCTGAAATCAGTCCTTCACGCATTATGGGGTCTCAGGCTGAAATTACAAAATCAGAAGAACCACTTGCAATAAGATTTTTTCCCCCTGACCAAAGCTCAACCCAGCCTCTTGACTCACTTGCTTTGAGGGATATTTTGACCAAAAACATTAGTGCCATCACACTTCATTTGCAACCAGGACACAGCACGTGTGTGGCAGCATGGGCAGTGTAGAGTGCCCACACCTATGCCAACAGCTGCCATCAGGAGCAGTGGAACAGAGAGTGAGACTCCTCTCCAACAGCAAACAGCCAGCATAAGAAATGCCACAGCCTGTTGACCCTGAGAACCAACTGGCTTGGGAATAACCCTAACCTCCTCCACAAGGGGATCCATGGGTCAGGCCTCAAGAGCACAGGGGAGGAGTCCAGCATTGCTCACCTGAGTCTTGTTATAGACTGAGCCACTGATATCAGGCACACCCGTGTTACTTGAGGTCACAGAAACACCTGGAAAACAGAAACACCACCAAAGGTGAGAATGTCATCCCATCAGCCAGCAGAAGCCCAAGCTTTCTCCCAGCACCTCTGGCTGGGAATGCAGCCTCAGGGGATGCACTGCCCTGCTGGTTCTCCATGATGTCAGACCTCACATGGGAACAGAAGGAAGGGATCAGCTTTTTGTTCCTGCTGCAAAAGCCCACTGGGATAAATCACCCAGGTCCACACCCAGCCATTAACACTCAGATTCCAATGCACTTCACCAGGCAGCAGTTGGCTGCACTGACCACTCACTGAAGCCCAGTAAAAGCCAGCATTCCCCTAGGATCAGAGGTGCATTTGGCTCTATTGCAGCATTCAAGAGCTTTCCAGTAGTGCCCTGATGATGAGACTCAGCATCTCCTACCCATCTGAGCCCCTGTCCTTTCACATCCTACAGAAGAGTGAAGTCTGCAGTGCTCCTCTGCCCTGACAGAATCAGCATCGCTGCCCCAGAGACACTTATTCACAGTTTTATAGAGGGTGGCTCTGAGAATTCCACTTGGATCAGAATAAAGCCAATGGTTGCTTTGGTCGGTGAGTCAGAGATCTGGGCTCAAGTGTACTGCTCTAAGCTTTTGTAACCCTCCCTGGACACTGCTGCATTGCTTGGACACTTCCTGGATTGCTTCTCCACTAAAAAGAGTGTGACCACCTGGTGTTTCATATGCACAGCAAATGCTTAGTACTTGCTTCAGAATGAGGATGAACCATATAGTGCTAAGCAGCCCAGTGTACGCTTCTCAGATCTGACCAGCATGTGCCAAATAAAGCTTTTGTATGAGCTGGATAAATTCTTCAGCTTTTATGGTCACAAAGAAAATATTTCCAGGCATGACACAACATTATGAGTGTGTACAGGCAGCAGCTAGACAGCCCAGAGATGTGTGAAGTGCCCTGCTCCTCTCTAACATGTGGGTGTCTCAGGTCCCTACCAGGAAATTTAAAATCTATCTATGATTTGGCAGAGGAACAGTTCAGCAGCAGCACTGAATGGCTCAAGTTTCAAGACTGCAGCACTGTTGAAGGATCACTATATTCTTTGGCAAAGAAAGCTTTGGCTTAGGAAGCAGCTTACCATTTCTCCCATGTGTAATTGGACCAAGCTGTGCATCAGCTGCACAAATCTTTATGCAAAGTTCAGCCATGAAGTTTAGAAGGAGCAACTGGGCCATTAGAAAAGCATTTTGTATGCGGGAGATGGAGAAACAGCTTGGATCACATCAGGCACACCCGTGTTACTTGAGGTCACAGAAACACCTGAAAAACAAAAAACAGTCACCAACAAGGGGAAAGTCAACCATCACCTAGCATGAGCCCCATGCTTTGCTCCCAGCACCTCTGACAGCCTCAGTGGATGCACCTTTGCTGCAACCACTGCACCCCACACCCTGATGCTGCTTCTGGCCCACCTGGTGGGATTCTCCATGCTGTCAGACCTACAGCACTGCACATAGGAACAGAAGAAATGGTTCAGTTCCTCACTCCCACTGCAAAGCAGGAAAACAGTCAACTGGAATAAATCACCCACATTCACAACCCAGTGGTTACCACTTGGATTCAAATGCACTTAATGCACTTCACCAGGTAGCAGTTGGCTGCACCAAACACTCATTCAAGCTCACAAAAAGACAGCTTTCCCCTAGGATTAGGGGTGCATTTGGTTCTACTGTAGCATTCAACAGCTTTCCAGTAGTGCACTGAGCAATGAGATTCAGCATCTGCTACACATTTGAACCCTTGTCCTTTTACATCCTGCAGAAGGGTGAGGTCTGCAATGCTCCTCTGCCCAGAGAAAATTAATATCACTGATTCAGGTTGCCTTCCATCTAGACGGTCTGGTGCCATATCAGGCTCAGGAACACTCACCAGCAAGGTGATTTTCAAACCAGCCACTTATTCAGTCTTATAAAGACTATCTCTAATCATTTCACTTGGCTCAGAATAAAACTAGCTGTTCCTTTGGCCAGTGAATCAGAGGACTGGGCTCAGAGGGTGTGCACTGCTTTACAGTTGTTCCCTTCTGAGGACATTGCTCCTTTTTGGATTGCTCCTCTACAGATGAAAGCATGATCGGCTCTTGGCTGAAGACAGCATTTCAAACACACAGCAAATGCTTGGTACTTGCTAAAGTCCAAGGATGAACTAGTTAGTGCTAAGCAGCTAAGTATACACTTCTCAGGTCTAACCAGCATGAGCAGAATAAAGCTTTCATATGAGCTATATAAATTCTTCAGCCTTTACAGTCACAAAGGAAACATTTTCAGGCACAAAAGAAAGTGATGAGTTACAGGGTATACAGACAGAAGCCAAACAGCCCAGATACGTGTGAATTGCCCTGTTCAACCCTAACACACGGCTACCTCAAGTGACTACCAAGAAATCCAATTTAGTCTTCATTTGGCAGAAGACAATTTTAGCAACAGCATCCAACTGCTTAGGCTTCAAAAACACAGCACTGTTGCAGGATCACTATATTCTTCAGCAAAGAAAACTTCAGCAGAGGAAACAGCTTACCATTTCTCCCATGTATAATTGTGGACAAAGCTGCACATCAGCCACACAAATCCTTATGCAAAGTTCAGCCGTGATGTTTAGAAGGAACACTTGGGCCATTAAAAAAGCATTTTGTATATGTGAGATGGACAAACAACTTGGATCATGACCCTGTTTAGAGCTGGCTGCTGTGTTGACTGCACACCACTGGGAATTTGCCCTACTAAATCCCACTCCAGAGGAACCTCCAGTCTCAAAGAGCCGTGATGTTTAGAAGGAACACTTGGGCCATTAAAAAAGCATTTTGTATATGTGAGATGGACAAACAACTTGGATCATGACCCTGTTTAGAGCTGGCTGCTGTGTTGACTGCACAGCACTGGGAGTTGCCCCTACTAAATCCCACTCGAGCAACCTCATGTTTCATGTTACCTTTCCCAGGTCCAGTGCCAGCAGATTTGTTTTGTGCTTGAGATGACCCACTGTAGCCTCCTTTGCTGTAATCTCCAGTGGCCGTTCCCTGCGTTAAGTCATCGTAGCCTGCCGGGATGCACGAGAAGGGCGTTACGGAGCGCGAGCGGCGCCGCGCGCTCCCAGGGGAGCAGGGCTCAGCCTCACCTGCACCGTAGCCATGCTGGCTGTAGCCACTCGCCTGCTGAAAGGGAGTCGACGCCGTGTTCAGGTTGACTCCATGCTGTTTAGCAGATGCTGGAGGTACCTGGACAAAGGACGGGAACAAGAAGTGCCGTCAGCTGGAACACAAGCTCCCTCTGCCATCTAGTGGGGAATTCCTCATTTCGGGAATTCAGTCTGGACTGGGAGGACTGGGATGGCATGGGACTGCTTACAGCAGTAACTTGCTATGGTGGATTTGTGTCACAGGATTTCTCCTAGAGCTGTCCCTGAGATTGCAGTGCAGCCCTCCCTCAAAACAGGCTGCGTATTTCTTTAATATCCTGAATGTAAAGAGCAAATTTTTACCCACAAACCTGAGAACCACAGAATCAAAGTAAACATCAATTCCTGCCTGAGGCTGTTCATAAAGTACTAGCATTCAGGGCCCTAAATAGCCTCATCTACCCCTCTGCCTGGAGCAGCACCTCTTCCCACATAACTTCCTTCCTCCTGAGACTTCCAGCCCTGCTCTCTGACTTAATGAGGTCTCCTCCATCCAGGCTCTCTCAGCTCACTGACTCAGCTTTGGGTCTCCCCTTGACTCTCCAGGGACTAGTAAGGGCTTTCAGGAATAGCAAGTCCACAAAATGCAGCTGTCAGCTATTTACACAAACTTGCACAGGGGTCCATGAGTTCTGGCCTTTTAAATATTTTGTTTTCTTCTGGGTGAGATTGTAACTATTTTCTCACATTGCATATTTCTGGAGATCTCCTGCAGACTGGGGAAGTTGGCTCTATTCCATTCCAATGAGAATCCATCTGAATACTCCAGCTCTGGAGTCCTCAGTATGAGGAAGCTGTGGACCTGTTGGAGCAGATCCAGAGGAGGTCACAGAGGTGCTCAAGGGATTGAGCTCCTCTCTCTTATGAGGACAGGCTGAGAGCTGGGGCTATTCATCCTGGGGACTGTGACCTTTCTACACTTAAAGGAGGCTTATAGGAAAGATGGAAAAAACATTTTCCAGGCCCTGTAGTGACAGGACGAAGGGCGGATGTTTTAAACTGAAAGGTAGTAGATTTAGATTAGATATAAAGAAAATAGTCATCACCATGAGGGTGGTGTGGCACTGGCACAGGCTGCCTGGAAAAGGTGTGGATGGCCAACATCCCTGGAAGTGCTCAAGGCCAGGTTGGACAGGGTTCTGAGCAACCTGGTCTAGTGGAAGGTGTGTAAGTGTCTGTCCGAAATTTCCCTCATTCTTTGCCTCCCAATCGTCATGAAAAGACAAAAATTGGGACCACTGGGGAAAAGAAAGATCCTGTTCTAGGATCCTGGTCCTGCTTGAATTGTCACCCACCAAGCCAAGCCATTGTTTCACAGGTGTGTTTGTTCACCTCACGGGACGCTGCACTCCATGAATAAGAAAGGGACACTGTGCCCTCCTTCACCTGCACCACTTCACAACACTGGTTCTGGAATTTCCCACACCTCCTAACTTGGCTGGACTTTCTCTCTGGAATAACCTTTTGGGCAGTCTCCACGAAAAAAAAGACCCTTCTTTTACATCAACTACCGTGACAGATGGACTGAGATGGGAGAAGTCTTTCTCCCATCAAGGACTGAGATATGAGACCCCTATAAGGAAAAGCTCCCCCTTCCTCCCCAAGGACTGAGACTGAAATCCCTACCACAGGAAGGGAAGGTGTGTGTGGGGAGGCCAAGTGACCAAAGCCAGCTTGCAAGCTGACCACTGGACCGAGAAGACAATGGCTCTCGCCCACTGCTGAGATCATGGACTATTGTATCTGTTCTCCCCTGCTTTGCAATTTTCAATAATAAAAACTCCTGAGTTAGGTAGGGGCTCTGAGATCTTTCTTGACGTGAAGATGACAGGCTTTTTGACTGGACTTCGAAGGACTTCATCATCCACACGTCTGGAGGTTTCTTTTCCTCCCCTCTTTTTCCTTATTCTTTCCCTTTTCTTCATTCCCCTTCTCCCTAACACATTTTGCTGTGGTCATTCAATAAAGGTACATTTGTTTTTGATTATCACTGCAAAACCCCCTTTGTCGTGTCAGTTTTTTGCACCCTGAGATGAGTGGAAAGAACCTTCACGAATCTTGTCCTTGAGGACAGATCATGACAAAGTGTCCCCACCCACAGCAGGGGGATTGGAACAAGACAGTCTTTGATGATACCTTCCAACCCAAACCTTCCTATAATTCCAAGATGTGGAGTGTTTGGGCTGGAGAAAGCAAAACTAGAGAGGCATGCAGGGAGCGTTACACTTGAGGCTGTCACACTTACAAACATGGTTGGCCCATATTGGAATGCACTGGGAACACCAGGCATCCCTGCATAGTAAGGGAGCCCAGTGTAGCTGTACCCTGGGGGCAGGGTCGGGTTGAGGAAAGGCTGCTGAGTCGTGTGGTGAGTCTGTGTCTGGTTCTGCTGTGGCTGGGCCAGTGTGGTTGCAGGAGCAGGAGAGGCGGTATCTCCACGGCCAAATTTTGTTACGTCACCTGTGAAAGAAAGAACTGGTCAGAAAAGCTATCAATGATACTGCAAAGGTGGAGAATTCAATGGACTTATATCCTCTAAATAGAAGCAGACAACTACACAACACATCCTAGACCTGAAAGCCTGCAGTTGTTTATGGGAAGCCCTCACCCAGTCTCTGTTCCTGACAGCCACAGGGATATTGCCTGTTTGTGGCACAGAACTCTGTGCCATGGCTACTCCACTGATAAAGAGAGATGCCAGTACTCACCTATCTCACACGGTCTGAGCAGACTCATTACTATCAGATCATTGCAATAAAACATGCTAAAAGCAGAAGCATGGTAAATAGCCAGAGAGCCAATGGTTGTTGGGTTAAAGGGTGACTCTCCTGGAGGTTAACCTGTTTAGCTAAGCTTCATGGGCTGAAAGCAGGTTAGGATTTAAAGGCAGTGATGGGCATATTTTTGCCAATGTCTGTTTATTTGTCAAGCATGTCTAGTTAAGATGTCCAGTTCCTCACACCACCAAAGTTCTGAAGACAGTAGCTGAAGGCCAGGAAAGCAAGGCTTGCATCGTGGGCCACCTTATTGAAGAAGCAGGAAGGGAAATTCAGTTATTAACCCAAAAACAGCCTCCCAAGAGAAGTGATCATGAAGCAGAAAATTCATAAACACTTGTACTTTCTGGCAGCATACAGAGCAGCATGTTCACATGTTTATCAAGGAGGTGACATGCATCAATCCCTTCTACCTCACTCCCAACCAGTATTCCTTTTTGCTGGTTACTAGGAAGTATGACAGCACTTAATACCATCATTATAGGAACTACAATGCCTATGGCTACAGTTTTAAGCTGTAATCAGCTGCAGTGGATGAAAACCACTGGCTGAAATCTGAGATGGCATTAATATAATTTTTGCACAATGATAGCTAAAAAGCAAGAGCAGGAACAAAGAAGGGCTTCTTTGACCACAGAAGGGAAAAGCAACTCCTCTTTGAGCAACAGCAGGATGACCCGCACTGAGAAACCAGCATATCTCACTTGCCATCCTCATCTTCAGCTAGCACTCACCTGAGTATGGGTTGTTAGCAAGGCTTCCATCTCTGCCTGTCAAGGTTGCAGGAGCCGGGAATGTAATTCCATAGTAATCCTTGGAAGAGACAACACCATTTATTAACAGTTGAAACTGGAACACAGCTGGACAGATCTTATGAACTGCCTACTAGACACAGAAGAAAATTCTAAAAGTAAGAGCTAAAGGAGATTTGACTGGAAGCTGACCTTACATTGTGCAGCAGAGCTGAAAATTTACCTGGATCCACTCAAGCTAAAAATAAACCTACTTCATAGACACTTTTTGTGTCATATACAAATATTTCATCTCTTAATGGTAAGTTAAAGGCAATAACTAAGTGATTTCCCACACAGTTCCCAGCTCTGAACTGTCATCTTCCAGTGAGACTGCCTGAAAGAGAACTGAGCATTTTGAGCCAAAGGCCTGGGGCCAGACCAGGACTGTAATCACAACATAGACACAATCTAAGGGTTTTGCCCATGTACCATGCCCTGTTTTTTTAAAAGTGGAAATGTCAGGTATGAAAACAGCAAAAACATCAAAACAGAGAGAAAAACAGTTACTATTGGATGACTGGAAAATTTATTTAAACTACTTTACAGGAGATCTCAGGTCATAGTCTCCAAAGTGGGGTGTGTATCCCAACCCACTAGGTTGAAGGAAGAAAATGGATTTTGTACCTTTGATAAATATAACTGAAGAGAATTTTAAAACAGTGTTTGTTTAACCTTTCTCTAATTTTTTCATTTTTATTTTTGTGTATGTTTTATAACATATATATTAGTACAGGAGTATATGTATATAATTCAGAAATAAGAACATACTGAAGGTGAGTGCTCACCTTCAGTAAAATTTTTTTGCTGACAGGGTGCATAAAAAAGGTGGAAACCTCAGATCATTCTTCTAGGTCTTCTACAAGAAGGTAAGCAATACTAGAAAGCTTGCACTTTGAAATGACAGGACATGCTAGCAAAACCAAAGCAGTATTTTGACGTCAGCTTGGGAAAAAAAGGCAAGAAGTTTGCCTTTCTTTCTCTGCATGAACTCCACCTGTGGGTCTGGTAATCTGGTTTTTTCCCTCCTAATTTTCATGTTCTACTTCTCACCACCTCCAAGCCAGAAACAAATAGTGCTTTAAGTAGTAATGTGTTTCCACACATTTTCAAATACTGGAAAATTCTTCCTTTATCATACCCCTCTCTGCAAATGCCATAGTGCCTCAAATGTTTTCTCAGAGTTGACAGCATCCTCCACTTTGCTCCACTTCTGTGCATCACTTTCCTGTCTCCTATACCCAATATTTCATGTTCAGTGATGGAGAAATGTGGCAAAGTTTTAGTATTGTAGGTGCTTTCTGTAACTTGTAACGGTGCCATTATATCATAACCCTTTCCTTCTCTGGTAATTCCCCCCTTAGGAACTCCAGCATGAATCACTTGGCAAAACACAACGAAATTCACATTAGAAGTCTTAACAGGTTATTCAAAAGCAGCCTCTCATAACCTTCTGATGAAAATGCCACAAAAAGAAGATCTAGAGAAGAGATGTGAACACAGTTCAGCTGACATGGACTGGCACACTAACAATTTCCACCCTATACAAACTGGACAAAATATAATCAAATCTGCATGAGAAGAGGGTGAAAGGGTAGCAGTTATTCTTACTGCACCTCAGGCAGGGGAAAACCACATCAGTACTGAATATCCTACTTGTGCATACACACATTCAAACTAAAAACTCCTTAGAAAATATGAGTGCAAGGCAGTTATGTCTGCAGTTCATGCCTGCTCAAAGGAAAATATCAGGGAAGACACTCTGCTCTTCAAACGTCACAGATATCTCCTGAGATACAAAAGGAGAAGCTGCCTAAAGCCAAAAGTGAAATATCAGAAATAGTCTCAAAAAGTGAGCAGAAAAGGATGAAGAAAGGGAAAGTCATGAGACATAATAGATTTAAGTTCCACTCAGCAGTTCACTGGGTGCCACACACATCAGCTGACGCATTTGTAAGATGCAAAAGATGAAGAGAAGAGACAGCATATCCCAATGTAACATACACCAAAAGAACCCAAACAACAACAAAAAAAAATCCACAGTGAGACTTTATAGAACAGTACGCACATTACTTGAGTTAAATTTTAAAATACTCTCAGGAGAAAATCCCATTCTTGCTTTATCAGCAAGCACGGGGATCTTCTGCTGCTGGAAGTTACACAGCAAGCAGTGACGACTCACACTTGGAACTTTGCCCACTTTCACTTTTCACATGTAAGTGGACAGGCATATGAAATAGAAATATTCCCACCTGCTCCTGGCACTAGATCATCTAACACTGCCACATTTTCACAAAGAATTCACAACAAAATTTAAAAAAAGCCCAAAATCCAGAAAGGACAAACACTGCATGAATAGTTGATGAAAAATCCTTTGTGACATCCATGCATTTATTTCTAACTATCAACATACCAAAGGTAATTAACTGGATACAGGGGTATGAGAGATGGCTCCAAAAATATTCTGCAAGATTTTGCAGGGAGAGGAAAAACTCTTGCACTTGCAAAGCTGCAGGTGCCACAGAAAAAATAAAAAAGTATTAAAATACATATACATATACACATATAAACAGAATTTAAAAAGCCTGAGAGACTAACAATATTTGTCAATAAAAAATATAAGAAAACACTAATTAACATGCAAAATAAACATTACACACAAATATTATTAGAGCATGCAATAAGAAAAAAAAAATAGATGCTGGTAGTTAAGAGAAATTTTTAAATAAACCCCAAAAAAAGGCAACACACAAAACAGATGAAAAGACAATCCTGAAACATATCCCCAGCAATGCCAACTGGAAAACTTCTTCCACAATTCCGTCTCCTGTAATAGCTCAGTAACCAGGCTTCCCCCTGGCAGCAGCCCTGAGAAAGTGTCAGCTCCCGTTCTCACAGCAGCGTCCCCTCCTGGTCAGTGACAAGCACCAAAGCCCTCAGAAGAAAGCAAACAGAAAAAACAAAAGTGAAAACGGAAAAGGGAAATTACCGAGAGGATGGTGATGAAAGGAAAGCCTGGGCACGGGCACATAAAACTGCACACACGACGGCACTCCAAGCAAAGCAACCACCACCACCGAGCCAGACCAGTCTCCTGCACAGCACCCAAAGCTCCACCATGGCTCTACCTGGATGTGCACAGCCCTGCCTGTGGCACCGCACCCTGGCACTGCTGCTCCTCATTGTGGCTCTGGCCACCGGCCTCCCGTGCCACCACCTGCGGACCCACGATCCAGGGGATGCACTCCAGCTTCTGCGGGACATGGCTCCAAACACGACAGAGCCCTGCAATCTCCAGAAGCCACCACTCTTCCCCGACACCCTCCTGCACAACAACCTCCAGCCGCAGCAAGCCGCCGCCGCCGCCCTACACATCCTGCAGCACCTCTTCCACACCCTCAGCTCCAACAGCACCCACCAGCACTGGCCCAGCCAGGCTCACCACCACCTCCTCAACAAACTGCAGCACCACATCGACCACCTCGAGCAATGCCTGCCCGACAAGGCCATGCCCATCAAAGGACCACGCAACCCGCTGCTCGCCATCAACAAGTACTTCAGGGACATCCACCTCTTCCTCCACGCCCACAACCACAGCGCCTGCGCCTGGGACCACGTCCGCCTCGAAGCTCGTGCCTCTTTACAGCACCTCCACAACCTCACACGCACCATGCGCCGCTAGCGCAAACAGCCACACGCCAACCCACACCTACGCCCCAAAGCCACCTCCAACCCCACGCCTCCTCTCACCTGCGACGACACACAGGGCTGCAACAAACGCACGGCACCCGCAGCCTCCAACCACTGCATCTCCATCGATTCCGCCTCTCCCACTGACACGGACAAAGGACTTCCTCTACATATTTATTGACTTGTTTATTAATTTATTTGTTTATTTATTTATTTATTTATTTATTCACGTATTTATTTTTCTACTTATTCACTTACTGATGCCACTGGAAATAAAGACCTAGGACAAAACACTTGCCACTGCCTCTCCTCTCTCTAGCACTGCAACCACTCTCTTTGGGCCGGGGCAAAGCCGCCTCCACTCAACACCCACGCAAAGCCCTGCTCCCAAGAGACCCTGTCCACCCTCCTCAATGGCACCTGCCCAAGCAGGACGCTGCTGCTGCAGCCCCCGTGCAAAAACATAGCCAGCCTTTGGCCAACAGCACAGAATCCCAAGAAGAAAAACGCCCTAAGGCTGGAGAGCACCGCTGCACCTCATCGGCTTTATCCACACCGTGCTCCATCCACCCAATCCATGCCTCTCTGACTCACAGACAACGATGTCGTGCGCGACACGGTCAAGCGCTATGCACAAAGCCAAGCACACAAGGTCACTTACCCTGCCCCTATCCACCACTGCTGTGTAGCCTAACCACAGAACAGCACCAAAAGCGCCAAGAATGGTGATTTCGCACCATGGAATGCCATGCTCCCCATTAGCAATCACCTCTTGGTTTTCCGTTGGCCTTAACAGAGTCTCCCGGAGAAGCGGCCTCATCTTCTTGCCTGACTCAAGAGCTCAGCCTGACTGCTCTGTACTTCCCACACTCTTCTGCTTTTCCCTTTACAAAAAGAGGGCTTAGATTTCCCTCCTACCACTTCTTGGGAACTTCAACTGACCGACAGCCGCTTTCAGAAACAATGCACTGTGGCCTAGCAACTCCATCTGACAGTTCCCTCAGCACTCACGCAGTAACCTCTTGGTGTCCCGGGGACTAGTACACCTTCACGTTGTTGAGATGGTCTCAGACTTGACCCTCTCCTACAGTGGCCTGGGGATCGACACTCTTCGGGCACGGCTCCCAGCATCTGCCTTGCGCGACTTCGGCAGCGTGCCTGGACATCGCTGACACACAAGGCGGCCAAGAGCCGCTCGTCTCCACAGCCTCTTTGCCCCAAAAGCCTAGAACCTTCAAATCCTCTGCAGCACTACTAGCAACAATCCCACCACTTCTCCACCAGGCCACAGTGATCATCCCCTTGCACACCCCAAATTCCTCTTTGCACAAGGCAAATTCCTCTTCACCTCTCCCCGCATGAAGTGCCTTTCTGTAAGGGTACCTGAAACTACTGGCAAACCTTCACTACTGCAGCCAAAGAGGCCCGGCTCGCTCAGCCTTGCTGACAAGTGACACCCTCTGGATCCCTGTGCATCTTCAGAGCCGTCCCCTCCGAGAACTCCACAGCTCTCGTGGACTCAAGAGCCCTGAACAGGACACACTCTTCCAGCCAAGGGCTCTGGCAATCCCCAAAACACAACACCATTTCTTTCACAGGGACAGTCCTCTTTGGCCCTCCGGCCGCCTCATCCGCCGAGGCATGGATCTCAAAAGCAGAGCCCTGCTCCAGGCCCACAGCCATCGGACCAAGCACGACACTAAGAGCAAAGCCCTTCCCTTTGGCCGACTTCTTCACTGAGCCTTTCTTGCCTGCCTTCTTGCTCGCTCCTCCCAAACACAGCAGCTGCAGCGCCTCCGTGCAAGGACACCCTCAGGCCTGCAAGGCCCACATGCACAGAGAGCCCCTTGAACACTGCCACTGCCTCTGGGCATTTAGCGCCGGGGCGGAGGGGGGGGAAACGCCAGCCCTCGCCCACTGACATCACTGCCCATCCCGCCCTTGCAACCACAAAAGGAAAACAGTGGCTAAGATGAAAAGAAAGGCAAGCCACAAAGTGAAAGGAAAAGTCACCACAGCCACCAGCAGGCCTTTGCAGGTGGAAACCATGCCTAGGCACCAAGAGAGACTTAGCTGCACAGCACAGACCTTGCAGCTGGCTCGGCGGCTGAAAGAGAACATCCACCACCGCTCTCCACCACACCTGACTCCGACGCCTCTGACCCAGAGCTTTCGCAGCCCCGGCACACCGCTGCCACCACGATCCCCAGCCACGGAAACCACTTCCCCAAGACCACCAGAGCCACCAGCAGAGACTGGAAACAACAGACAGAAACTGCCGGCAATCGGAAAGCGATGAAGGGAAAGCCGCCGCCGTACAAATCCCTCACTCAGATCATCAATAAAGATAAAAACCAGCACAGTACAGAGCCTCCAGTACAGAGCCCTGGGGGACACCACCAGTGACCAGCAGCCTGCTGCAAGTAATTCCATTCACCAGCACTCTCTGGGCCAGGCCAGCAGACAGTTTTTAACTCAGAGAATGGAGCATCTTAAGCCATAAGCAGCTGGTGTCTCCAGGAGAATTCTATGGGATACAGTGTCAAAGAGTTTTCTAAAGTCCAGGAAGTCAACATCCCTGAACTTTCCCCCATCCACTAAGAGGGTCACTGTGTTATAGAAGGAGATTGGGTCGGGCAGTTATGCCTTTGACAAACCAATGCTGGCTGGGCCTGATCCCCTGGATCTCCTGTAGGTGCCATGTGATGGGCACTCAAGATCTCCATGAGCTTCCCCAGCACTGAGGTCAGGCTGACAGGCCCATAGCTCTCCAGACTCTACTTCTGACCCTTCCTGAAGATAAACATTACACTGGCCACACTCCAGGTGCTTGGGGCCTCCTTGGTTAGCCAGGACTGCTTGTAAATTATTGGGAGTGGCTTGGTGAGCTTTTCCACCAGCTCTTTTATATATTCAGGTACACAGCAGGACCCCTCAAGATGAAACTTCCACATTATACCACTGTCCTCCTGATGCTCCTATCCAGAAGTACCCTGTGATATCAGGAATGAGGACCTCATTGGTTCTGTCTTTTCTGAGGCAGCTGAAGACAAAAACAGGAGCAGAGGTAATGACACAAACTGGAATACAGGGAATTCAAACACGAAAGAAGAAATGTAAAAAATTTGTATTATTTTTTGTATTCAGCTGATACAACACCAGAATAGGGATTAGAACAGTTGAGTGATATCCATTCCTGGGGACATATCTAAAAGCATCACTGGACAAGGCCATGAGCAGGCTCTTCTGATACCACCTCCACTCAGCATCATTCTGCATTTGGGATATGCAGGACAAAACAAACAATTAAAATTAATTTAAAAAAAAAATCCTTTATTGTTCAAAAGCAACAGCTTAGAGGAGACTTCTTAAACTCCATCACAATGAAAGTCAAACTCCAAAAGGGAAGCAAGACACTGCAGAAGCTTCATCAACATTCAGTTGCTTAGGTGCAGGTCCTTAGACCCAGAGCCACCTCCTCAACTCAATGACTTGACAAGCTCCTGGGGTTCCTGAGAAATAAACCATTTTACAACTGTATCAAAGGCTAAAAAGAAAGAATTTATTCATATGAATACACAGAAAACAACCATATGGTAGGTAAAAAACCAGAAAAACCTAATGGAGAATTACAAAAAGACTTGGTAAGTGTCCCAGGCAGAATGGAAGCTTTAGACAACATTTATAAGGGAAGTCGCCCCACTGAGGTTCAAAAAGTATCTCCTTGCTGGTTAAACTCCTTCTCAGACAAGTCTGGAGGCAGTTTACAATCCTAGTCCCGCACTAGGTACCTGGTAAATGGTTCATCTCTGTAGAATTATATAGGTGTAATTGAGCCTTTATACGAATTTGACCTGAAAGATTATGGACATATTTACACATTTATGAAGGAAATATGTTTATATGGGAAAAACAAATTATTAAAATTCATCATGACAATAATCAAAGAATTTTGATCAGAATTATCTATGACAAATTCCAGACAGCTGTAACTATTTGGACAGTGCTCTACTGCACCAATCTTTTAAAAGGCAGCTTAATAACAAATTAGTGAACAATGCAATTAACCCAATGACTTTTGTGCAGCCTCAAGCAATAACCCAGAGGTGTGTCCCGATTCAAGGGACAAATATCCATACACACTAGTAGAAGGTGTGTGCTCAAAAACCCTGCAGTTAAGGTGTGCAAATGGAATTTTACAGAATAAAAAGATTGACTCTGGGACAAACCTGGGACAGCTCAATCAGCTCAGCAACTTATTAGAAATTTAATAGTTACTTATCAGTAACTTACCACTACCACGACTTCCTTATTTCTACACCTTGAATTAAGTTGACATGTCCCAGCTCGTACAATATCAGACAAGAAACATAACTTCAAAAAATTTTAAAATCAGTTTAGAGGAGTTCAGCAAGATTGATTTCACCACGCATCAAAAAAAAAAAAAACTCCTGTTACTTCCTCTGCCACACATCGTACATAAGTTTAAAAAAAGGGTAAAGCCCAAGACACTGTACTACAACTGTTGAAGACTGCCCTAATCAGGGCAAGAAGTGAAATTCAGTGAAACACAAGAGGAATAAGACATGACACCAGAGAGAAAGGAAAACAACAAAAAACTCACAATATCATAATAACTAAATAATGCAGCATAAATTTGGTGATTCACTACCCCACAACCAACAGACAAAAGACCACCACTACAGACAAAAAAAGAGGTAAAAACACCATCCCAACCCAAGCACACCCCAACAAAACACTGACTAGAGACCACGAGAGCCATCAGCACACACTGGAAACCACGGACGAAAAGTCCCAGGAATCGGAAAGCGATGAAGGGAAAGCGGCACCGTACAAAGCCAGGCGCCCGGCGGCAGCCCAAGCACGGCCGCCGGCAGCAGCAGCAGCAGCAGCAGCCAGCCTCAGCAGGCTGCTCCTGCCCTGCAGCACCCGACAGCACCCACAGACCCACCATGGCTGCGCCCACAGCCACACAGCCACGGCTGCCGCACGCCGCCCCGCCGCTCCTGCTCCTCCTCACCGCTCTGGCCACCACCCTGGCCTGCCAACACCTCTGGACACACGACGACGCCTTCCCCGGCGACGCGCTCCGCCTCCTCCAGGACATGGCTGCCAGCCACACACAGCCCTGCCACCTCCCAGAGCGGCCCTTCTTCCCCGACACCCTCCTGCGCAACAACCTCCAGCCGCAGCAAGCCGCCGCCGCCGCCCTACGCATCCTGCAGCACCTCTTCCACACCCTCAGCTCCAACAGCACCCGCCAGCACTGGCCCAGCCAGGCTCGCCACCACCTCCTCAACAAACTGCAGCACCACATCGACCACCTCGAGCAATGCCTGCCCGACAAGGCCATGCCCATCAAAGGACCACGCAACCCGCTGCTCGCCATCAACAAGTACTTCAGGGACATCCACCTCTTCCTCCACGCCCACAACCACAGCGCCTGCGCCTGGGACCACGTCCGCCTCGAAGCTCGTGCCTCTTTACAGCACCTCCACAACCTCACACGCACCATGCGCCGCTAGCGCAAACAGCCACACGCCAACCCACACCTACGCCCCAAAGCCACCTCCAACCCCACGCCTCCTCTCACCTGCGACGACACACAGGGCTGCAACAAACGCACGGCACCCGCAGCCTCCAACCACTGCATCTCCATCGATTCCGCCTCTCCCACTGACACGGACAAAGGACTTCCTCTACATATTTATTGACTTGTTTATTAATTTATTTGTTTATTTATTTATTTATTTATTTATTCACGTATTTATTTTTCTACTTATTCACTTACTGATGCCACTGGAAATAAAGACCTAGGACAAAACACTTGCCACTGCCTCTCCTCTCTCTAGCACTGCAACCACTCTCTTTGGGCCGGGGCAAAGCCGCCTCCACTCAACACCCACGCAAAGCCCTGCTCCCAAGAGACCCTGTCCACCCTCCTCAATGGCACCTGCCCAAGCAGGACGCTGCTGCTGCAGCCCCCGTGCAAAAACATAGCCAGCCTTTGGCCAACAGCACAGAATCCCAAGAAGAAAAACGCCCTAAGGCTGGAGAGCACCGCTGCACCTCATCGGCTTTATCCACACCGTGCTCCATCCACCCAATCCATGCCTCTCTGACTCACAGACAACGATGTCGTGCGCGACACGGTCAAGCGCTATGCACAAAGCCAAGCACACAAGGTCACTTACCCTGCCCCTATCCACCACTGCTGTGTAGCCTAACCACAGAACAGCACCAAAAGCGCCAAGAATGGTGATTTCGCACCATGGAATGCCATGCTCCCCATTAGCAATCACCTCTTGGTTTTCCGTTGGCCTTAACAGAGTCTCCCGGAGAAGCGGCCTCATCTTCTTGCCTGACTCAAGAGCTCAGCCTGACAGCTCTGTACTTCCCACACTCTTCTGCTTTTCCCTTTACAAAACGAGGGCTTAGATTTCCCTCCTACCACTTCTTGGGAACTTCAACTGACCGACAGCCGCTTTCAGAAACAATGCACTGTGGCCTAGCAACTCCATCTGACAGTTCCCTCAGCACTCACGCAGTAACCTCTTGGTGTCCCGGGGACTAGTACACCTTCACGTTGTTGAGATGGTCTCAGACTTGACCCTCTCCTACAGTGGCCTGGGGATCGACACTCTTCGGGCACGGCTCCCAGCATCTGCCTTGCGCGACTTCGGCAGCGTGCCTGGACATCGCTGACACACAAGGCGGCCAAGAGCCGCTCGTCTCCACAGCCTCTTTGCCCCAAAAGCCTAGAACCTTCAAATCCTCTGCAGCACTACTAGCAACAATCCCACCACTTCTCCACCAGGCCACAGTGATCATCCCCTTGCACACCCCAAATTCCTCTTTGCACAAGGCAAATTCCTCTTCACCTCTCCCCGCATGAAGTGCCTTTCTGTAAGGGTACCTGAAACTACTGGCAAACCTTCACTACTGCAGCCAAAGAGGCCCGGCTCGCTCAGCCTTGCTGACAAGTGACACCCTCTGGATCCCTGTGCATCTTCAGAGCCGTCCCCTCCGAGAACTCCACAGCTCTCGTGGACTCAAGAGCCCTGAACAGGACACACTCTTCCAGCCAAGGGCTCTGGCAATCCCCAAAACACAACACCATTTCTTTCACAGGGACAGTCCTCTTTGGCCCTCCGGCCGCCTCATCCGCCGAGGCATGGATCTCAAAAGCAGAGCCCTGCTCCAGGCCCACAGCCATCGGACCAAGCACGACACTAAGAGCAAAGCCCTTCCCTTTGGCCGACTTCTTCACTGAGCCTTTCTTGCCTGCCTTCTTGCTCGCTCCTCCCAAACACAGCAGCTGCAGCGCCTCCGTGCAAGGACACCCTCAGGCCTGCAAGGCCCACATGCACAGAGAGCCCCTTGAACACTGCCACTGCCTCTGGGCATTTAGCGCCGGGGCGGAGGGGGGGGAAACGCCAGCCCTCGCCCACTGACATCACTGCCCATCCCGCCCTTGCAACCACAAAAGGAAAACAGTGGCTAAGATGAAAAGAAAGGCAAGCCACAAAGTGAAAGGAAAAGTCACCACAGCCACCAGCAGGCCTTTGCAGGTGGAAACCATGCCTAGGCACCAAGAGAGACTTAGCTGCACAGCACAGACCTTGCAGCTGGCTCGGCGGCTGAAAGAGAACATCCACCACCGCTCTCCACCACACCTGACTCCGACGCCTCTGACCCAGAGCTTTCGCAGCCCCGGCACACCGCTGCCACCACGATCCCCAGCCACGGAAACCACTTCCCCAAGACCACCAGAGCCACCAGCAGAGACTGGAAACAACAGACAGAAACTGCCGGCAATCGGAAAGCGATGAAGGGAAAGCCGCCGCCGTACAAAGCCAGGCGCCCGGCGGCAGCCCAAGCACGGCCGCCGGCAGCAGCAGCAGCAGCAGCAGCCAGCCTCAGCAGGCTGCTCCTGCCCTGCAGCACCCGACAGCACCCACAGACCCACCATGGCTGCGCCCACAGCCACACAGCCACGGCTGCCGCACGCCGCCCCGCCGCTCCTGCTCCTCCTCACCGCTCTGGCCACCACCCTGGCCTGCCAACACCTCTGGACACACGACGACGCCTTCCCCGGCGACGCGCTCCGCCTCCTCCAGGACATGGCTGCCAGCCACACACAGCCCTGCCACCTCCCAGAGCGGCCCTTCTTCCCCGACACCCTCCTGCGCAACAACCTCCAGCCGCAGCAAGCCGCCGCCGCCGCCCTACGCATCCTGCAGCACCTCTTCCACACCCTCAGCTCCAACAGCACCCGCCAGCACTGGCCCAGCCAGGCTCGCCACCACCTCCTCAACAAACTGCAGCACCACATCGACCACCTCGAGCAATGCCTGCCCGACAAGGCCATGCCCATCAAAGGACCACGCAACCCGCTGCTCGCCATCAACAAGTACTTCAGGGACATCCACCTCTTCCTCCACGCCCACAACCACAGCGCCTGCGCCTGGGACCACGTCCGCCTCGAAGCTCGTGCCTCTTTACAGCACCTCCACAACCTCACACGCACCATGCGCCGCTAGCGCAAACAGCCACACGCCAACCCACACCTACGCCCCAAAGCCACCTCCAACCCCACGCCTCCTCTCACCTGCGACGACACACAGGGCTGCAACAAACGCACGGCACCCGCAGCCTCCAACCACTGCATCTCCATCGATTCCGCCTCTCCCACTGACACGGACAAAGGACTTCCTCTACATATTTATTGACTTGTTTATTAATTTATTTGTTTATTTATTTATTTATTTATTTATTCACGTATTTATTTTTCTACTTATTCACTTACTGATGCCACTGGAAATAAAGACCTAGGACAAAACACTTGCCACTGCCTCTCCTCTCTCTAGCACTGCAACCACTCTCTTTGGGCCGGGCAAAGCCACCTCCACTCAACCCCTATAAGATGTCCAGCTTCATATACTGGTCTCAACATCCCCTGCTCTCTCTTCTTGCTGGCAGCTGTCTAAGCAGGTTGTCACATCAACCTCTTTGGAGAAAGATCAATAGGTGTTCAGATATCATCCTCACCATTATGTCTTGAGCCTGTCTTTCTTCTAGTAATTTCTGACTCCCTTCCCTATTGTTGTATCTGAAAGCCTTATGACGGAGAAGGCAGAGACTTACTGGAGAAATTCCACTAGAGGGCCACAAATACAAACAGAGCATCAAAACAATTCTGTTATGAAGTTAGATGACAGGTGTTTTTTAGACTGAAGAAGAGAAGGCTCCAGGCAGACCTTAGTTCAGCCTTTTAACATTTCAACTACCCTTAGAAAAAAGAAGCAAACTGGATTTTGAACAGCTTTTGCAGTGACAGGCAATGGTCTACAGGGAATTTCTCTAAACCGAAAGAAAGTTTATATCTGGCATTATTGAGAAATTCTTTACTATGAGGATTGTGAAGCGCTGTAACAAGTCCTAGAGTTAGCTAGAGTACTACATCCCTGGAAATGTTCAAGGCCAGACTGGATGGGGCTTTGTGCAATGTGGTCCAGGAGAAGGTTTCCCTTCCCTTGGCAAAGTTGCTTGCAACCAGATTACCTCTTTCAACATAAAACATTGTAGGACTCCTGTTGAAGTTTTGGAGGACTGTGGAACGAAAATGGGTACAGAGAAGAGTGTGAGGACGAAGGAGAAGTGTGATGGCACAGAAGGCATTCCCATTCCCCATCCTCCTATGCCACTTGGAAGATGAAGGTAGAGAAAATCCTGAGTGAAAGTGAGTGCAGGAAAAAATGAGAGGAGAAGGGAAGGTGTTCTGTAGGTTTGGTTTTATTTCATTATCTACTTGCTAACTGCCCTGTTTTAATTGCTAATGAGTTAAACTAAGTCCCCCCAATTCAAGCCTCTTTTGCCCATGACTGCAACCAGGAAGTAACTTCTCCCTGTACTTATCTCACCCCACATGCCTTTCAGGATGTATTTTCTCCCTTGACTAGATAGGGTGGGGAGTGATACAGCACCTTGGTGGTCACCAGGCATCTAGCTGGTGTTAACACATTACAATATGTGTCTCCTGGCACTGCATCTTAAAATATTTGCATCTTGTTGCCACTAAGATAATTCCACGCATTTCAGTTGAAAGTTCTTCAAGTACCACAACTTTCTCTGGTAAAAGTCTTTATTCATGTGCTCAACTTTGGAGTTTTTTTAATTCAGCGTCTGTAGTCTGACAGGGCTTTGTCTGAGTCCTCCCTGTACTCACCTTCAAACCATCTGACTCCGACTGCTCCAAGCACTACATGGAATACCTGTTACTTATTTGGGCCTTACATTATGGCATTCATCCAGTCTTCTCAGATCACTGCTCACTGCTCCATTTCTGCCTCTACAGATACACTGCATCACTCTAGTATGTAACTGTTCTCAACTACCTACTACCAAACCATCTCTCCAAGTTTCTTACCCTACATTTTTGATAGGAAAATTCTTTATCATTTTTCAATCTAGATTGAGGCCCTTTTTAAATCTACCTGGGAGCTCAGCCTGTCTCATATGCCATTTGTATTCTGGATCCAGATAAGGGAAACAACTTCGTACACTCTCCCTCCTGCAGCTCACCTGCATTTGTTGTCATGATGCATAGGCAAACATCTATACCTTTGACCACATCCAAAATCTCAAATACACCCCCTGGCTACCAACTTGTGTACTTGCTGTTCAACCTTATCTCTTGGTAAAAGAAAACACTTAGGACTTCAATTAGATTAGACAAAATGCCATAATGTTGCTATAAAAATTAGACATTTCTCCACTCAGGAGCACAGAGCACACTTGTGTCTATTTAGAGATTTTGCAGCTGGACAAATGCATGATGCAACAGTTGCTCTGCATCAATTTACACAATCCTTGTACAAATTTCAAACGAAAGAATACATAACATAAAAAAAAGCCCTTAACAATTATTAAATTAATCAATTTATGTGGCACAAATGATCAACAGTGAAGACAACTTCTTCAAAATTAACTAAGTTGTTTACTTACCATTGGCAGTCTGGATTGAAGCATCTGGAGATCATCATAACCATAAATCTGCTTAAAGACAGATAAAAATACAACATCATTATAACACTTTTTTCTGATGCTGATCAGTATGGGGCTTTGAACTGAGTTTGACTTAAGCCCAGTCTGTGTTAAAGGTCTACAGCCATATGTCGCATTGTGCTATCATGGGGCACTGTAGCATTTCAAGGAGAGTAGAACCAAAGCTAAAAGAGCTTGTCACTCTGATGTTGTTTCCTGGTGACAACGTCCTCTGAGGAGAGTTTGACTATCCCATCTTCAACACAGTTTTCACACACACATCATTCCTGAACCTATGAAAAATCTACCAGGTATTCAGATTTGGGAGTAAGAACAACAGACCTCTTTGCTGTAATCATTACTTCAAAGAGCATTAAGATTAAAGAGTTGATGACTTGACCACAACACAACCTCCTGGGTATCTCCTCACATTCAGTTTGATAAAGAAAAGTTACTGATATAAATGTTCAGATTCAAAAAACAGATAACCAAAAATACATTGATGCTGGTCAGACATCAAAAAGCTAAGCGCAGTCTTTCAAATCATGACAGACAGGACACATGGCACATTTCAGTCACTGCTATGGCAAATCCATTCCAGTAACACAAACCTAAAAGAGCCTAAATTTACTCAAAGGGCCTAAAACCTATTAACACTGAAAACCACAGCCACACCCATGTTTAGCTCCAACAGCAGCCAGATCAGGTCTGTACCAAAAGCTCTGCAGTTTACAATCAACAGTAAGCCTCTACTGAACATATTTCAGATGTTCTTTAGCATTTGAAACAAGAATTCCAGGTGTAGCATGTGCCACCAGAAATGACTTGGCATAGACAGTAGCAGGTCTGGAGGGCCCACTTGCGCCAAGGGCTAAGAAATCAAAGAGAAACAATGAAACTGCTTACTGGGTAGGCAGGCAGAAGTCCTCCAGGTCCCACAATATACTGGTTATGCAACAAGGGTGGTACACCTTGGGGCAGGTTTGGGGGTGCTTTGCCTGTAGAATCAAAATACAGACACTTTAACAAGCCTTTAGAAAAGAAAAGGCTTCAGCATTGAGACAAGATAGCTCACAAGTTGCGGCAGCTGCACCATCTTAGATTGCAAAGAGGAGATTTTGTGTTGTTTGACGAATGTGCCCAAAATAGCCTCAAGAGTTTAACCATGCCTCAAGGGAGGGAAAGCACAGGCTAGTTTAGCCTGAAAACAGTCCTATCACAGAATAGCTTGAATTTGTCATTTACTTTGTCCAAGAGGATTACAAGAATTACAAGAATACAAGGATTACAAGATTACAGAACTTCTCTTTTGCTCAGTCCTTTTCTGAAGGCAAATTTAGAAATTGTTCTCAGTCTGAGAGAACAAATTCTCTCCTTTCATTTCCTGCTCTGTCAATGCAATCCCTTTATCACCAGCAATAGACCAGAAAGCACTACATGTTGCCAGATTTCTGTGGTTGGCTTACTACAGCTAGGAATAGCAAAGAGAAGACTGAAATGGTTTCAGCTGCCTTCATGAAGCAGTGCTAGGAAGCAGAACAGTAAAAGAACAATGCACTTTGGCCAGTCCTAAGAGACTTCATTTACAAGCAATAGAAATGAGAAATAATTCCGTAACTAAGCCTGATCTTAGCAATACGTCACTCACTTCTCTCTGTAAGATTTCCTTTTAGCAGTTCAGGATCATCAGAGAAGAAAGAGAATTTAGCATCACTTCCACCTCAGTGCAAGAAGCCTCCCAGCCCTCCTTCTCCATGGACCCTCCTTCTGAAGTGCTATTTGCTGTGCAATGACCCAGACATTTCCTTCCTTTCTGTGGAAGTGGCAGTAGGGATGTCACACATGATAATGAGGACACTGCAGTATATTTTGATACTGCCAAATGAATTCAAGTCACAGAACAGCCTGAAACTAAAGCTCGTGTGAACTCATAGTCAGGAGCTGATCACAGCTTGGAACACAAACTGGGTGAATTTTCTAGCCCAAAACTTCCCAAGTCAGAACTGCTCTGGTGTGTATTTATAAAGCTATTTGGGGATGGAATGTGCTATATAAATGCCACATAACACCCTAACAGATATTTCAAATACATAAAACCAGGCAACTTTATTTCGTAAGCCAGCAAATACAGCATGCTGGAAATGTCAGTGAACAGTGTGGACTTCTTAGCGTTGTTATGGCGGGTGAGATGCTCAACTGACAGCCCTGCTGACTGAAATCCTCTGTCTATCCACGTGATCTGTCAATATTGCCAACCTGAAGACACTAAGGGAGCTGCCCGTGTGGTAGCAGCTGGTATAGACACACTGGTAACACTCAGGCCAAGGCTGTTTGTAGTGTTCATACTGCTTGCCATGCTGACAACCGAGGAGGTGGTGCTAGTGGTTGAAGCAGTTGAAAAGGTTGTTGAGGGCTGGAGCGAAGTTGTGTTCTCAATACTAGTGTGCTAGAAAAGGAGACAAAAAGAATGAGGATCACAGAGCAAATAAACCACAGTGGAAGATGCTGGGAAAAAGGGAAAAATAAAAGAAAACAACAACAAAAACTTCTAAAGTAACAGCAGCACATGCAAAAGATATGCATTACCTATGTACCAAGCAAGCAACTAAGTTGCATGCTTATGAAGCTTTTGTGATTTAAAGAAAATTATTGTATGGGAGCTAAACTCAAATTGCTATACCATCACAAAATTGTAATACAGTAACTCAAACGTAACATATACCATTCCATCACCGGCATTTTGTCAGCTAACCTCTCCAGGATAGAGTGCTAACAGTCCACATTTTGGAGACATTTCAGATTGCCTGAAGTTTGTTTTGTTTTGTAATAAACTAGTTATAAGCAATTTTTTTTCTGTTTCATTCCCCCTAGCTGGCACGACAATTTCCCTCAGATGTGTAACTGGCAAGTCTCTGTCATAGCTACAAATCACAAGTGGTAATCACTTTTCTCCCACTAGAGGGCTTGCAGTCCTTCTTCCCTGAAGTAACGCTCCTCTTTTGGTTCTTAGGGTACTGAGACACATCCAACTTTTAAGAGTTGGTCCTAATTATGAGATAAACTGACTATCTGACAAGCACTTGTTTAAAGACTAACAGGACTTACCACATGTGATGTGCCTGAAGACAACACTGAGGCAGGAGAGAGGTTGGTCTGATGATTGGAAAGGGAGCTGGAAGGAAATTGTAAAGAATTTATAAAATTAATTTTCCCTTTTTAACAAATACAGATATGCAGTAGGGCGTCAGTTAAAGAATTAAAATTCTAGGTGTGTGTGCACACCTACAGTAACTGAGTAGTTAAAGAAAAATTACATGTAAGAGTGTATGCATACATACACATACACACAGAGAAATGTGTATGTGTCTGTATGAATACGGACACCTCGATGTCGCCCTGATTTTGTAAGACTTTGTTAAGCCTTCTGATGTTTACATTCTTTCAACAAACTTTCTCACACACAGTTCTGTAAATAACCTATGTTTTGCATTCTTTCATAGAAGTGGAGAGAATTGATGGACCCTTGGTCTGTCCAGTGGCATTGGAGAGGTGGCACTGTCACCCTCCAATCCACTGTCACCTTTGGAAAACTATAAATGTTGGAGTCAGAAAATAAAGGTTTTCTTTTTTGTTCCCCTCGAGAGCAGCAGTGTCTGTGTCATCATTTTGTGCCTTATCACAACACCTCTACAGGCACTTTTTCCTTTAATTAGTACCCTACTACCTTTTAGTGAAAAAAATCAAGTGCAGAGTCATTATTATTAACAATAAACATCTAAACCACCATTTGTTTGTATTTTTCAATTTACTATATCTTTAGAAAAACTACAGTTGCTTCAGGAATCAAATAGTGATGACTCCACGACACATGAAGTCCAAAATCAAAACAAGGTTCACACAAGCACAAGCCTGGTTCCTCCTTCTTTCTCTGCTGCTGCTTACCGTGCGGGACAGGTTTAAAGTGAGGCAGTGCTGTGGTTTGACTCACTATGTTGTTTCTCACATTTTGAGTTGTGTAACATTAACTCAACCAATTAAAACTGCAGGGTACTTGCCCCATAATGCAACCAGAGATCTTCAAATGTCTTCCTGAAAGGTGACTGAAACTGGCATTTGAACATTTAAACTGACAAGTTATACCTTATATTCAAGGTAAAGAATGTAACCTACTGTATATAGTATGCAATAAACTGAACCAACATAGCACAGAAGTAACCAAAATGAAGATATAAAACATGTGTATAGACTGGTGCTAAAAAACCCCCCTCCTTATTAAATAAGAAGCAGGAGAGATCCTAACAGCAAAATTAGTTTAGTGCTGTCAATCCAAATAGCCACAAGAAAAGACAGTTTTCATACCAAAGCTGGCAGCTTCATTACATGACCTAATTTAAGGGCAAACACTTCTAGTAGCTCTTCAAGGCATGGGCCCAGAATAAACTTTTTGCAGTTTTCCAGATTAACTTTCAAAACTGTCCCCCTTCAGCAGGAATTGGAACAACATCACTTCAGGCAGCAGGGGAAAAGTAAGAGTTTTATACCACTCCCTCACCCACTCTTCCCAGCTCTTTTGATAAGTCTTAATTCACCATCCAACCTATGGCAGAGACACAGACGACAGCCATCAGCTCTACCAAGTCAGACACATTTGGATTTCAGGCGTCCCAATGATCTATGTCTGAAACTTTGTATCTGTCCAACAGCATTGAACTCCAATTGAAATTTCCATGCGTTTACACAGCTTTTCAACAAATCATTGTGGGGAAATGTGACCAATGTAAAGGGAATAGCTCTTGTTTGACATATTTACTATTTTATTCAACAAAAAAAAAATACTAGGGTGTCAAAAAAAAAAAATAAACTATGTTCTAGCTGTGAAACAGGACAAAAACGCCCTGATATCCCAAATCAGTTTCTTGTATTAACAAATAGAGTACAAAGGTAAGTATCAGAAGTGTAACTCAATCAAATACACCTTCAGGATTGTCACCATGATGCCATTTTCAGGCTTCCCTAAAACCAGAGGCCAGACAAATTTAAGATAATAAAAAAATCATTCTATTTATTGAAGGGCTGTCAGGTACATTAAGAGTAGATGAAGCCTTCCCAGGGGCTACACCCAGACATGGATGACCAGTCATGAGTTTTCACACTTTGGTAAGTTTGGTCCATTTGCATACTGGCAGTTAATCTTTCAATTACAGCTTCAGGTAATGAAGTCATTTTACCCCATGTTAGCTCCCCATCACATCACTTTTCTTTATACTTTCCAGGGCCTGAAACAGTAAAGTGTCCTTGAGTCCCAGACCTAGAGAGGAACTGTTTTGTCTAATCAAAATGTGAAGACAGTAGCTAATACTCTATAAGGAGTTTAAAGTTATACACTAAAGAACTGCAGGATTACAAATAAATGAAAAATATAAATGTTAAAATCCTAAGGCATCAACCTGACTGAGGATGTAACAGGCATTCAGAAAAACAAAGAGACAGTGTAAATGAGCTGAATTGTGCTAGATGCACTTCCAGGAACATCAAAGTGATATTTTTAAATATTTAAGGAAATATCTTAGAAAAAGAAAACACACACAGTTTCCCTGTGAAATTATATCTGAGTTTTAATTTTAAGAAATACAAATGAGACTACGTTATTTCAAATTTGCCATGTAGTAAACTGTTAAAGAATAGTTTCAAACATATAACACCGAACAAAAACAGCATGTGCAAAGTAGGAAAAATAAACTGGGGGAATCAATTTAGCTGATTTAGCTAGCATGATTGAAGCAAACCTCTTGAAACACAAAGTTGTATATGCATCATGAAAGCTTGAGGGCAGCAGCTGCTCTGCCATTAGAAGGCAGCCCAGAGCTGCCTTCTGCTCTCCTCTGAATCTCTCCCCTAATTCTGGTTCACGTCAGAAAAGGGACCCCTGGTGCCTGCCAGCCCCATATGGAACCATCTTTACACCTGTTCTATCCTCAAAACTGACCTCCTCAGTTTACCACAACTCTACTGTACCTGCTCAGCTGGGAGAGTGAGCTGCTGGCCAGATCACTGGACTGAGGCAAGCTGGGCAATGCTGCCACGTGCTGCGATGCCGAAGGCAGAAGCGAGGCCGTGGTAGACACCACACTGGGCAGAGAACCAGCAGAAGGTAGCGAGGGAGAAGGCTCTGTCTTAGGTGCTGCAATTGATGAAATAGCTGCAACAAGTTAAAAAGAGGCGTTCAGAATAAAATTTCAGCATACCTGACTTCTCAGCCCTGAGGGCAGGAACACAGTAGCACATTCTCCCCTTGGTCTGCAAAAATCTGACCATTAAGAACTGGTAACCATATCAAGCAATTTGGCTATGAAGAAAAATTCAAACACAACTGAACTACCATTTTTTCCCTTTAAGCTCTCTACTTATAATAAATTTACAATTATCACTGCTACACATGTAGTACACAACTGCCTTCTGCACTTCACCTGCCTCTATCTGGATTACTAACTTACACTCACAAGTCATTCTAAAATTTCTTGCTTTTGGCTCAGCAAACACAAGTAATTTCTGCCTTTTCAAGGCACTGTACAAATCTAGTTTCACCTACAGCTCTGCTTCTTCATTCAGACCTACACAGCACTGTTGGGGATAGAGACTGAGATTGCTGGAGTACAGGGGTAGGTAACTTATCACTTTGGTATATTCAGTCAAAAGTGTACTGCAGTAGAATGACAAAAGCTACAATGAAAGGCCAGAATTGAGCACAGCATTAAGTATTTTTTATGGCTAAGGAGCTGTCAAATATTGACTCACTTTACTTAGATAATAAAAACTGTTAGGTTTTATCTTACACTTTTTAGGCTACACAGATAAAAACTTGTTTATAGGATCACTATACTGTAGTAAGATGTCTGAAAATTCTATTGCCCAACATAATTCCCAGCTGTTTCACTTATACACTCCTACAAAAATAACAAAGAATTAGAGACACTCATTCACCAATAAAACTTAGAAAAGAGTTGAGCCCTACCTTCTGCTGGGCCATGTTCCCACACCACACCAGGGACCACTACCCAGTGGATCAACATTAACTTACAATGTATGTGAAGACACTTCTAGATTACTCATCAAACAAAAATTAAATACACACTTGCAAGTTATATATTAGAGTTTGTTCACTTTATGGATTTGATTTCCTAGCTAAATGACCCAAGTCAGGTTGTTGGGTTGCAATGCAAACAGGAATTAAAAGGTCCTGGCCTTGGCAATAAGTATGGCCTTTAAGAGAAGGAAATCCAAGTGACAAACATGGTTATGAAGGCAGCAACTATATCACCTAATAACTCCTGGTAAAACTGATATTAAAAAGGATTAAATAACATTTAAAACTCCCAATATATTAAGACCAGGATTCCCTCAAAACAAGGGACAGAATCACCATCTTAAGATTCCCTACAAGATGCCTGAATGCAATGTGCAAGACAAAGAAAACCAGGAGACAAGTAGCATGGTCAGGAGTAAAATTCAGTCGTACTTTGAATTAAGGATTTAGGAAGCTTGTGATCTGGGTATTAAAGAAGAACAGCAAAGAAGAGAGATGAACAACTAAGAACATTATATTACATACAGAAAGGAGAAAGTACTTACAAAAGTTAAGACAAATTCAAAATCATTTGGATGCATAAAAGAGACTCAATGGAAGAAGAAAGCAGAAATGCTCTCAAAGGAGAACTGGCATAGGAAAAGAGACTAGTAAAGCCGTTACAGAATACAAAAGTAATAGGAATACTCAGATCTTTGTTTTCTGCAGAAAAAAGGACAGGTTCTGTAGTGAATTTCATAAATTGTTTATTAACTCTGTACACAACACTAGAAAAGTTCTTGTGTTGAAAAGCTGTCTTTGTATACTTGGAGCATATACACTCCTGCTCCTTTAAATTCAAATTGGCACTAACAAAACATTGTCCCACTAATGGCCTATCTGAAGAGATGTTTAAGAGGAGGTTAGACCTAAAATGAGGTGTTGGAATTCCAAGAGATCTAATTCACACTGCTGTCCTTGAGAACTCCCATGGAGCAGCACAAAGATCAGAAGAGCAAATACTATACTTTAATTATTTTAACTCCACATAGAGAGCTGCAGGCCAGGTACAGGTCCACGCTACATTAGAAACAGGCCAAGATGAAGAAACTAGCACTTATACCACAATCAATACTGAAGTACTGTTTGCAAGGTATTATAAACTCAGACAAGGGAATGTGTTTCTCACCTTTATTCCCACAGGCCTCTAACAAGGCAGAGATAGAATTATACCTAGTGAGAGGTGCACTCAAAGAATGTGACTTCATTTCACTGCAGCTACATGCTATTTTCAGCTTCCCAAGTCAGAACTGGAAGAACTGCTAAAAAATTTCATATTTATTTCTAATTTTGCATTTTTATTTTATATTAACTGATTTCTGACAGGTAAATTCAAAAGGAAAACCAGCAGCAAAGCAGCTTCTCTAATTCTAAGGTAGTTTAGGTTTGTAGATTTAATAGACCTGTCTTCATATTTCAATTGTAGTCAAGAAGGAAGCAGCATTTTTTGCAAGCACAAATAAAGTCAAATGGGTCAGCCATAAATTAGTCATGGAGAACAATATAAAACCTTAAACCAATGTCACTGATACACCTGTGTGCACAGCAAGTAGCAAGGAATGAACAGAAAGTCCTGTGCTCAACCAAGCTTTGAAAACTTACTGTCAAGTGTTGCCTGTGTCCTAACACCACTGTGTCCGTTCTGTAAACAAAGAAGAAATGAATTAACAAATGATCTTAAAGGTATATTAAATAGTCAGACTGAATCACACATTGAACATGCTTCATGCAAAATTCTATATTCATACTAAATTGAACAATAAGGCAGAAAATTAAATTTTTACTGCCTTTAAAAAAACTACATCATTAAGTCGTCTGAAGTGCAAGGTGTCCTGAACACAGAGAAACCCATACACTGCCCATAATACACCCATTAGCAGCAAACCTTCCCATGTACTGCATATAACATAAACTTCAGGTTCACACCAATATGAAAGAAGGAATTGCATTAACATATAGGAAATGGTTGTGCTTTTGATCTAATGTAACTCACAATTTTAACTATCCAAGTTACACAGAGACGCCAATTTTTTTCCATTGAAAGATAAGACTTGAGAAGCACCAGTTGTTTTTTGGATAACGCTGGAGTACAGAAGTGGATAGTCTATGCTTGATCCTCACCAGTACATACGAGCTAGTGCAGAAGACAAGTGCGACTGAGCCAACACATAACAAAGGCCAGAAGTAAATAAACTTACAAACTCTCACAAGTTCCTAAAACATTCAATAAACTCAGTTCTTTTAAAACAAACCTACATTCCATATACAAAGACAGCAGGTGTGTCTGAATCTCCCAAGGGATTCTTTGTCCTATATTAGACCACTCCTTATGCTTATTAAAATAACACATGAAACTAATTCCCACTGGTGTTTAAATACAACAGGAAAGTAATACTGGAGGGGCCAAGAAAAAAATTGGATTCATTTGCTAGGTGCCATGTAAATTTAGTAAATAAAATGCATTTGTAAAGAAACTGTCAAGTTATTAGTTATGGCAAAATACCATAACTAATATTTACATACAGAGACAGTTCCTTAGCTTCAGGGAAGGAAACTCAAGTAGAATTTTAAGTGTTACTGAAAAAAAGGTCAAGAGACAAGTTAAGATGTCAAGACCCACAAAATCAGATGCTCTAATATCCCAAATATAGTACTACCAAAAATGACTACACACCAGGAAAACCAAAAACAAGTAAGAGGGTGGGCTTGGGAATCAAAATACCACTTGGCTTGGTTACAGCATTAATGTATCAGGGGAATACAAACCTAACACAGGTAAGAGTATTCCCCCTTTTCTAGGTCCTGTTTCTGTAATGAACTCACCGTAACTGCAACAGGGGCTGGTTCAGACAGAGCCATGGAGCTTTGGTACGCTATCCTGCTATGCACAGAAGTCTGGTCATAGGAGGAAGTTGTTACTGGGCTAGTGCTCTGGGATGAGCAAGTCAGACTGGAAGAGCTGATGGCAGAGGTTGTGTAGGTGGAGTCCTGTACTGTATTGGATATTGGCAAAGAGGTATTCAAAGGATCACTGGAAAAAAAAGAATTATTTATCATCTTGGCAAGTATTTAAAATACCTTCATGAAAATATCAGCTTTTATATAGCTATCTAGAACTATCTTAAACACACAGGAAAATCTACACTATTTATATTAGAAAAATCTAAGAATGTATAAAAAATTATAATATTGCTTTGGTTGTTACTAATCACTGCTTTAAAATATCAACTGCACTAAGCACCATTCACCTTCCTCGTTCCAGCCCAAACAAGACAAGAGTTTACACACAAGCACTTTTCAGTCATGTTATTTCCACCTTTTCCAAGGATAAATTAATGATCATAATCTCTCTTTTTTAAACAAGCAGAATTGATGAAGTCTGGCATACGATGAATAACAATAGGATTCTTTTTACAATAGAATTCTAATGTTACAGAATGAATTATGCAAAGAGCTAAAAAAACCTTTAAAACATGCAGGAATGTTTTATTTTCCACTTAGTTTAAATATTACAGATAAAACTAAAAGTTATGTGGAAGTTAGTTTTCATTAATATTTCTGAATTAACTTCAGGAAGCTTTTTACTGAGGGCAATTTTTCAATGAGTAAGGAACTAAAACTGTTTACAGGTACACTGGTACTTATCATTGGCTGTTGTAGCATTTCAGTAAGAGCTTCTGTGTACAGAATACCTAGCTTCTTTTCCCATTTTTTCATCCTGTTAGGAGCATCAGATCTGTAACCTGGAGACAATCTACTAACTAGCACTCATATATGGTACAAAGGTCAATTCTGCTGGGTCAGATGGAGAAAAACATGAGTAGTGAGGAACAAACCCCCAAAACACTTGAAAATCAGGGCAATTTAACGTGAAAAAGAAATTCTATAAAGGTTAGCTTATTAAAAGGTTATTTATATTCATGTCATCTCCAGCTTCACATCTACCCATCCAGGGAGATTTTGATTATCATTAGAGTAGAATTTTATCATTTAAGATACAGTCCACAGAAAACAAATCATATTATTTTCTCCTTTCATTACATTATAACCCTGTTGTGATGTTTTTGGCACGAACTTGACCCCCTACAAGAACACCTGAGAATGCAGGAGGGCAACTCACACATACTTTACAGATTTTGAATATAAGCTATTGTTGGTCGCCTGGTTGGTATTTTCACTGCTTGAAGTTGATCCAAACTCTGGGAGTGTAGGCTCTGATCCAAACTCAAGAGCTCCAAACTGAACATTTAACCCTGTCATGTCCGCTGATCCAGGCATCTCCACAGCAGAGGCAGGAATCTTAAAGGAAGAAAAGAAGCCATAATTCCTTTGCATGCATCTGCAATTTGAAATTAATCTACTGATTCTGCTCTAATCTGGAGCTAAAGGAGTAAACCATACTATTCCACAATAACAAAGTATCATCTTTGTACACTCCTACATACGACCAATTTTCATACTGTGGCTACTAAGTCAATCTAAAAATCACTCAGCAACAGCCATTTTCCACACAGAGCAACCAGCTATCTGCTTGCAATATATCACCACAATATTTTGGACCTAATAGTGATCCAGCTTAGTACATCCTGCTACACAGATAAGAAATAGACCAAGATCTTTGCTCTCCTTCTCCCTTGCAATTTACATAAAACATATACCGAATCAAATCATAGAATCATTAAGGTTGGACAAGAACACTAAGATCAAGTCCAACTACTAAAGCCAGCACTACCAAACCATGTCTCTAAGCACCATGTCTTCACATCTTTCAAACAGTTCCAGGGATGGTAACTCTCTCACTTACCTGGGCAGCCTGCTCCAGTGACTGACAACCCCCTCAGTGATGACATTTTTCCTGATATCCAATTTAAACCTTCCCTAGTGCAACTTGAGGCTGTTTCCTCTTGTCTTGTCAGTTGTTACCTGGGACAAGAGACCAATCTCCACCTGGCTACACCCTCATTTCTAGAGAGTGATCAGGTTTCCCCTGATCCTCCTTTTCTTCAGGCTGAGCCTCTGTAGCTCCCTCAGCTGCTCCTCTGACCTGTGTTCCAGACTTTCCCCAGCTCTGCTCCCTTCTCTGGACATGCTCCAGCACCTCAACATCTTCCTTGTATTAGGGACCCAGAACTGGACAGAGGATTTGAGGTGCAGCCTCACCCAGTAAGTGCCCAGTACAGGGAGACAAGTCACTGCCCCGGTCCTGCTGGCTATGCGACTGCTGACACAAGTTTTTGTGGTTTTTAAGTTTACTAATGACAAGCTATCACTCAATTACCCACCTTGGATGCTGGAGTTATCCTCCTTTTTGGCGGTTTTATCTGTTTCTGTTGGGTTTGATGAACAGTCACTGCCTGGCTATCCATAGAGATAGTGGGGAGCTGTAATATTTTGCTAACAGCTGTAGAGGTGTCCACTGGTGATGGCTCTCGGAGTTTTACTTGGGAGGAGGATGACTCCAGCCCAGGAGGAGGAACAGGAACCACCTGCATTTGTTGCTGTCGCTGTGTCAGCTGGCTCAGAACTGGAGATGGCTCAGGCTGGGATTTAAAGTCTGGTCAGTGTTGGAAAAAAAGAAATACCAAAATTAAAGCACTGAATTCTGCTCTTCACAGTTCTACTCTTTATGGAAGAATCTGAGTGATGCTTAATAGCTATGATTCTGTAGCATTTGCAAGTCTTTTCAGACATCACACGGGTTTCACATGGATCATTACCACTCAAACACTAATAAGGACAACAGTTGATACATCTACTTCAAATAAACGGCTGTGGCCAAGCATTATTTAGTTTTTTTCCAAAAATGTGAAAACAAACCTATATACACAGTCACAATATTATCACACACAAGTCCTCAAAAACTGTTACAGATTATGTTAATCAAACACTTCAAGTTTCACTGTAATTAACTGTGCTCATGTAATGTGATTACTTCCAAGAGGTAAAGAGTTGTTAAAATTTAGAGGTATTATGAGTTAGGATTCCCTTCCTGTGCAAAGAAGAAGATTTAAAAAAAAAATAGGAAGTCTTCTACCATCTCATAATAGCTGAGAATCAAAAAGATGCTGGACATGAATAGGTTTTTTCCCCAGTCTTCCTTTTCATAGTTTCTAGATGCTGAAAGCCAAGAGATGACCTAAAGCACTGGTCAACCACCACAGAGACCTCCCGCATCTCCATTGTGAAGGGGTTTTTATTCAGTTGGTGAAGTCCATTAGAAAGCATTAAAATGTATATAATTTTTCTTTTTTTAATTTGTGCATGTCAAAGATAGTAATCGCTACCAATGGCTGCTTATCTACACATAAACATACACACACACGAGAGACACAAGAGCTATCTTCTTCACAGTGAGGATACTGCTAGGAACAACATTACAGAAAATAAGTTTCTGTCATTCTCACTGTTGCTACTAATTTCACTCAGTTACATGAAAAATTAATATAATTATAAATATACAAAACAAGTAATCCAAATCCTTCACAGCACACTACAGAAAGAACACTGAGGCGTGATGCACATTATGAAGAAATTACATAGTACTCATTCAAAATTCATGTAATGATTAGAAGAGAGAATATGGGAAAAAAAAATACAAGTACACAACTTTACACTCAGCTAAAAGCAGCATAGTAGAATAAAAATAAGTATTTTCCAGTATCTGTTGAAAAAACAGTCACCAACAAAGTTCCATGTAAATATTCAAACACACTAAATCAAACATGTCACTACCTGGAAGGCTCAATAACTTTAAACATGCAATGACATTTAGGGATAGGCTTAAGTTTAACAAAACTTAGATTATTATATACTTGTGATGTTTATTACCAGCAAATAAACATAACACTTAAAATGTTGCAAGTAATTGTATTACTAGGATTAATTTTTTTAAAAAAAGTCTTTAATTAAAGTAATTTTAAACTATCATTGGCATTAAGGAATCTTACTGGCTAATATAAAGAGAAAGACAAGAACCTGTGTCAAAGCACTTACCAAACTGACTGAGGACTGAGGACTGAGTACTAGGTGGTTTTAGATCCCAGGATGATGCAGCAACTGTGCTAGTGGTGGCAGAACTGCTATTAGTTTGTTGAGAGGTAAACTGACCCAATCCTGGTGATTTCAATTGGTCCAAGATTTGGGAACCAGTAGAATTTGTCAGTTTAGAAGATCTGAGCTCTCCAAAGCCAGAACAAAGAACTGCCGACTACCAAAAGACAGAGAAGAAAAGGGGAAGGAGTGCAGTTAATATTTTAACTAATAATTGAACACAATCATAGGGTCAATGCCTACAGCTGCTGTCTGGCAGCAACTAAAATCTTTTCAGACATAGATTACTAACAATTGACCAGTAAAAACTTCCACTACTGTAAGTACTGCATACTTGAACTTATGCATCTTAAATATCATAGATTTACTAATAGTTGGACCAATTTTTAGAGAACAAACACCTCACCTCACACCCTCAAAAGTGACTCAGAAATAGGCATGCTTCCACAAGAAGCAGTTGAATATGTGCTTGGAAATAACACATCCATTTTCTGGCCTAGAACTCTTAACTATAAACAAATTATTTTATCCTACATCAGCAAGCAATGAGCACATCTGCTCTCTAATCAAAAATTAATATAACTACTTCATGTAAATGCATAAATAACCAACCAGCAAAATGAAAAATTAAATTGGGGGGGGAAGGTGGGAGGAGGGGGTGCTGAAAGGAAAGAAAGATATTCTTAATTTTCATTTTTCAGCAAATACCAAAACATCTCATGAAATGACCAGCACCGGAAAAGTTGTTTAACCTGAAATATTTACTCATGAACAACACTTAAAAACAAAATATTTAGAAAGCATAAGGTAGTTTTACCAGACTTTGAGGAGAATAAGAGTTTACAGCACTGGAGCTGCCTGTTCCTGATGCCATCTGCGTGCTGTGCTGAGAATTTGTGAATACTAAGGCTTGGCCAAAGGTCTGCTGCTGGGGAGACTCAAATGAGTTGCCTTCTGTTTCTTGGGTAGATGTGACTGGCTTTTGAAGCAGTGTCACCAAATCAATGCTGTAAGAAAAAGTGAAACTTGACGGGAATGAACACAGTGATTAAACTTCACTAACACTGGGGAAAGCACTAGCAATACTAAAGCTGCCATCCCAGTAACAGAATTATTACTGATTAGCAGTCTTTTCAAATGTTTTTTGTCTATCATACGAAAGAAAGAGAAGGGAACTTTTTGCCAGTAAGTAACAAACAAAAAAAATCCCACCCCAATTTGAGTGGATAAACTAAAACATAATCTGAGGGACATCCACTGTAAGAGCAGAACAAAAACACATGAATATACTACCTTTAAGAAAGAAAAAAATATAAATTATACACCATGTGACACCATGCCTCATGCAAATCACATCCACATTATACTGAAAATTTTTCTGCAGTACAGCAGAAACAGGGCACTTGGAACCATTAGCCTATCTGGTTTTCAGATCTCATGCTATCCAACTACCAAAGTCTTCATCACTATACTTTGATGTGCTCTCCAGGAACATGAAGTTAATGCAAGCAGCTGATTCCTCATCATCACCAGCAAGGCATTTGAAGACAAAGGCAAGCAAAGGAAGGCAGCAACTGACCTATTTTTGGTTCTTGATCTTAACCCTCTGTCATCAGTAAAGGCTAGTAACTGTGATGTTCACCAGGGAATTTACCTTTTTGTCAATGCAAGCTTTCATTTAACACATCTGTCAAAGTGCTACATTGTGAACACTTTCTGCATCTACAAAGACAGGCTTCCCATTTTCTGGACACTAAAGCCAGAACTTCCTTTTCAGCAGCAAAAAATTTTTTCTTCCCAGCTACTTTTCTTCCTGCCTGTAAGGAGTCCTGATGCAGAAGATGTGTTATGCTCATACATTTGGTAAGTTTGTCTCCACTTTCCCAGTCAAAAATACGTAACTCAGAAACCCACAGAAACAACAATTTGCAAGCAGGGCTTTTTCAATTTTTAGATGAGCTTGACCAATCTCTGACGGAGATTTTATTCAGCATTTTATGTGTGCAAGCTAACATTGCTTAATCAAGGAGAAGGTTTTTAAAGTATAGGGAAAACATGAAAGAAGAGTTTACCTTTGCCCAGGAGTCACATGATTTTCAGCCGGAACAGAAGATGCAGTGAAGACTTTTGTTTCAGAAAGCTGAAAGAGATGGGGGAAGAATTTCATATGGTCACATTTCCCTCCTGCAAGATCTGCAGAAATTTCATTTTGGTCATGCATTTTCAAGATAAAAGTAAAGTCAAACTACCATTGCAAACAGCTAATCTGAAGCTCTGCTTAAAAAGACAAAAACATGTAGTGAAACTTCAGTAAAATCTTCTTCACAGAATCAAGTACCTATTAAATTAGAGGGTTGGGTTAGGAAATTTGACCTACTATGCACCAGCATAGAACTGTATACCAATGTAACTACATCAGCTTGGGAAACAGTTTAACTGAAATACACCAGTAGAAAGTAATTAATGTGACAGCCGTTCTACAAACAATGTGCAGACAATTTATGACACTACAGAGCAACTCTGACAAATCTTGTTGCACATGGGTAACACATTGCACTGCTCCCACTCATTCCATGTATCTTTGCATCTGACATTTCAGCTCCCACCACCGGCAGCACCCACCAGAGGCAGGTAAGTACAGGTAAGTTCAGTGAACCAGCATTCATGGCTCCTTCTTGGCAGCTCTGTTAGGAGAGGCAATAAGGTCTTTAACTGAGAGCTCTGAGAGCACGAGCTGGGAAACTGTAATAAAATAAGAGTCATGCTGACACTCACGTAACAAGTCAGACCACCCACAGGAAAGCTGCACTATGCTCACCATGCTGTTACAATACAGAGAGATACTTGCACAGGCACCTGGAGAAGCAGAGCTGGTTGGGACTATGGGGGAAAAGAGGGGGTTGTTTTTTTGCCATGTGGTTGGATTTTTAACACTTTTTCTCCTTTAAAAAGTAGTAGCTGAACAGCTACAGCTTCCTAGGGCTAATTTCTATTGACAGGAGTACTTGCAAACTGGAATAGATCTTAAGTCAGTACAGGTTAGGTTTAGCAAGACAGAGCTATGCATGTACAATGTTCTTATTTTAAATTTGCTTTTTTAAAAATCATCCTTAATTCCTCTAGTAGCCTTGTCTTTGACTGAAGAATAACTGACCTGTGCAAAAGAATACCTTTAGAATGTGCCATTTGATACAGCTCTTCTAAGAATGATGCATTTTTAACTGCATACATTTCTAGCAGTTTAAAGGACATCATGGGCACGAGTCGATTTAATTTGCCATCCCACAGGCAGCTCTACTGAGAGCATATGTATCCCTGAATATGGACATCTGATAGGGGTCTCCTATGAAACACTGTTGATTTAAGAAGGGCACAGAAGAGCTGACTGGGAGCAAATCAGCACTCAGAGGCAGAGTAGAGATATCTCACATACTCTTGCAGCACCCTCTTGCAAGAAGCACATGAGACCATGAAGAAATCAGTCCTAACACAGCTCCTCCCTCCATTTCTTTCCCCCCCTTGCTGCCAACACAATGCACTTTAATCCCTCGTTTCTGGATCACTTGTCCTGAGATGAATGCTGACAGCCCACAACTCTGTGTACTGACCAAAACAAAGAAAGAACATTCCACTTAAGTACATTTCAGTTAAAAAGGCTGTTCCTCTATTGTTCAGCTCTTTCCTCACGATGTATTTTATTTTAGAGCAATGCATACTGTACTTTCTGGGGTATTATGATATTCCTGCATTACATGGCACAAGGAAGTCAGCTAATGGCACAAGCAACACTCTGTGGTCTGCAATCCCTTGGTTAAATATTAAATTCTTTGTAATATCACCAGTTTCTTACACTCACATAAGACAGGAAAAGACTAACCATGGACAAACACTGATGAAATTCAGCAAATTAAGGAGACTGAGGATGTTTGTGACAATGCAAATGCATGCTTGATGTGTGAGAGAATAAATGTTCTCTATAGATGAACCAGCATGCAAACCGAAGTCTCCAGCTACCAGCTCAGTTACATTGAGATTTACACTACAACCTGTGGCAAACTCACTGCCAAAAGGTCCAATCAAGCACTTCATTCAGTACTCTGCAGGGATTACAGCAATCGTCAAAACACGTATTTCGTGCTGTGGCAGCTGAAAAGTTTTATTACCAGATGTATTTAGTATTTCTCAGAAGTAGTATTTTCAGCTCCCAATCAAGCCATTATGCTTGCTGCACACTACACTCACAAATCTTTCACTGAGGCTCTGGCATTTTCCCAGAACTGAACGAATGGTTGTGAGCCATTTGTCGGTGTTGGCCTCACAGGGATATGTCCTCCATCTGCAGTGAAATGCCCGTGCTTTCCAGCTCCTGTTCCTATGATAAAATCATTCTCCAATCACCAAACAGACAATGCACTTGACAACTAGCTATCAGTTCCTAAAGGAATACAGGAATGGTGAGGAGAAGAGGAAAATATACTCCAGCATCCTCACCGAAACTCAACATCAACAAGTCAGAAATTTAAAAAAAAGCTTATTACTGTTCTGGTATGTTGTAGTGAGGGTAAAGAAATTAAAACAACTTCTCATGCTGCTTCCTGGTAAATAAACCACTCCCAGCAACAGACACTCTTTTTTTTTTCTTTCTTTTTTTAAAAAAGTGTAGTTGTGGTTTCAAATAAAAACTAGCACTACACTTTACAGAAAACGTTTGCCATTACCCACTTTCCAAAAATTTGTATTTATTCTATTTCTTTCCTTTGGAATAGTTGATATAGTTAAACTTTACTTTCTTTTAAGAGCAAAATCCAGAGCCAGCTAAAGTACCTCAATATTTGTCTAGTCCTTCATTGTTAATGTCCTGAATATCCCTTTAACAAAACACAACCTCTTATTTTCACTGCAAGAAGTTTCCGTTCTATTTAATAGCACCTTGACAACCTATTATACTTGCTTAATACTCACTGCAAAAGATAAGGACCAGACAGGACTATTAGGTCACAAAGACCTAATTCTTCTTGGGTCAAATAGCGTTAAATTTCACTCACTTGCTCATAACTAGTATCTGACTAAAGGACACCAGATTTAAACAGAAATATTCTTTAAAAAAAACGCCTGGTCTTTCCCTGCGGCCAGTACATATATCAGCTTCCTTGGTTCTTTTAATCAATAGTCATGCCACTAGAGGTGTTTGTTACACACTTAAATGCACGGATCCATTTTCCAGATACAGGTTCCTACTACACTTCTGCTAGAGTAAAACCAGAGTCTACCATATGCTCCTAAAGTAATCCTTTCAGATTCCCTAAACTAAAATCTCCCTTCTCAAGGATCTTTGATCAGACATTTCAGCTACAATACACAATTTTGCATCTGTAAAAGCAATGAGAAACTTGATTTGGTACTTAAGAATCAAATTCAAGAGCATACACATACAGAAACATAACTCAAGAATGACTAAGAGATGGGGAAGAGTGCCAACAGGCAAAAATAGCTTTTTTAATACAGCATCAGCTCATGCTGAGCTGTTCTTTTTCCATCATCCACTACAATCCTGAAAACTTATGAGTTGCTGCTTTCCAGACACCAGGCCCTTGTTCTGAAGGTGTGTCTTTATTCCTATAAAACAAATGGATACTTGGCTATATTAAAGTATTTTTCACTGGAACAGTTCAAATCTTGCAGAAGTCCAAATCTCGCCACATGACTGGCTTACTTTCAAATGCTATTCCAATATATTTTGTATTTTACAAACATTTTATTAAACAATTACTTTAGTTTTACTTCCCAGTCATTGATTGAGGCACTAGATGGCATCTGGCCCCAGATTGGGAGAACTTATAGCCTTCCTACAAAAGCCCATATTCAATAAGGGTCCTACTGTAACAGATTTGCCAAAATTTGCAAGGCAGATTTCAATACATTAAAATGTTTTGTGATAGAATGCAATTATTTTTATAACAAAAGATATAACATATTTTCCCCTTTTTTTTTCTGCATGTTTTGGGCTAATGTATCTGCATCTTGACATTTCATTCACTATTTCTGAATATTAGCTGAGAAATAACTTTCTCCTCGGTTATAGGGATTTTTACAGGATCCAAAATGAATAAAAATTAACAATGGGCTAGAGATTTCAAAATTCATTTGCAAATTATTCAGCTCTAGTAACTAATTAAAACAAATTTTATCCGTAGTCACCACTGCTCAACACCCCTCCCTACCGACAAACGCTGTATTGTACCAGCATCAAACAGGGGTGAGAATAGCCCATAGATTTCCACCATTTTTAGCCCTTAGTCCACCTCTAGCACACACTGAGGAAACTAAAGACAGGTCTAAAATATGTCAGCTTTTGATGTCATTATCTGATAGGGAAATCATAGGAATTTAAGAATTTCTTTCAATTCTCTCAAAAGATACATCCCTATCACATTAGGTAAGGATGGAGTTTCCATATCAGTTACATGAAACATTCACACATTTCCAGGACAAACACTGGCATTCCACCTTGCAGGAGGAGGCAAAAGGGATGACTTATTTTTACTCTACTGAAAATAAACTTGAAATAATGGGTTACTTCAAATATTTAGTTTTTGAAAACAACACAAATTCTGAAGAGAATAAATAATCAATTGGTATATCCAGCCAGTTGGACTTACATCTTCATTCCAGTCTTCTGCTGTCCATTCTTCTATTGAGTTCTTCCATGCCCCTGTTATAATAGAGGAAAGAAAGAAAACAGGTACAAATTAAAGGCACAACACTGTGTTTCAATCCTTCTGCTTTACAAGCAATCCTGTTTTCATTATCTGTGGAACACAAAGCAAGGAGATGGAAGTTGGAAACATATCTGGAAACATGGTTGGAAGCTCTAGGAAACTGATCTGCAGAATTAAAATTTTGGGAGGGAAACACCACCAGTCCTCCCCCTTGCCCTTGATTTCTGATTTCAGGAATTTCTTAGTCACGTTGGTACCGGACTCAACTTGCATGAACGCACATCTGCACCCAGTGATTAATCTCAAACATTGGAAGAACTTCCTCCTATGGGTCCAACGGCAGTGAAAAGTTACTCAACCCTCCCACAGGATCCTCTAGTTTCACACACAAATGCATACAGAACAAAACACAACCACCAACACCTGCTCCAAGACCCACAATCCTACTTTCAACACATTCAATTTCAAGACCCAAGCTATGCCTGTGGAGACTACTTTCCAACCTGTTAATTCACTCCTCAGAGTAGCACAGCTCCAATTCCTTCCCCTGAGAGAGCAATTTATTTTAGAACATAAATAATCCTTACTATGGTAGCAGGACAGTCTTTAAATTTCCACTGTAGCCAAAAAACACTTCCTGTAACTTGTGGCAGATTGGATTTGGCAAACTCTGAGCAGAGTGAAGCATGCACAAATAGCAAAACAACAGAAACCAATCCTCTGGATGCAAAAACCCAACTCCTTCTATAGGAAACAGCAGGTACAGACATGCAAGAGCAATAAAGGGACTGAAGGCCTTGACCACTGGCAGCAGTACAGGGAAGGTTATTCCAACAACAACCAGAGCCTTTGTGTAAACTGTGCAACCACAAGCAAAGAAAACACCAGCACCAAAGGTAGTGCCGCCAGCACCCTGGATCAAGTACAAAGCAAAAGACTGCTGCTTCAATCATCTCCTTTCATTTAACCAGGAACTGGTCTGAGACACATTAATTCAGAAACAAGCCCCCCAAAGACAGCATCAAAGCCACCTGGTACTAATGCCAGAACTGCATTGGTGCTTCCTCTCGTACCCCGTGACACCACAGCGGTTTTGGCAGAGGAGGGTTGAGCGGCGCCAGTCCTGTCAGGCAAACGGGATGACCATGGAGGTTACACACAGTGGCGGGAAGAGAGGGGAACTATACCTTGGAATCCAAAATTATTTGGCAGGTCCTGAGCAAGGTAACATCCGCTCTGTGTGGGCTCTGTGGAGCAATACAGAGTTGCCTGAAACATCTCATGCTTACATTTTAGCAAAAGGCCTCTACCCAGGGATGATGTTTTTATGAATAACCATATCCTGTAGCAAAACTACTACAATGCCTCAAATTTCTAGAGTAATCCACACATTTCTACAGAAATTGTGAAAAGGAGGAAAAGCCCAATGATCAGCAGCTTTTAGAGGAACAGCTGATTTTCTTTCCCTTCCCCTGACCAGCACAGAATCCCTACCCCCAGTATTTCTTCTTTGAAGAAGAAATCTAAGTATTTGCCCTACTTGTATTTATCTCTATAAGCCAGTGCCAAGGCCTGTCTCTAGAAGACAAGCCTTGTACTGACACTAGAACACTAAAACAGAGCTCAGAGTCTGACAAAATAAACATTAAAAAAGCTCAGGTACATCAAGTCAGATTCTAGCGTATCTTCCATCACATTTTGGGAGACCAAACCTACTTGAAATAATACTTGTGATGTTTTTCTGACATTAAATTTAAACAACTGTCTGTTGTTCCCTCTTATAAAACTAGTCCTGAGGGTTTATTCTTTTAAATTCTGTGTACAGCCTTTCACCTTTTTATTAGTTTACCCAGGCTGCCAAGTTTGCTAGTGTCATTCACTAACAGCTCTTCCTTCCCAACTCAATCATTCCACTCTCAGTTATTTCAGTACTTTTCTCTGCACTAAATCCAGCTTTTGAATGTCTTCCTCCTATTAATGGGATTACTAAGTCAGATCTTGCCACGGGCGCATCAATTTCTTTTTAGTCCAAAATCCACCTTGGTGTAACTGCAACTCATGCATCCTCTTCCCAATCTTTCCCACAGGCTTTTAAAAGCATCACACTTCAAGAGTTTTCTGTTTTCCATCAAAATTATGGTTTGTGTTTTCTAGGATCCTTGTCATACAAGCTTCAGCCTAGGTGGTTATTTGTGATCCTTTCCTCTTTTTCTTTGTAACAAGTTCAGTTTAGAAAGTTATTAAGCCAATAAAAACAGAATACATATTTTGATGAGTCTTCAGCTATGTTCCTCCAATTATCCTCTCTCCCTGTCACACTCCTTAATTTTTTACCCTTTCTTCGAATAATCATTGATATTAGCCCCAAAATAAATTTACCTTGGTCTATGCCGAACTTATGTACTAGATCTTTCCTTCTGGATTTGCATTCTAGAAAGACTTGAATGTTTTCTTAAAATGTTCCTTCTGGCTTTTACAGCAGATATTGCAAAAATTTTCCTTCTGGGTTTTACAACAAAAATTTCAAAAAAAAAAAAAAAAAAAAAAAAAAAAGAAACACAAAACTCTCTCCCAAAAACAAAAACCCAAACACCAACTTCCTTGTACCTTCCAAGGAACACAGCTGTTCCTCTTGAAAGTTATTCTATAATTTATTATTTATTTCTAGTCATTCTTAAGTTTCAGAGTAGTTTAAGGATGTTCATAACTAAAGTAACAAAGGTAACATGAAACTTATGAAACTCTATCAAAGTAGAGATGTGAGTAAAGTACCAGAACAAAAGGCCATATTTACAACCAACTTTGAGAAGTGAGCACCTCTAATATAATTTATGCATAAGAACTGCTGTGATTTGTGCTCATTTTCTCTCACTGCCCTGTACATTTTGAAAAAGGTAAGAGAGAAATTATGCTGCTCAAGTTTATTTCCTTTTGGAGCAGGACTGGTAATATTGTTTCTGTTCATCTGTCCCTTCTCTTTGTCTTTTATCTGCACATTATTTCTATATAAATTAGGATGCAGGAAAACTGATGCTGTAATATTTGGGATACAATTACATATAACATTATGAGCTATTAAAGACTTACCCTTCAGTCTATATTTCAGCCAACACTAAATTTTACCTTCAAAGAACCAGCTAGCTTTTCCACTGGATTACACAATGGTGCACTCAGAAACACTATTCAAGTTATCATGAGGCCTCTGGCATCTTCAATAAATCAGGGCATGAGGTTCTAGAGCACTTTCAGAGTACACATGACAGAAACTACATTTTGAAAACAAATATGTATTTATTTTTTAAGAAAATATTAATTTCCCCTGCAGGGCTAAAGAACGAAATACTTAGTACATAACTCAGAATGTCACAAAGAGTTTATATTGGTATAACAACTCCAGAAAATATTTTGGTAAGCAAAGATCTCTTATTTCTCTAGGTAGTTACCCAGTTATCACCTCTTTAATGTAACTGCAGATGAAAGACACTCGTTTTCCAAGCAGATAGCATAAGCTAATATTTTTTACCTTCTTTTTAGATGAAATAAGAAATGTAACTGGGTAAAGAGGAATAAAGAGACCTTCCTGTCTTTCCTGTATAAATTCTTACCTGATATCTATAAAGCCCACTGCAAGCTTTATAGTTTTCCATACACATATAGTTCCCACATTCAGAACTTTAGTTGACTCGCCATTGGGAATTTAACTGGGTCATTGATTTGTAATTAACAAAACAGCACTGTAAATTTAGGGGGCGAACCTGAAAATTAATTTGGGATTAACAAGTCAATTCATGCTCAACTTTATGCAACCTACTTCACTGTCCTCCCACAGCACTGCTTCCATGTTCCTTCCCAGCAGTCTCTTCTGCTGTAAAATTACTATCCCAGCTGCAGCTTCCTCTTGTAACCCTCAAGATGCTTTCCATCAAAAGGCTGAAAGTGCTACCCACTTGGACAACTGATGATTCAATTTTAAAGCCTGTTCTTTCTGAAGTGATTCCTTTTGGCCCAGAGACTTCTTTCAGACATTCCTAGAGCCTGTCTACAACACCATAAAAGAAAGCATCTTTAGAGACGTTTTTGTTTTGTCACTTATTGTACCTTTTTCATTTGAAAGTAAATTAAGATTAGCAACAAAAAGGTACTTAACACCGAAAAAGAACATTCACATTTACCTAGTTTACTTTAATTTTCCACCAACCACGTAATTCTGCAGGATCTCCCTCACAATGACACCCACTCATTCATACCTCAAAGATTCATTCATCTGACAAGGCCAGAGAAAATGCCTTCTGACGCCTTCTTCCTACAATGCTTCCCAAATTTCCATGCACGCCTTAAACTGTGTTATTGAAGTCCAGTGTGGTTGCTGGTGATGTGTGCACAGCAAAAATGTGCTTGGCATCCAAACAGAAATTCCACACATCAAAACTGAATTTCCACCACTCTGTCAGCAGCACACCTCTCACAATGACACATTCATACTGTTAGAAGGATCTGTTTACCCACACCAAATTACTCTTATTCTTAGGCAGATTTCTTCCATTACTTAATACTGAGTAATAAGGATGAGGAGGCTCTACCTCTGCCTACAAGGCCAGAGGCTGCTGTAACAGAGGCACACGGAGGCTACTCTGAGTTAGCAGGGAGGGTCTCAGAACACTTGAGTTCATTTTGGAAGTAGAGCACAAGTCATATGTAAGCTATACCCTTACAACTGCAATCAGCAGTAAGAAAACAGTGATTCTCTACCTCTGATCCAGTCTCCTAGTACCTTTCTTACAGATGTTTCTTTACTCAGTTAACCTTATAGCTTCTGCAACGCCTGTGGTAACATACCTTGCCCCTCGCTAACAGGTAGCAAACAATAATGTAAGAATCCCCAAAGGAATTTTCAATACATTAGGTATCTTCCTTATTTGAAAAACTAACGTGAGCGAAAACAAAAGACGTATTTCTGTTCGTGCTACAGCACCAAGTAATATAAGAAGTAATTCCTTAGAGAGATAGCATATTTGGGAAGAATGCTCCCATTAACAACCACTAATATACTCAAAACCACTCTTCCACACTGGTTGAGAAGGCAATCAGAGTAACAAGACAGCTGCTTAATAAGCCTCCCTGAACTTTGAGCCTGTTGTTGTCTTCTCTAGTTAAGTGGAAAATAGCTTGTAAGACATTTAGAAAGCTGCATCTCAAGTGGCTCACAGCAGAGCTCAACAGACACACTGTGCCCTTCAGGATCAGCTTCCACACTTGACACAGGAGTTGATGAAAAATCACCTGAGTAGGCTTCACCAATGAAGAGATCAGAAGAGTTATCCATTGCTGCAGTTAAAAGAAATACACTCAGTGGCTCCCAAGTGAGGACAAAAACATACCTGACTTTCTCCATTCTAACACACGGTTTACATTGCCTTCATTTCCTATCACAGAACACAGGAAGCAACAAGATATCCTATTTTTCCCATCACAGATAAGCAGGCCACCCTCATTTCTGAATCACCATGAATCACTGCCAAATGGTTCCTTTCCAAACTATGTCAGTCTCTTGGCTCTAGCTGGAAGTGTGTACTTCTCACTTGAAACTTCATACAGAAACACACATCTGCCTTGATCTTCAGACAGGTCAATGGATTTTTGGCTTCAATTCAAGTGCCTACTCGTGGTTTAGTTAGTAATTTTTCTCTTCAGAAGTTGCAGATCTTGGAACTCTCCTCCATCCACAGACTCACATCCTTAAATTTCTGCATTGTTGCAGATGGGACTTTCAAAGCCATCCCAGTGTCACTGAGTGAATTCATACTTGCAAACTTTTTATTTTCTTTTTCTTCTTAGATATTCACATCCTATTGCCCAAAGCCTGTGGACCAATCAATTCTAGGAGGACTTATGCTCCTTAACTACAATTGGTGAGATCTTAAGCAGTATTAAGGTATCTAAACACTTATTTACATACAAGGTTCTTCCAGTGACTTTTCAAATTCCTTTGTTCCTCAAGGGTTTATTGGTACTATAATAAAAGAATTGCAAAATGTCTCCCTTGATTCTCATCAGAGAGACACTCAGGCTCTGCACATCAGCAGCAGCTAAACTTAAAAATCACCTAATATCTGTGTCACAAGAGATGTATACAAATTTTCAAAAGTTAATTGAACTCTAACAGAACGGTTATTTTAGCTGCAATATGCTACAGATCTTCATTCCAATCCTTCCACTTCTTGAAGATCTTACCAGTTCCATCATCTGCATCATTCTGACCAGTCTCCCAAATCTCTGATTTTGTCCCAAAGCCATCAGTGGCAGAAGACTCCGAATAGTCTGCAGGATTAAATGTCCTAGAGTTTTGAAAGTTAAGAAATGGAAGAGAACACATGGGTCATTCAGTGAGCATAAGTGTCATAATTTTTAGCTGAAGTTGTATTAGACTTAACATCTTGATTTCCCCATAAGTTATCTTGACAGCTTTTAGTTTAAAAAAAAAAATTCTTCTATGAGCAGACAGAGACAAAAAGGGAGAAAAGAGAGTAAGAGAAAAAAGTGAAGAGACTGGTAAACAAAATTCTTGTAGAGACAACTAAATAAATTCCTGAAAACCCAGTTAACAGCATCCCAATTCCTCCCAGTGTTATAAAGCATTAGTTTATACACACAACAATAAGACTGTCTCAACAGGTAAGTTTTTCAGCAGGTGGCTGACTGATAAGTGACCACTATCATGTCCTTTTGGAGCACCAGTAGGATTATTTCAAAGTGCTCTGCTGACACCGATGCCAAAAATACCCAGATGCAGCTAAAAGGTAAAAAAGCATTATTGAAGAAAAACCTCTTTTCAGTTCATCATCTGCAAGTATGACCAAGAAGAATCATTAGAGAAGTAGAACATGACTCCAGTTCATCATGACATTACTGATGTTGCATGAAGTGTCATTAAAGGCAAACACTGAGTGAACGCAGTGGAGGATACATTTCTATAAGCCAAGTTATTCCAACAAAATTGAGAGCAAGCTTTTAACCTGCTGAATAACTTCTTCTGAATCTGTTTTAAGGTCCATATGAGTCCGAACAGCTAAAGCATGAAACCTCCAAAACAGAACAAAGTTTAGAATTGCCACTTCCGAGTTTTATATATGTTCACTGCACATTCTGCATTACACTGAAATAAATCTGGTTTAAAATTTACCTAAGACTATATGTAGCGCACAACTTTCAGACTCCAAGGCACTATGTGGCTGCTACTGATAGCACGTATGGCTCTCCAAGTTTGAGATATTAACACTGAACAGACATGCATTAGGATTCTACAGGTGTGCCTAGTTAGAAACACTAGCTTAAGACAAAAATATTCCATTCACCACCTACGAGATTTTTCAATTTTTACATCTATATTAGTATATCAAACATACAGCAATATCCATACATACAGTGGCAGCATTGTCAATAAATACTGCCACTGTGTTTGATCCTTGCCAAAATCTGTGCTCTGCATGTTTCTTACCCCATGCCTTGGGCTGAAAACCTCCCCGCTCCTCTCCCTCTGCCACGTCCAAACCCTAGGAGAGAAAACACCATTTAACAGCAACAGCAGAGGAGCCACCAGTCACTAGTCTGTCACATTAAAGAATGCCACAGTTGAACAAAACTACCATAGTTGAAGTTAAATATTATTGACTTCCCAAATTCCCACACCAAATTTGTTTCCCTAACACACTCAAATAAGCCTTGGTTCATCTAAGACCCCACATTTCAGTAGGATCTTCAATTATCTGCCATCTTTTCTGTGTCTCCTGAAGTAGCTCCAAATGCCATTAAAAGAAATTACCTAAAGACTCATCCCAAACACTATTGCCAACTTTTTAGACATTGTTCTAATTTTTTTTCTGCATTGTTTCATTCTTGCCTAAGATGCTCTAAAATCCCAGCCTCCCTGAGTATCCTGATTTTTCAAGCAATTCTCTGTCACTCCTTATCTGTGAGGAAAAAGTTGAAATACTCCATTTGTTTCCTCCTCCGACTTTGACTACCTGTCCACCCTCCTGTGCTTTTGCCAATCTCTGATCACACATTCCTTCTGCCTCACCCTTCATCACATTACTGACAGGAAAATACCTAAATTAAATAACTCATCTTCCTTGTTATCATCCATTAAATATTTATTTGTTTTAACAAAAACAAGTATTTGTTTTCTCAAATTTTGATTACCAGCCTCAGTTTATGAGCTTCTTGATACAATTAATTTTTGCACATGCTATATTGTCAACAAGGCATGAAAATTTTTGTGCTAGAATACAAGAATACACAAAGCACATGTCTAGAGAAAGTGTTACCAAATATTTCTTATATGTAATATATTTGTGCATAGAGTTCTTCCCCCACCTTTTTAGGGGTTTTATATAAGGCTTACTCAGTTTCTTCAGTTTTTTTTGAGGAAGAGTAAGAATATTATTTTGTATTACAAGAACAGAAGAAGGTAAAGAGCTGCACTCAGAGAACAAAAACAATGTTTATTTTAATGACAAAATTATGTGGCAATTTTAAGTCACCAAGCAACTGCAAGTTTACCAGAGCACACAAAAATTATAATCCTAAATCACCAAAACACTGATGACCATAGATCAGAACTACCCATGATGCCATGCTCAAAGTTGGATCAGAATTACTTCTTACTTTAATTGGGAGACCACCCAAACTGAGCAAGAGCAGTACCTCCAGGACATGGTAACACCAATTTATTCAAGTTCTACTTTAATGACTTTCTGTTTCTTGCTCTCGCCACTCATTACTCCCCTTACCCCAGTTCACTGTTGAAGTGACAAAATACATTTCTGGACCTACTTTTTCAAGATTTCTTAGAAGCATCAAAGTAGAGGAAAGAATCCCATCCAGCAACACACACCATTTTGTTGGGATAAGAACAGAGAATAGCTTTAGTCTGATACTGACCAGCTTTGTTACCTCTACATTATCTTCCCTTCTTTGCTCTCTTTTCACAACCAGCTGGAGAGAAGGCAGACAGAGGTTATGAAAGAAGCAACAACTGCTGCAACCTGGCATTTGCCACCCTTCTTTACCCCTGTGCTTTTTGCCATAAACAACGTGCCCCAATCCCCACTGTACCCAACTGCCTCCAACCTGGCCGCTGAACCTTGTTGCTCAGCCTATCTACTCTTCTGCTATCCTCTGCCAAAATCAGAGCACTCTGGATTACCTTTCTGTCCAGTAAGTTTTCTTAAGAGCAGAACCAACTACACAAGTTTACCTGGGGATATGGTAGGGGCCATCATGTAATAAAATTACTTTCAATTGCTACCAATAGAGCATTAAACACCATTTACAGAAATTGTGCAGAAGCAAGATCAACAGTTTTCTGACAGTCTGAAGTGCAAGTCCAACTGGGAGCTGCAAAACACAGAAACAGTCAACCAGAAACAGTTTTGAGTGAGACAGACATAAGGTACAGAGAGATAATTGAAATAGCTGTGATGAAAGAAGAAAATAGATTTTACAAGAGGAGGTAAGTCACCCCAGTATCTCAAGTGCAATGGCCTGAAGGAACAACCTTAGCACACTAAAGAGAAGGTGACGTTTTAGCAAGCCAGGCGTACATAAGATACGTTCCCACAATGGGCACAATAAACTATTGACTAAAAACATCAATAAGCAACAGTTTTAGAAATTACAAAAAAGAAAAAATGCTGTTCCTGAAGTTCCATGCACAGTCTTAGACTACTAGCCAGCAAGGCATTTTTTATACCAGATCATTTTGAAAGACAATTCTGAACTTGAATTTCAAGTGGATTCCTTTAACTTCTTAATGCTGTGTCTATGCTTTCAATCAAAACTGGAATTAATATCTATCAGCAAATGCAAAAGAAGCTTTCTAATGAAGGCAGAAGGGAGTACCAAATTACTAAATTCAAAGATAGAAAACACATGAAAAATTAACTCAAAATCTGGGACAGTGAATGTTCACCACTGTAATACCACCAAACTCAGACATAGGATCTCATACATCATAGTCACTAGTGCAAGATGCCAGTGGAAAGGGCTAATATCCTCTTTGACACAACCAGACCACTAATAAATCCTTACATTCTCATGCCAAGAAAGCTACTTCTCTCAGCTGTCAAAAATTAAAAATGGCCTTAAAACAGAAGGTACATTCTTTTAAGACAAAGAAACAACTGTGAATGCCCACAGGGTGTCTACAAACTTTATGCTTTTTAACAGCAACTAAAGAGCCAGTGAGCACATGAAGTTTTCAGAATTCACAGCGGGAACCCAAATACTAAGCATGCAACCCCACAGTAATTTAAAGCCATTTAAATTAGAACTACTACGACTGTGGTCTTCCTCACCAGGATCATAAGCTCTGCTCTTTTGCACACTGGGTTTTGCACTTTCCAGTGAGTGAGCACAAAACAACTACAAGGAAATGGTATATGTTCACTTTTGCATCAGCTCTTCAGACCAGTTCCCACCTTGATAAATGCCAGAAAACCTTCACACCAAGACACCAAAAACCCCTGCTGTCTACAGCAACCATGTTGCCTGCCTCTTTTCTTTTGTGAGGTTTAGTTTCCATGTCACCTATCACCTCACACTTTCCAAGTCCCTTAACTTCCAGGAGGATCTGCTCCAGGATCTTGCCAGGCACAGATGTTGAGACTCCCTGACCTCTAGTTGCCCAGGTCTGCCTTCCTTCCCTTTTTAAAATAGAGGTTATGCTTCCCTTTTTTTCATCAGTGGGAACTCAAATAGGATGGATGGTGGCTTAGCCACTTCCTCTTCCAGTTCCCTGGGGACCCACAGATGTATCTTGTCAGGCGCCACAGACATGTGCACTTTCAGATTCCTCAAAAAGTCTCAGACCTGATCCTCTCCTACAGTGGATGGTTATTCATTCTCCCAGCCCCTGCCTTTACCTTCTGTAATTCATATGGCTAGAGATCTTGTGGGAGAAGACCAAGGCAAAAAAAGTAATTAAGTACCACCAGCTTCTCCATGTCCCAGTTAGCCAGGTCTCCTGTTTTCTTACAGATAGGGTCCACATTTTCCCTTGTCTTTCTTTTATCACTGGCTGCTCGGACAATCTCACCTCTCTCTTCCTCCCAGGCTACATTTATTTGTTTCCTCCTTCTCTGGGCTTTGCTTCTGTATTTGAGTTTGTCCAGGAGCTCCTTTTCATCCCTGCAGTTGGGGTAGTTTTGTCTTTCTTTTGGCTGGGATGCACTGCTCCAAAACTTGGAAGAAGGAATCCTTAAATATTAACATGCTTTCCTAGGCCCCGCTTCCTTCTGGGGTTCTATCCCATGGCACTCTAACAAGTAGATCCTTGAAGAGGACAAAGTCTGCTCTCCTGAAGGCTACAGCAGTGAGCTTGTTGTGTGTCCTCATCACTGCACCAAAGATCTCAACCTCCACCATTTCACAGTCACTGCAGCCCAGGCTGCCCTTGACTTCACATTCCTCGCCAGCCCCACAAGCCAGTTCGCTCCCTAGGCTGCAAACACACACTGACAGCTCCTGACAGCTTTTCATCTGTAAGAAGTCCAAAGTCTTTCTCCACAGGGCTGCTCCCAGTCTGTATTTATGCCTGGGATTGCTCCGACCCAAGTGCAGCACCTTGAACTTCATCTTGTTAAACCTCATGAGATTCCTATGGGCCCACTCCTCAAGCTTGTCCAGGTCCCTTCGGATGACATCCCATACTTCAGCTGTATCAACTGCACTTCTCAGCTTAGTACCATCTGCAAATTTGCTGAGGATGCACTCAACTTCACTGTGTCAGTGATAAAGATATTAATTAAAGAGCACCAGCTGCAAGACAGAGACCTGAGGGACACGACCTGTCACCAGCCTCCATCTGTACATAGAACCATTGACCACAACTAAGTGGATGCATCCAACTAACTGGATGAAGCCCATTCTTCATCCACCAAAAAGTTCACCTTTCAAATCCCTCTCTCTCCAATGTACAGATAAGGATATCATGTGTGACCATGTCAAAGGCCAGATAAATGATGCCAGCCCTTCCTTGTTGACTGTTACAATTACTCCATCACAGAAGGACACCAGCTCAGGCACAACTTGCCCTTCATGAAGCCAGGATGACCAAAGACGGCATGTCCCCTTCCCTGACAGATGGAACACACCAGTCCCGAGAAGACCAAGTTTCTCAAAGAGAGTGCCCTGGTCTAAGAAATAAAATCTCCTGCTGTGGCCACCTGCTGATTCTCCAAATACAAGGGGCTCGTTCGACCCCTTTGTTTTTGACTAGGAGGATGGATGAAAAACTACCTGCAAAAACTAGCTGCTCCAGAGCACCTTTTGGCCAGACCCAGGGCTCTGTAATCCCCCTTGATGCTATTCAGACTGATCCTGGCTGTACCCCTTGTGCCTACATGAAACAACAGTAGGAAGTAACAGTCGGTGGACTGCAAGAAGCCTGGCAGTCTCAGCTACCAGGCTGAGATAAGAGAACCTGGTAAGCAGCGCACCTCTCCAGAAAGCACAACATGTCACCTCTGTACCTCTCAGAGGAACCTCCTACTACTGTCACTTGCTGCCTTACTCTTTGCATTTTTCTTCTCCTGAATGAATTCTAGAAAGGTCAATACTTACATCCAACTGAGGCAGGAAGCAAGTTTTTCTGTTTTCACTAAAACCCACTAGGACTTCAAAACACTCATCACAATCGTTTCTCCACTCTGGTACCATCCATGCATGGCAAGAATTGCTCCCCACAACATTTGCTCAAATGCACATCTCATGGCAGCACGAGAAAGGTGTGTAGAAGCACAACTCAGATGGGACTAGCCCATTAAATTAATAACTTATTCTGCAGAAAATCAAGTCTGCTGAGCTTGTAGACCTAAATCCTTCCACTGCAACACAGGTGCTTTATTTCAAAACTTAGATTTTCAGGGTTTAAATTAGAGGAAGTTACTTCAAGGTTAAGAAATGGCCTGAAGAACAGCTGCAAGAAGAAGGAAATGCAGACTGGAAGAGTAAGCAACACTCTAAAGTTGTGCTTATCTTTGACTACACAGTAACTGAACTGCCCTGGTCTCTGCTCTGGCAGTGACATCCTCCCAGCAGAATCAAGTTGACAGAGGCTTATCAAGCCTTAAGAGGTAAGGAGGCGAAGTGCAGAAACTTTGTATTCTAGGTACTCCATATTACCAAAACAAACACCCAAGTTGGATTTAATAATTCAAATTACTTTTGTCTTTATTAGTAATCATAAAGCTAGAAGCAATTAATCAGTTTTATATACTGCATTTACTCTAGAAAGCATTTTTACAATTCATGCTGAAAACTTTCAACTCTAAAATTACATTCAAAGGAAAACAGGTGACTTGTTACAACTATGATAACCTAAAAAAAACGTACATGACAGAGTTTCTTAACTAATGCAGAATGAGCCACAGCAAAACTAAACAAACTTCAAATTTTGACTTCCAGAAGGTCTGCTCCACATTCATGTTTTGGAAAAAAATAACATTCTCCTTAGTTCTGGCAAAAAAAATCCAAGACACATCCTGTGCCAACTGGGCTAAGCTTTTTAAACCAAAAGAATGTTTATACATGCAATTCTAGATATAGAAAATCAATTTGTTCAAGGATAGCACACTTCTTATGTTAAAAACAATAAAAAGAGATCAAGAATATAAACTGGACTATAATCAGATATCTACGAAAAGGATAAGCTGTTTTATTTTCCTATACAGCCAGCAGACAAAACAAGAGTTGAAATTAAAACATAGCATTTTTTCCTTCAGTTTTACATCCATTTTGTAGGAAAAAAATCCCTGGCAGAACCCACATTTATGGCATGCTCATGTTGTTCTGGAATAACAAAGTAAAGAGATAAACAGAAGGGCAATCAACAAATCTATCTTGCCTTTGCAAACCAGGAGAATTACTATACACGAGTCTATAACAATTTCTATGCTGAATTGAAAAAAAAGCCCAAAAGCCCACCTACCTGTTATTTCTTTATAAGCCAGTCAATTAGATATCCAGGGAAGAGTACATGAACTGAAATCACAGTGTAGTTTCTTTGGATGCTTTCCTGGTCTTCAACTATTTGTGGCTTTGACTTCCTTAGTCAAAGATAACTTACATACAACAAAATCTTTCGTGGTTTTTCTTTTTCTTGCCTGTGGTTCTTTTTTAGGATGAAATTTCCAAGTCTTTTTATGTATACATTTCCTGCACCACATCATCTTACTGAAAGGAGTTCCTGTGGTTCACTTCATGTATGAAGAACCAACTCTTTAAGTTCATCTTGAAGCTGTAACCTGCTGATCTCATTTAATATTCTCTCCTTTGCATACTTGCTTGGCATGATCAATTGATGCCCCCACAGAAGTTTAACAGAGCTCTACCATACACCCACTCAGTTCTCTCTCACAGGCAGAAAATCCTAGACTACTTGTTCATCACACCCTAAAACTGTAGACTTCCCAGTACCTTCAAAAGCCTTTTCTAGCTCTACACCCTTTTTTTTTCTCTGCATCCTTTTCATTATGAAGTAGAGGAACTGGGAGAATTAGAATTGCACTTAAAATTGAAGACACAAGAACCTTAAAAAAACAACAGCTTAAAAACAACCTGTGCTGGTAAAGTTTGTCAAGTTGTATACAACACTGCAGCTGATTAAAACACAAATAAGAAAATGTTTCTATAGCTGATAATCCTAAAACCATAACCATGTGCCTCTTTAATTTCCTCAGGAGATTCCATTCCAGACAGTCGCAAATCCTTGCTATATTGACAAATATAATCACTTTGATGCAATTACTGCTCATCACCATTACAGTATTTCTTACATTTAAATTAAGCTCACACAAGAAATTTGGTTCTGAGAAGAAGCACAGATAAGAAGGCATATTAAAACAAGATATTCCCTGACTTCAATACAAAGTTTACAAGTTAGTTTAACAAGCAAAGAGTTACCTTAGAGCAATTACAGCTGACACGTTACACACACTGTGATATATTTTTGCATTCTGTTGATCAGTCAATAATTCGTATGTGCTTCAAATCCCTGAAGCCCTGCATACCAGCATACAACAGTGTTTGCACTTTGTTTACATACTACCCTATGAACTTACAAGGAACATGACACAGTCATTAATGGAAGATCTATTGCCAGATAAAACTAGTGCCTTACACACCAAATATCAAATATTCAGTATAAGGGTTTTTCCCTCTCAGTAAACAGCATGCTATCGCCTCTGTGTCAATCCTGTTTTAGCTGTTTTCAGCTGCGTATCATTTCTTTAAATTACATTTTTGTACCGTGAAATGGTAATACATATGATGGCTCAGCATATCTCCTAGAAAGCAACCAGTAAGATAACTCCTGCTTGAGAAGGTAGCTTAAAACAGAGAGAGTGTGCTGCTCAGATAATTAGCTGACCCCTCATTTCCTATCCAGTGCCTAGATTTCTACACACACACTACATGAAACATTTCTAAAAATGGGTTCAGTGGTGATTGCCAGCAATCTGTTTACTTTTAGCTGAAGTATGTTACCTCTCATTTGACTAATCTGTGTAACAGAAAAGCAAGACTACAGAATGAATTGGCAGGAAGCTTTTTATTATTATTTCTACTAATATCCAGAGAAAGAGACCATGTATCCCTGAAATGATAAGAACTGAATTACAGAGATTTCTAAAACTCCCTGAAGATGTCAAGAGTTTGCATTGTAAAATTAATTAGGTATTTCCTGCCATGGAATACACACACTTGTAATATAATGATCCTGTAGTTGGCCAACAGGTTTACCACAGACACTTCATTAATATACTTTGCTCATAGTATAGTCTCAGATATTTGGTAGAGACATATAGTAATACTATGTACACGAAGCCAGTGAACAAAACTCTTTGAAGTTTCTATTTCTTCAGTTAAACAGGTCAGTTTGATCTGATTATGAAGGTTGAGATATACGATACTCATCTGGAAAGCTACAGCTTTGACAACAAAAGCAGTGTATGGTTTGTAAGGTTAAAGCAAAAAAACACTGCATTTGAAATTAATCTCTAAGTTTTACTGAAACATTTTTAAAAAGTCCTACTTTTATACTTATAATTTGAAAAAAAAAGGATTATTTTATAAAATAAGTAACTGCACAACTTACATTCCATCTACTGAAAGTGTAAACTGTCAACATACCAAAAATTGTAGCTGTGAACCATATCATACCTTGCCCTGCAGGGCTACTTCTCTGCACACACCATTGGGTTTTTGCTGATTCACAGGCACTCTCACATCAAACCTTTGGAAGTTACTTCTTTGCATCTTTGCGCACCTTCAAGATGCAGATCTGGAGACAATGAAGTTGGATGCACCTGTCTCTGAATGCCTTGTTACCCAACATTCCAAAGAGAAAGGAGTCCTTTGAAGGCAGAATTTTTCTTGAGTCAGACTTACTAAGTACGTTAGTTCTGCTACACTATACATTTTGTCAATTTAACTTATTTAATACACTCATCCACCCATAATCAGCACCATACATGGATTTTCATTCCTCCGACCTTAAGGAAAATCAAGCCTCTATCAACCCCAACCAGTGAAAATCCAGTTCAAATACACATCACCTGATTCCACATCCAATCCATTATCCCACCTCTTCCACATAACACGATTGGAGCTGTACCTAAAACTCCATAGTATTCCTTCTCCACAGTTCTCATCAACTCTTCCATGTCGAATTCCTTTTCATAGCAAAACGTCTCTAAGGTGGCTTGTTCTTTCCCTGATTGGCTACCAAAAGCAGAAGGCAAGCCTGACAACCAGAGCCACCCCAAAGAAATGGTACAAGTATACATCAAATCCTTCCCCAAGAGCCATACAGATGGAAACTTGTGCTCTCCTGCTGCTGAAGTACATCTTGAGGAACCCTGAGTGAGCACACTCCCACTCACAGGAGGCTGGCATGAGTCAGTCTGGGAAAACAACTCTCCATAGCCAGTGCACAACAGCCTGCCACACAGGAAATTATCATAGAGGTGATCTCTGTCAATTTTTTTTAATTTGTTCCAAGACCAAGAAATGATAAAGGGTAAGGGAGTAGGATATACCCAAGTACAAGGTGGCTGAAGTGTATATGGAATCAAAGGACAAACAAAAAATGCTTAAGAAGAAGCATTTAAAGAAACAAATGGGAGAGTTCCATTTCAGGACATGAAAACAGTGCCAGTCCCACAACAATGCCACCATCTCACCTCTCCCACGGCCACGTTTCCCACGGTCTGAAGGCCTGTCTCCTTGATTGCTGTCCACTCCATTCTCTTCAGCTCTAACTGTGGAGAGAGGACAGCTTAAGAGAAGCGTTAGAGACTGCTACTTGAGACAATACAGCCATTTGTTTAACATGAACCCCTCAAAACAAAAGGCAAAATTTTCAAGTGGGATGGTCAACAAATCTCAATCACCCCTCTTCTTTGACGCCTTGCTAGAAGCAAGTTATGTTTCCTTTGTACTACTAGGAAGCAAAATACAAGAAGGAAAGGTCCCTCAGGAGACAAACCTCTACAAGTGCCATGTTTTGCAGCCTACACTATTTAATGAGACAGGAAATACAGCTGCCTCATTCTGTGTTTCCTAGATAATGCACTGGTTGACAACAGTGAAAAAATAAAGGATAACCAGTAATAACAACTCTTCTCCTTTCTGCCCATACTGCATAGAAACAGATTTCTCCTCTTATTTAAAGTAGAGGGATGATGACTGGGTGAAGGTAAGGCACTAAAAAAGGTCTGCAACCTAAGTGTTTTGTGGGAAACTCCTGACAAGGTGCTTTGAAATACGGCTGGCTACTTGAAGGACAAAGAAAACCCAACAAAACTGGCCTCTTGAAACACTCACTGCTGAGACTTTGTACTGCTTTTCTCCTAATGGCAACAATAAAACCAAAAATGCTTGGACATAAATTTGGGAAGAAAATACCAAGATTTCATAACCATCTGAAATTTCTTTAATCCCAGTTTACAAAATGACAAGGGCAGCAATTGTCTCTGGTAAAAAAAAATGCCCTTTGCTTTCATTTTGATTGATCTAATTTATACTTTTCTAAGTCCAGCTCCATGTTTTATTAATATTTTTTCATCTTGACTTTACTCTATCCTACAAAAATTCACAACATCTATATTGGCACAATAGTTGAATATCTTCCAATTATGAATAACATCAGTTGGCTAATATTGTAAATGTTTTTCCTGCTTATAAGTGCAAAGCTAAACATATTGTATCCATTCTGATTTCTTTTCTCATCTATCAGTGTGGCAAACAGCCAATACCAACAATATGCACAGCTTTAAAAATGCTGACAAAACTTAGCTAAAAAAAGAAACATGTATCCGATCATGATCTATTGTGACTCTATCTAACTTGGAAACATCAGTTTGCTTTTGTACAATCTATTATTGCAACTGTAGCAAAGCTTTCAATGTTTCAACTAACAATGAATTTTCTCTGTCGCAGAAACTCACCTTTGGTTGATTTATGTGAGAAATATATTTAGAGATTAATAATCATCCCAGTGTTTTCATTCCCCTTATGAGAAAATGAGAACATCTTCAGGTTCTCCCACTCATAAAAGGAGATGGAGTCAAAGCTGGATAATTTTTTCATTAAAAGAAACAAAAAAGTGTATCAGCTGTGCAGCGACATACTTGTTCTCAAGCAGACTTACAAAGACTCAATTCTAAAACTTACATGAAGAACAGCAATTTGTACAAGATCAATTCATCAAACAAGAACAGAGACTTATATTAAACTGAGTGTCTCTGAACAAGTACAGACCATCCCAAAACCAAGTCACATAGACAGATCAAGCATACCTGTGGCACAAACAAGTTACGATCCCTTCAACGCTGAGCTATAGTCGGACGGACTTTGCTCCATTAAGCACTCGCTCTTAGCTCAGTCAGTTCCAGCTGCAAGAAAAGCGTCTCAATCTTTAAAAATTAATCCCTATACGTACACTCTCGTCCACGGCTGCCTCCTCTTCCCCGTCTGTTGGAACTTCCCCGTCCGCGACTCACTTCTCTGTCCCCTCGTTTCTCTCTGTTCTCTTTGTTTTCTGAACCTTCCTTTCCAAGGCTTTTCTTCTTTCCCCCTACAGTCTCCCAAGAAGTCTATTTGGGTAGAATAGAATTAGACACAAAAGTCAAAAAGGAAGAGACACCTCTCAATGCACACTTTCTACCCCACACCCTTCCAGTTCATGAGAAAAACCCAGATATTTGCATAATGTCACATATGCAAACTACACTGATATAAAAGGAAAGACAGGCTATGTATTTTTGCAAAGAGATGAGAAAGAAACTTTTTTTAAGTTTGATTGTCTTAGGGAATATGAGAACCCCAAATATTTCTGGCTATAATGGACTTCTACTAGTTCAAGGAAGACTGGATACTATTGCAACACAGAAGATCTGCGAAGCAAGCAACAGTTTTTGTCTCAAATACATCCATAAATCTCGCATGGGAACATGAACAAAGCTATCTTTTTCTCCCAGGGAAACGGAAAAAACAAAACAAAAAACCCTTGTAAGTATCATTGAAAAAAAGATTGATGAGAATAAGTATAGGGGGGGGGGGGGGGGGGGGGGGGGGGGGGGGGGACCCCAAACAGAAAAGAAAAACTTTTCATCCAGGCACACTAGAATTTAAGCCTCAGAAGACAGAATGGCAAAACAACAACCTGGGAGAACTGATAAGCCAGACCATCCACTCTTAACAGCTACAGACCATCAAACATAGCAAAACACAGGAAAATCTATGTCTGAACAAGACACGGGATCAAGGTCCAAACATCAGGCTTCTGTTTGAATCTTAAACTCAGTCTTTAAAATAAATTCAAGGATGTTATCAGCTCCACAGGAGTATCTGTAGGAGTTGAAAATAAAATGACTAAAACTCTTGCCAAGAATAGCTCAGCAACTCATATATTATGCAATTACATGGTTAGTCTATTAAGCCATAGCTGCAAAGCAAGTAAGAAGAAGAAAAGGTATTATTTGCAAATCATTAACATGGCAGAGAGGTTTACACTTATGTCCCCATTTCTAGGAGTTTACAGCTCAAGTAAGATATTTAATATCAGTATATTTGCACATACAAATTGTTGTGAAGTACTGAAGTATGACATCTGACAGCCACCTACATCAAACAACAAAGTCTATGAGTAATTTTAAGTCCTGTCTTATCTCTCAATTCCACCAACAGCAACTCTGCAGCCCTGAGGCACCAGGCCATGGCCAGCTAGTTCAAGCTGCCTAGGAAGCCAGTGCAAGGAAGAAAGCAGGTAACAAAGCAGTTTACAAACTCAGTGTTACAGGATCTCCTTTGAAAGAATAAGAACAAAAAGAATGGCTACTGTTTCGTTTTTTGGCATGGCACTGGTGAGAAAGAAAGGTGAAATCACTTTGCAGTTCCACCTCCAGTACAGAAGACTAAACCAACTTGGATGAAGCCCAGCCAGAGCTGATCAGAGGTACAAAACTAAACACATTTGAACACCACCACCACCACCTTATCTGTGAGGCAGAAAGCTGCTTCCCACAGTAAGTACCACATGGCGTCACCTACCACAGCTGGTGTAATTGCACTGAAACATTCCTAGTGGCTCACACACAGGAGGAAAGATACCTGCATTGACAATTGAACAGCCAAGTCTGTAGAGTTCAGAATGCACTCATTGACTGATGGGCTTGGTGCCAAAACATCTTTGACCATTTCAGGAAACACCCAAAACTGGATAAGCTGCAAAGCTGAAGAAAAAGCAGCCTCTCCTGAGTGAGAGTTAAATAACTGAGGAAGGATCAGTAAAAAGATGACTATGAAAGCATCAGATCCATGCTTTCCCACAATACAATTTTGAGGAAAGCCTTGAGAAAATCAGGCATGTCCTTTAAGATAGAGGATGGTGCTACCTCTGAGCATGGGGATCCATCACAAACCATTGAGCTGTCTCTCTGTGAGAGGGAGGTAACTAATTACGATTTCAGCTGACAATGCCTGAGGCAACCCAAATTATAGCAGTGGGTCTGACCTCTGAGAAAATCTGTAACAGAATAATTCTTGTTCTCCTGTTCTTACATGGAAAGAATAAAAATCTGAAAGGTCTGTTTTGTTCTGTCTTCAAAGGTTTAGTAAGTAAAACACAGATGAGCATAAAATAGATTTAAGAAGTTAAATGAGTACAAGTCTTAGGCAAAGAAACATGTCCTTCTCTATTCAAACACAAGCCTCTAACTAACCCAAGCCAGACTGCCACAACTGCTGCAAAAAGACAGTCTTTACAGAGACAAAGTCACACACTTACAGCTTGTAGATCAAGCTTTAAACCCCAAAGGCAAGCAAAAAAAAAGACTAACACAAAATTGGCTGAGTATCAAATAAACTATAAATACACATCTTAACTATAACTCCTTGCTCTTCAAATTCCTTCAGTAATTTCTTTCAAACACATCTTTCAAATGAAGTTTAAAAAAACTGCAAGGGCATCACAGCAGAGTGAGACCAGAAAAAGAGATTTGGAAATCTGCATTCAGAATTTGTAGTACCTCAGCTCAAAACTTCACATCAAATCCATGGTTAAACTGTTCTCAAGTATAATAGCCTTAAAACAAATCCTTCCAACTGGAGGCCCACAAACTTTCAAAAATAAATTTCTTCACACCCATCAATTAATACTCCTTCCTCCTCGACTCCTTCAAGTTCTCTCTATTTGTTTCTAAGTTGCATTTTGTCTATAGAGAGCAGTGGGTTAAGAAGGACTTGTCAAAAGTGCAGAACATATTAGTATCAACAATCACCCCACAATATCTTCCATTTCAATTTTAGTTTATCATCTTCAGAGGAGGGAAGGATTAACACAAAAGTAAAGAAAAATGAGCTCTCTCTTTTTCTATGCCATGCTTTATAATACTGTGAGTTTTATTTATGAATTTTTACTTGCAGCTGATGAATGATTTCAGAAAGCTTTATCCATGATCAATTACAACAAATTGTTAAAGTAAGAAAGGATTTAATATCCTCTATCAACCAGAAAACTACTTTCAACTAAAAAATGGCAAATATGAGAAGTATGAAAGAAAACAGCACATTACCCAGACAGATTTAAGTGAAATGCTCTCCTCTACTCCCAGCCTGTCAATATCATATACTTCTGTGTTTAGAAGACCTCAACTCTGATAAAAAAATGAAAAGGGGATAGAAAAAAAGCCCCCTCAGTCAAAACAGTGTGTGTCCCAGATTAAGGGTGTGTGAGGGGTGAATTTCCTCATTAACAATAAGCCAGAGTACACATCCTGACAAATCACAGGAAATACTGAGTGTTCAGCATCAAGAAAGGAAGTCCAGGTTACTTTTTCAACTTGGATGACATAGAATCTAATTTGAAGACAGGCTGTAAGAAATCTCTCCTTGAAGTAAGCAAAAACTTCAACTGCAGTAAAACATATTTTCTTAGTATCTCTTGGGATAAAAAATTTCACTGTGCAACTTTTTAAGTGACATTATTTGTTGTTGTATACACACTGTTTAGTCTCTTCTTCCTGTTTTTCAATTAAGTCATGCAAATGAGCAACACAGTTAAAGAAGCAACTACTTGTTGCATCCTTTCCTAACATAAGCAGCATTATCAATGCAACTTGCAGATGTGGATATAAATCCTCCAACTTCAATACTGGCAACCCACACCTACAGAATGTGCATAACTTAAAAAAACCTGCTTGCCCTTGGGTTTACAAAGATTGACCTTTGTGATGGTCTCAGGCCTCAGTAACTACAAAACCTGCAGCAAGAAACATGCCTGTGTCTGAGGGAGCACTGAGTTCTGCTGAAGAGTTAAAACTGCTGCATATAAATGAAAGCATAGGAACTCTGCAATACACCAGCTGAACACCCACAACATTTTCCAGATTCAGCCTTCTCCAAGGTATGCATGCAGTAGAGAAGCTGCCCCAGTTCCAATTTCCTCCAAAAGAAATTGAATGGAGACATGGAAATTGAAAACTTCTGAAATATGACTTTCTCAATATCCTTCTAGAAGCTGAAAATCACAGCAAACAGAAGGAGTGGTTTAATACGGGAGTAAAACCTTACCGTGTCTGAACTTCCTTCCAGCAGAATGTTGATTGCTCTGTTCACATCCCCATTACAATCATGTAGTGCCACTATGCATTCATCCTGGTTCTTCCCCGTCACTTCCATAAGCTGTCAGTAAAAGTCAGACATGTTAAAATATCTAAATTACCATCATAAGAAAGTAAGAGCTAGTATGACCACAAATTACAATGAAGTGTATAGCTACCATGTAAGAGTAAACTAATATCCTGAATAAAATAACTTCTATTTTATAGATCTGCTTGGGATTCAGACGACAGAGGAAGAAGCACAAATTAATTGATAATCAAGGAAGTACTTTTTCACACTTTTTTTGTTCTGTATGCTCGCAGCAAATGCTGCCAGATACACCAGTATGTGAGTGTAAAGGACCACAATAGTTTCAGTACCATCTCTTTCTCCACCCCTCTTTATCCCACTGTGAGAAAAGACATATAGCAAGACACGGCAGAGGATAGATCCACCTGGAAAACCATGCAGACTAAGAAATACATTATCTTTCAGACAGACTACCTCACTTGATCCATTTCAGCATTAAGCCACACCAGAGTCACGAAGCTGATTAAGGAGATCTAGTTCTGAATTATGCTCCTTGAACTCATGGTGTATATCCTGAACAGTGTGGGACAGAAATAATCTGTCACGGGGCATTCAGCAAATTCATCTAACGAACAAAACCTACATGAGCTAGAAATACATATGCAGAAGGTAAAACATATTCTATGCAGAACTTAATTCATCTCCTTCCCACCAGCACAGCTACAAGCACTATTGATGAGGCTCCTTTGGCTTCACAAAGTACAAGATTTCATTTTTGGCACAGACACAGCACTAGTTTGTAACAAGAACAACAAAAAGCATTTAACAATGCTTCAGAGGAAGTTTCAGAGACGAAAAGAAACCAAGAAATCTGCTCCTTTGCTGCATTTATGCATTCAAGCTAATTCTTCCCTCCTGGGTGTACTCCTAGGTTCTTCATGAGCTGTGATGTATTCAATGGGACAAAATCACCAAGAGCCACAAACAGAAGAGACACCCATATTGTCAGGACTGCTTAATTAATGGTCTCAGCTATAACTCGGTAATGAAAGCTTGATTATCTAACACCCAACACTCACCACAGTAGAGGAAGTGAGAGATTTCATTTATACACTGTAATTCTATCATTTTAATGCATACACAGATTTGTGAGGTAAGATTATTTATTTTTTAAAATAACACCTTGATTTTTCTTTAAGCTATAATTAGACTTTTACTTTCCCTGAAAAACTTCCAAGATACTAGCAAACTCAACTTACACAGGTGACGTTTTTCTCACGTGCGTGTACTTGTGGATAAACTGAACGTATTCTTTATTCTGACAATCATTAATCATCAGGACCATACTAGAGAGATACACTGAGGAAGAGACATCAGCACAAACAAGTTTTGGCTTAAGGGTTTGTCTACAAAGGAAAATACACTGAAAACTACACCGTCAGAGCTGTATTACCACAAAATTTCTTGTAAAAAGATTTCACAGTGCAATAAGAGCACCTTTTCCTAGTTAAACCTATGTCCTTCTGAAAAAAGTTTCATCTAACCCAGAAACAGATGCTCTGCCTCCAAAATGTAAGCCAGCTGTAGAACATTTTATTGTGAGACAAAAAAACTTGTACAATAAGAAACATACTTGTTTCACTTTATCTTCAAAATCTGCATCATTCTTATCATAGATCATCTGAGCAAGGCGAATCTGTTCTGCTGTTGCCTGAAAAAAGATAATATCCAATAAAGTACACAAAGGGTAACTATATTTTTTAGAAGTATATCCCAGTGTTCCCAGTTTTTTCCTACAGGTTCTCAAAAGAACATACACAACAAGCACAGAGATGCTGTGGGGGAGGGATCAATATCTTGTCCATTCCCATTTATAGTTTTTAATGTTATTTGGGACAGAAGCAATTTCAACACATTCTAATATACTTGAAACACAATTAAAGGTCACTGTACTGACAAGACCACCATATAATAATACAGAACCACCAGGGAAGACTACATTTTAGCATTAATGCTTTCACTTTTATTTAGGATCTACTACTCCAGTGTTGAGTTTTATTGTAATAACTGGCAATAGTATCTCTAAATTAACCACATCTCTGATGATCTCTGCTCCCATCCCCTTCCACAGCACTCCCAACAACAATCTGACTCTGTAGTTTTATTGAGCACTTAAAAAGACTTGGGTCATGTCTCAAGACTTTGCCCGTGAACAGCTGCACTGGTTTTTCTTATAAGCAAATACGGGTCTCTGAAAACCAGTAAAGCAACTTGCTACTGATGAAGTACCTGGTGTTTCTGCAACATTCCTGGACAAAAATGCACACTGGCAACTTGCACAAAAGCTGAGAGACTGAAAGAGATGCAGTCAAGTATGAAAAATCCGAACACACTATGGCTGCCCCTGAGAGAAAAACAACTCTAATACAGATGTCACGTCACACACGTCACTTTATAGTATGGCATCTGCAGCCTATGAACTGCACTCCCAAGAAAATACCAAAGAACAGTGTGCACTATGCACCTGGACCTCATTTGACTTCTGCTCAAAATGAAGAGGCTACTGTTGCATATAGAGAAAGCTGACACTGAAGAGAGCTAAGACCCACTATGTGGCTGCTGAGCCTGCAGAGGTTCTTCCTCCTCGAGTCGAATGAGCTCATCTGCTAGAATTTTTGGTGGAAAGGATTCACCCTGCGTAGATGGCTGAATCTCACCTTTTGCCATCCCACTTCACAGGATACACACATGAAATTGTGTGCCTCACAAGATCATATCTAATCAGGGTCAGACTGTTTGGCTTTTGGAGTTTATCACAAATCCAGGTTCTAGAGGAGGTCGTCACCAAACATAAATGCTGAGAAGAGTCTAAAAATTACTCCAACGAACACCACCAGCTGCTTATTTGCTGAAAAGTTACTGCAGCTGTCGCAGTTCGTTAAGGGAAGTGACATCTGTGCTCAGAGACAACGCTCCAAGAGAATTAGCGTTTGTAACAGTTGCACACTGAGTTACTTCACCTTTTCAGCCTGTCATGCTGACAGCCTCCTATGCCACTCCACTGGGTAAGGGGGAGAGCCTGCTCTGGAACTCCCCAGTTCCACCTTTCACAGAAGCCACCTTGTCAGAGTGGTGCTCTAAGCAATTGAGGTTGCTCTTGGTGACTGCTGAGAGCTCAGCAAACAGCAAAACCAAAATGTGTGCTGGCTTCAGGAATTTAAGTCTTGTTGATCAATTTCTCATTCTGATTACAGCCTCCACAGGCACACTGTGACTTTCAAACAAGTGAAGACATTTTCTTTGAAGATATCCAGAGCAAAAACATTCACACATAACTTCTGTAGAGATATGATGGCATATTTTACCAAAAAACAGGAATCCACTAAGACTTACTTTTCCATAAACAAATGTTTTCTTCAAGCCCACGTTAGAAGACAAAAACATACCAATTTTAAAAGAATTACAAATGTGTGACAGCATCTTCAATTTTCCTGTGTAAGCAGAGAGCTTAGAAACTTGTAGGTGTGCAATACCACTCATATTTATGCCAGTGGATTACACCCAGATGGAACTGAAGATTCAGAAAAAAAAAAACCCAACAACAAAAACCACAAGATGACTACAAAACCATTAGACCAGTGTCATAAAAATTCTGGCCTTTCCGCCAGCAAGTAGTGATTCTTTATTTTTAAGGCACCATTGTTGGAATGGATAGTGTAGCATCCTAACCAAGAGTATAATTAAGTTTTAATTGTGACTAAGAAAGCAGTAGTATTTTAAAACAGCCTGAACTTAATTCAACCTTACAAGACATAGTACCTTTTCAGTAGAAGAGTGGAAGAAATTTTAAACTAAAAACTTCAAACTACCGGAAAACAGAAGTGTGCAAAACACAAGACGAAGTGACAGTAATAGACATACATCTTACAATAAAATGGCACATTTATTATCCAGAAGCAATGCAATAGAAACATGATGTAGTTTGTTAAATAATTTAAATTATGATCAATGTGATATTATGACAACGAAACATCCATTTGGGAAAACACTATTCTGTATTCAGAAAAATGAATCATTGTGATTAAACAGGTAAATCCAGAGACTTCTGCTGATCTGCAAAGACTGACTAAGCAGAAAGGTCCATCTGCTATCTCAACAATAAAATATATGGAGCAATAAAACATAACTGCTATGTATGAAATAACCACCTTTTCCACTGAAATGATCGAACCAGTATCTATTATGCAAAAGGCAGGATAAATGGACAAAATGCAGAAAAAGGTCTTAATGCCTAAAATCAATTAATCCCGTAGTTTGGAAAGGTCCTCCAGGGATACACCATGACCATACTCATGGTAATTTTTTTTCCTTTTAAAAGCAGGAATTACCAGTGTTCTAGCTTGTGTCACTTGCTCTCTGAGGAGAGTTGGTTTCTACCTTTCCTACACCCTTTCATGAGGTACCTGAACAGAACACACTTGCCTTGTATTACTGGGCTGAAAATACCCAGATCCCTGAGCCACCCCTCATTTCTCATCTGTTTCAGTCTAACAACCATCTTTGCAGCTTTTCACTGGACTTTTTCCCATTTGCCTATGCCTACCTTGTGCCAGGGAACTCAACCAGGCAAACCACTCCAGTGCTGTCTTGCAAAATGTTGGAAAAGGGGAAGTCACCACTTTTGCCAGGCTGCTCACTACACTCCTGCATCCTTGTTTTAAAATAAAACCAAATCCAACTAATTTGTTGGAAGTCATTTTCAAAATCCACACATTAACATGAATCATCACTATGCCAAGTGCTGCAACTCAAGGAGGTGACAAGGGTTTGAGGTCACATGATTAGTACTGCAAAACAGACCAAAAGGGTCTCCTTGTTAAAGACTAGCCCAAAAAACAATAGAAGGCAGCATTGCTCTGTAGAGCACCTCTAGACTGATACACACACTGGCAGCAAAGAACTGATACAGTTTTTGAATCCAGATTAATTTTGAGATGTATCTGTCAAGAGAATACTGAGTTGCCAGAATCAGAAACATTCTGCACTCTTTGTAACCCAGACAAGCACACAACTACTGCTGCCAAGAATCAGTGGTAGTAGGGTGAAATTTCCATCTAACTGGTACTGAAAATTTTAGTATGCTAGGGGATGACCATTTCACTTGGTGGGGTCACTGCACAAGAAGTTTAGGACTTTGTGACTTGAAGAGACACTGAGTCATTGTGTAGAACACAACATGCATCAAATGAAGCTTCTCCCCCCCCATTCAAATTTCCCTCTTGAGCAGAAATCTCCTAGGATCAGGAGGTTGGCAGATAGAAGAGCTGAGATCTGAGGACTGTGAGGTCACAGAACAGAAATCCTGACATGGGCATCGAATTCCTCACTGATAGGAGACATTGCTGAAGAACACAGAAATCATTTAGAGACAACACAGCAATAACTTAACATTGTCCTGCCTTACTGAGCAATTAAAGCAAATAATCAAGCATAATCTTCCAAAATAAACCATATATTTTCACCCCATCTTCTTCAGCTTTTACGGAGTCAGGGAAGAAACTTGTATCATTACATTCCCACTTTCAAGTCAATGAAGTTGATACAGTAGCACGTACCTGCACTACTTGTTTCTGTGGTTGTGTTGGCTGTGTGGCTGAAATTTGCATTTTGTCCCGAGTGCCCCGGGTACGTTCACTGCCCACCGAAGTCATCATATACAGTATATACAAAACAATGTATCTACAAAATACAAAATCTGAAAGAAAAAAAGAGCATGAGTTAAGGTGGATACTGATTAAATAACCAAATAGCATAAGTACAGTAAGTAGTTTGAACTCCTGCCTTTACTACTGATTCTATACAGAGACTCATGAGAAAGCAGCTTTAATGCACTATTTTTGGATTTACTGCAGTTTTTAAAACTAAAAGGGGAAATACAGTAGATAGAAAGCCTTTTTGTCAGCTGACTGGCATCTGTGTCAATTTGTACTTCTAGATCTCATAGCTTTTTCTGGTTATTTAATATACAGACTTTTCTCCTGGCTACTCAATCTGATTAAGTTTTAGCTCCAGTTGCTTCACTCAAACTTCTATAATATCTGCTGTCTAGTTCTGATGTCTGGAATTTAACTGCTCTCACATCCACTTAGAACAGTACACAAAAATCGTACTGACGAACTAGATAGTTCCTCTTTTCCCTGCTATCAAAAGTGCTTTTCCTGCACATTCATGGAGATAATGGCCAATTCCAACTCTACTTCTCATCTTTCATTTATAAGAAAAATTATGATGATTAGGTTTAAATCCACCCTCTATAGCCAGTACTTTTCTTTTATTCTCCCTCATATTTACAGAAATAATTTATAAAACTACCTATCACCCTGCTTTAAACATACTGTGGCTGTATGGCAACAGAGAAACCCCAAAGAAACCCCAAACCCCTACACACATCATTGTTACCCCATCTGTGGCTCTCAGCTTTCACTCTTACTTGTTCTCTAGTATTAAAATTACTTTGAAACAAGACATTATTATTCCCCTGTTTGTACAGCATTTAGCACAGGACTAATCAATGAGCATGGTAACTGGTAACAGATCTTTCAAATGGTTAGAATGCTCATGTTCATCTGGCTTCTGTCCCCATAAGGCTAGAAAGTAAAACTGCAAATTTTTGGAAATAAGGACAATTTGCAAGAGGTGTACCTGGGCAGAAGGAGATGTGCAAACAAACAGCAAAGTGCTTCTACTGCAGTCCCATTATATGAGCAGGCCTCAGCACAAAACTTGCCAGGGCAACAGCTGCCTAGCACTGAGCTCAGCACACAATAACACAGAATTACACTATAAGCTCAACTGGAAGGGACCCATCAGGATCATCTAGTCCAATTCCTGGCCCAGCACAGGACCATTCCCAAAAGTCACACCATGTGTCCGAGACTACTGTCCAAACACTTGTGCTCTGTCAGGCTTGGTGCTGTGATCACTTCCCTGGAGAGCCTGTTCCAGTGCCAACCACCCCCTGGTGAAGAACTTTTCTATAATACCCAAAGAAAAGCACCCATGACACAGCTCCAGGCTATTCCCTCAGGTTCTGTCACTGGTCACCACAGAGAGATCAGTGTCTGCCTCTCCTACCTCCTCCTCCCCTTACAAGGAAGTTGTAGACTGCTATGAGGTCTCCCCTCAGTCTCCTCTTTCTTCAGGAAGATAAGCACACTGCAATCCCATGGAATGGGACCTGTTCAACACCCACCTGAATCACTAGCAGTCACAAGTAACGTGCATTTAACAATTAAAGCTGCAATGAAATGCTTCAGCTGAAATACCAACTCATGATGCTCTGGAGCCTCACCTACAATCAAAAGGACAATTAACTACATTATCACCTAAATCTCTTCTTGACTTTAGAAATACATTCTTGTTGGTCAAAATTGAAACCTGACATTGAATTTATGTACTAGCTAAAGTATTCAATAATGCTTTAATGTCTGAGAGGAAAGTATATTTCTATAAGAAATATACTTGATCAGGAACTGACTGCAGTCATAAGCTGAATTGGAATATTGTGTTTCTACAACTTTTTGAATGCACTGAGCAAAGCAAATCTATCTCACAGTCCCTTAAAGTAGTCTAAGTGCATTGCGTTCTAAGGCTTAGAACACATAGACCTTCAGAGCATTGTGTCTGACAAAAAGGCCAGATACAGACAAAACAAAAAGTTACCTGAGCTACTGACACAATGTTCTATGGAATGCAGCAAGATATAAAGTAGATGTGGAGACACTCTGGGCAGCAAATTCAATGTTTATCACTGACTATCTCCTCATGGCCATTCACTGATACGTTAAAGACATATGGACATTTTCAGTTGAGTCTGCAGTAGTATTACTTCAGCTGTTTGTGTTAAAATCTCCTTTATAAGCTTTGCTGACTGGACTGACAACATCCGAAAAACTTCCATTTATATAGACTAATAATGACCTTTGAGTTAGCTTTTTGTTTTGTTGGGATTTTTTTAGTGTTTCTTTTACCAAGGATCAGACTGCTTATCACAATTCAAACTAGCACAATGAGCAATGCAAAAATGCAAAAAGCCCTGAATACAGCACACAAGAGAATACTAACTTCTCTGAAAGACAAGCTTATAGTTTCGTATATGGTTGTCTAGAATCAGCTCATTGTGACTTAAGATTTTTTGAGAAAATGTAACTCCATTGGGTCTCAATTTGTTCATAATTTCTGAATTAATATCATATTTATTACGGTACCTACGCATTTCGGTATTTCTGTCAGTGCCATTTCCCCCAATATCACCAAAGCCACTGAAAATATGGTGATTCTTATTTTAGACAGGACAGCAGGACACTTATATTAAAAAGTTTTCTGTTTTCATAGCACATGCTGAACTATGCCCTACACTTTGGCAGCCAGGCAATCTATGGCTCCTCAAGCAGATTGTGTCTCTTCTCCTTTTCCTAGCATGTGTCTGTCCCACCACTGCTTAAGCCAAATTTGTTCTTCAGGACGAAAGGATACTTTAAGAAAAAAGGCAGGCACATAAATGGCTGAAACACTCCTGGGAAACAACATAGCACAGAAAGATCAGACTGCTGTGGGAACAGAGCTCAAACAACCTGAACAGCTAAATGGGGTTTTTAAAGGAGATCTTCATCCTCCCGATCATGCGGTACATGAGAAGCACAATTTAGCAGGTTAGAACCGCAAAAAAAAGGCCCACCAAAGGTACAGGCAGCAGTATGGACTTGTACTCGCCTCAGGCAAGCGTGGAACCCCACACTCAGTTTGACAGCCCCCAACAAGCCAACAAGGACATGCTATAATCCATCAGACACAATCTAGTCTTCTTAAAAGCACAATTGGTAGCCTGATAAAAAGAGAACTTTCAAAATACTGTCATTTTACTTCCTCTTAAGTTGGCTCCCACTGTCTAATGACAGTGTCCAGACAGAGCAGATGGAGGGCCACGCTCCACCTCAGACACTGCACTGAGCAGAGAAACACGGCTGAGGCTTCACGCCCAACCACACCTACTGCAGAGTAAGAAGTAACAGGCAGCAGAGAGCCACTGCCTCCAAATTATCACAATGACAACAGTTTTGAGCATAAGTGAGATATTATTAATTAATTAGATGGGGCTGAACAAGAACATTTCCTCGCTCACAAAGCAGGTTCTTATTCTCTCCAACTCCTCATATTCATCAAATCTGTTTGGCAGGCTGCTGTCACAGTAATGAGCAGGATATCACAAACTGATGAACTTAATTTTAACTGTAGATAAAATGAGGAAATATGATTTGAGACTGGGAGGAAGAAAACTAATTAAAAACTGTTTAATAAAGATTAAAAAAATATTCAGGCAAGCAGATGCTTCAGTTTCCATGTCAGCATCTGGTGCAGTGCCAATGTCCCCCACCAGCAGACACTGCAATTCTAATAAGCAACCAAAACAGCAGTATTTGAAGAAACATATAAAATATTAAATGAAACAAGTACTAGTTTCATCACTTTCTATACATTAGTACAGAGCACTAATGAAAAAAAAGGAGAAAGTATTAAAGAGAGGGCTTCCAAAATTCTTGTCTAAAAAAGTGTCTGTATTCTCTTATGACAATTAACAAAGACGCACAATATTCCTGTAAACTTTGTTTCTTTTTTCACTGATGTAACCTAGCACCCACAGATCAAGGTTGTCTTTACTAATTTAAAAACAAACAAAAACCAAAACCCAAACAAAACTAAAATTTAAAAGTGCCCTTATCATTAGTTATGACTTCATTAAAAAATTTTCCATTAAAAAAGGAAAGCAACAGAAGAATCTATGATGAAAACCATCCCAACTCTCAGTCTTTTGTTTTAGTTTTCTGTCTGTACAGCATGTTTTACTCCAAGGACCTACACTACAACTGCAGCTTCAGTAATGTGTAACATGGAATGGCAAGGATTATTCTAGCTTACAAAAGGAGTAACAAAATATTCTAATTTAACCCTTCCTAAAACTGCCAAATTCCCCACCTCCAAAGTCTTCATCCCTTGTCTTATCCAACACATTTAGTTGTGTACCCATTTTGAATTTTAGAAGGAAAAGAGAAAGGCAAATAATCCAAGATTAATTGAACAAATATCAACACAAATAGCAGGTTTTAAAAGCTACTGTGATGTTTTCTTTGATCTGTTGTTCCATCTTCCTTCAGCAAGAGCTCTAAGCCTCTTAGACTTAGAAATGAGAAAACCTAGAAATACAGAGAATAAAAGTTGATTTGACATGGTTGCAAACCCCCAGGATACAGGAAATCTATTACTAAACTTCCAGGAACAGACACAGCAATAGCAACAGCAATAGCAACTGATTTTCAAGATTCTTCTAGAAGTTCCATCACTTCCATCAGTTGAAAAAAAAACTGCAGTTTAGATTCCTTTCCTGAGGCAGTCTCAAGTTACATTCTTGATTCCTGGACAAGGAGCTGTGACAAACCACGAAAAGACCTCTGTGAACACCTTAAAAATGTGATTGCTCTTTTATATTCAAAATACAAAGCTACCAGTCAAAGATTTCTCACAGTGACAGGGTTGGGAAAAGGTTGCAGGACACCACCTCAGGAGGGCATAACTACTGTACATGTACAATGAGCTCAGATTTTACTGCTCCAGCTGTAGAATTTTATGAGCAGGAAGAAAAAGAACAGTGGGAAAAATTATGTCTGCAAAGCATCGATGTAATGCATTTCCCTCGAGTGC